TATGGCTGTAGGAACTGATTGACAGATCTGCCCCAAAGGGTGGATATTATACATTCACTGGAGTAACAGCATGACAAAGCCAGGGGCAGGGCTCAAACTCCCTCCTCTTGCAAAAAGCAAGAGCAGCACACCTTTCAGCTAAATACAGGATAACCCTTTTGGCCATGCTTCACATGGCTTCCATCTCTTCTTTCTCGTTCTGGAATGATTCTTCTGAAAAAAAAAAAAATCAGGGTTTTTTTTGGAGAGGACCTGTCTGCACTAAATGGGAAGGCATGAATTAGCATCTTCAGCTTTTAAAGGGAAACAGCTGTTCTTGTGTATTTTCCAGGAAATCCATCTTTATTAAGATTTTGATACTGCAGCCACTTAACACTGATTTAAATTGCTGGGCTTTGAAACAGTGAATAATTCCCACTGATCTCAATGGAAACTTGAAGTGATCAGTGATGACTGCTCCCAAAGATCCTATTCCCCATTTTATCCCGAAATGAACCATATTAAACTGACTTATTCAGTGTGGCTCTAGAATACTAGTGCTATACATAGAGAAATATGTGGACCTGACATAGGTGCCTTTATCACCATATTTTAAGCATGCATAAATATTTACAGAAAGACTCTTCAGAAAGCACCAAAGTCAGTAGTTCAAGCAACAATCTCCTTTGTAAATCTGCAATTTCCTTTAACCAAGGGTTTTAGTGTGCTTTTCTTGCCTGTGTAATTTGCTGCAAATTGCCATTTAAGTATTTTCCTTTTCCTTTCCTTCAGAATGCTTTAGTAGCAGAGGTAAGTAATGACTGAAGGAGGTGTGGAATGACACAGATTTTTTTTTCTCCCTTCTTTTCAAAATAATACATATTACATATAATAATTAAGGATGTTACTGTGCTGCCAGTAACATCCTTAATTATTATATGTAATATGTATCCTCTAATTTTATCCACTGACAGTCTGGATTTCCTTTCAAACTTGAAGGATGATTTATTTTTTTATCTCTTTCAGGACATTATTGAGACTGGCAGAACGATGAAAGCTCTGCTTTCACAAATAAAAGACAAGAAACCAAGGGTGGTAAAAGGTATATTCTTGTAAGGTGTAAGGATAAAGCCCCTAACTAACATACTCAAAACATTTGGGTGAATAGTCAGTGTATGCTGACAGGTGCTTGTTTTGCTTGAAGTTTGGAGTGGGAGGAAGCAAATGCAGGAAGTAATCCTTATCCAGCTGCTGAAAAATTAAGTGTTAAACTGGGAAATTTACCTCTGCACTACCATCTTCACTGCTCAAATTATTAAAAAAAGGTTTTATGGCTCTTTCCATGTAGTCCATAAAGTCTGATGCATTCCCTGTTTCTTACTTGATGTTTGAAGGAAATTCATCTCTTTCCATAGGTTTTCTAACACCACCTCAGTTGCCTCAATACTAGAATGACAACACTCTGAAGATTTCTTAATACCCTCAACCACAGAGGTTTCCAGAATCTAAGAGTCTGTCAGCACTGGGAAGATGACTTCAAGTAGCATTCTAGATCTGCTTTTAGTAGATCTCTAAAGAAATTTTGTGGAATATCCCTGTGTGTGTCAGGTAACCACAATGCTTTACAATTACAGTTGCTTTAAGCATCAGTTCTTCAGACAGTCCTTCTAGTGACTGTCCACGAGGTTCTCAGTTTCTTCTGAAGTGCTCAGGCAAAGCAAGAATAGATGTAATTTTGCAGAAGAGATTTTCCTTTTCTCCCTCCCTCCCCACTCAAATCATTACCAGCCACTTGGACATGCTTTCCCCTCTGTGCTGTTTTATGTCCATTGCTGCATGGAAGGGCAAAGAGCTGAGACACAGGACTGAAGGGAGCTGAATACAAAGTTGAGCCACTCAGACATAAAGCCAGTCAGACCAGAGCCACTCAGACCAGAGCCTTTGCCTCTCCCTGCAGTACAAGGCTGAACACCACTTCTTTCTGTGCAATAATCTCACTGTTTTAATTTAAGTGCACCATTTGAGACGCTTATGAGAAGGTGTGGCAGAATGGGAGTCTAGAGCTTAGAGCAAGGCCTTTTAAAAACCAACCTTCTCTGCTCTGCCTTACAGCCTGCTCCTTCAAAGGACATGTCAGAGTCCAGGTAACAGACCAGACTGTAAATATCATGTTTTTCTCAGGGTTTCTTTTCCTATATTTTCCAAAACAGTCCTGCAATTTCACTTCAGGCAGCACATCTGACAACTGGCCCACAAGTTTCATGAAGGCCAAGAGAAATGGAGAGAAACTACATAAAAAGCTAATGACCAGGTATCCTGAGACCTCATGACCACCTTGTTCTTTTCCCCTGGTTGGCCTGAGTGCAGGTTTAGCTCTTCGATATACAAATTTAACTATTTAGATAGCAAAACCAGATCAAACCTTAACGGTGTTTTGCTTTGCTTTGACCCTAGAGGACATTTGTTTTGACTCCACATTATTAAACTTGTTTCCAAACTGAAAAGTCCTGCTGAATCACAGTTCATCTACTTTCACTCAAGTAAAATCTCACTCCGTGTCTCCTCTCCCAGGACTAACTCATCACTAGGTTTTAAACAATTATTATGTTAATAAAAATCATTCTCTTAACTCCTTAATTACATTACAGACATGGGAATGGTTTAGATTCTAACCTCTGTCATCAATTTACAGCTCAGATTCTTAAGAAAGCACCCTGAAGGAGATGATGCCTATTCCTCTCAGCTCAAGTATGTGTTGAATCCCAACTGTGCATTTAAAAGCTACTTACACCACTGAAGTTTGAAAAGAACTGTATTTTCTTACTGAGCCAGGCTTTGAAACTCCAGGTAAATTTGTGGTTGGATATGCTCTTGACACTAATGACTACTTCAGAGATTTAAATTGAGTTGGTAATGCAATATAGGTGCATTAGAAATGTTTGTGCTTCACTGTTTCATAATTCATAATTCTACTCCACAAGTCTCATGGCTCAGCCTTGCTGCAGGACATTCTGAACCCCCAGCATTGGTGAGCAGCATACAATCTGCGGCCCCATCTGAAAATAAAATAACTTGTAATTTGACTTTAATTGGATATTTGTCTGTCTTAGCTCAATCCTATGTTGCTCTTCTGTTACCAAGTCCTTAAAGCAGCCGTGCAGGCACTCTGTGGGAAGGTTTTCCACACACTTCTGGATAACATGGCTGTAAGATCTCTCTTCCCTTATTCCATGACAGCTTCCTTAGGCTGCACAGAGTAGTTGACTTAGAAACATCATAAATTAATAGGGTTGGTCTTTTTTCCTGCCTTTGTTTTCAAAAGTACTTACTTAATTCTGGTTAACTCAGAAAGTTTTTCATTTCTAAGTCTTTATACTAAGACAAACCAGTTCTGCTGAAGACACAATCAGTCTGTGCTATTGCTCAGTAGCATGAAGGTGTATGCAGTAATTTACAAACCTAAGTTCTTTAGAATATATAAAGCTATATATTACAGATAAACTTGGAAAGAATATTAAAATCTCGAGTTTACTGCAAGGAAACTTGCAACAGTTATGGTTCTAGTGGTTTTTTATTACAATGCTGGGAATATAACTGAAAATCAGTCTTGCATTTCATTTGAAGATAGAGGTTGATAAATATTGTTGGGTTTTTTTCCTTTTAGCACATCTGTGTTCTGAATGTTATGAATAAGAAGCTTGACTAGGCCAATATTCAAGCAGCAATCAATTTATTATTTAATATGGTAAGGTATGAGCAGTACAGCGCTGGGTACAGTGGGGGAAGTTTTCCCTCCAACTGCACACTGATAATTGATGGTTACAGGTATTTATAGGGGTACTCATCAGCTTTTTTTTTCAACAGTTTCTATTTCCAATATTTACTCATCAGCAATTTTTATTCCAAATTATTACATCACAATTCTATACACTATTGTGATTTTAATTTCTCAGGATGTATCTCGAAGGATTATCCCCAGATGGTGACGGTCCAGTTTCCGAAAGAAGAAAGACGAATCCCATCTGGTGGGGTCCAGCTCCCCAGATGTGTGTCCACCTTTTAATTGCAGAGACTCTAAATCTCATAACAGTGATGTCCAGCTTCCCTTTGGTCGAAACCATAAACCCTTGAGGTGATGTTCATCTTCCTTTCTCAAGCTGTTTTTCTCTGCTTCAATAAGGCATGAGATAAGCATATTTCCTTTATATATATTCCAAAGCTATAGTTTCAAGGATGCAAGTAATATTCTAAAATTATACTTCAAAAGGTTGTTATTGCAGAGCTTTTTATGGATTAAATGCAGGCAAAAAGCAACATCTTTAACACTTTAATTCCAATGCTCCTAAATCATCTAGGGTTAATTTGCAAACAAAAGATAGGTTCAAAGGCCTTTTTCCATGCTTTAGTCTCCTCAGTAATTATTAGAATTCACAGCTCTCCCATTGTCGGGGTCCACACATTTCGCATTCACAACTACACACATCGCCTGTTTGTACCTGACACGAAACACAGCTTTGTATTTCACATGAAAGAGAATGCCAAAGAGAAATACAGGATGTGATCATGTCAATCTTCCGGAGCACTAATTCCTGGCTGCTGATTAGGTGATCAACCATGACACCAGGAAATTAATTCTGCTCCTTGTGTGTCCCTAAGAACCAGAAGCTACATCTTACTGCCCAGGACCTGCAGCTCGCCGGTTCCCTCTTGTACTATGCGCTGAACACCAGCTGTTGAGCCCCTGGCTTTTTCCCGTTGTGGAGGAGCAGCCCGGCGCTGGGGGCAAGGGTCTGGCGACATGGAGCTCTGCCACCGCGCGCCGCCACATTCCGGGCCCCGGAGCGGATTCCGGGGCTGGAACGCGGGGGCTGAGGCCCGGCCGGCGTCACCGGCGCGGCCCGGCCCCGACAATGGCGGCGGCCGTTGCCGGGGAACCGCGCCGCGGCCACCGCGGCTGTGACGGCGCTGCCGCCTCAGTTGCCGCGGAGCGCGCTCTGGGCTGCTCGTTCGCAGCCTGGGGCTCGTGAAACGGCTTCATTAGCGATTCGCCAAGGGGCTTGTTCACAGAGATTGTCTCTGAGAGCGAGTCCTGACCCCGCAGAGCGTTGGTCTCTGCGAGCAAGGAGTCCTGAACTCGCAGAGCGTTGGTCTCTGCAGCGTGTACTGAATGTCGTTTGAAGGTAAAGATTGACTGAAGTTGTACTTTTTGGTTTTGTCTCTGTGCTCTGAAAGAGAATGCCAAAGGGAAATACAGGATGTGATAATGCCAGTCCTCTGGCGCAGCAGTTCAGTGGCGTGTACAGCTAAATGGATGCATTATATGGTCGCCTGATTGTGCTTTTTTTTTCCACTGAAGAAGTGCAGAATTTCCTATATATACTAGTTTATACCTTTTTTTCCTATAGTGATTACTTAAACTGCTTAAAGGTGAATGAGTTCTGTTCAAGTTTCAGTGGGTTGTTATGATCTAGTTATTAAAATTATTAGGGAGATGCCCCAGAATTAAGGTGCAAATGAGACCATACGCCAAAGTTAGTAGTCTGGATTTTATGTAACAGTAAATGTGAGGAAGAGAGAGAGAGAAATAGAGAAGGGTGTTGGGGAGGGGCAGAGAAATAGAGAGTGACAGATTAGGTAGAAAGTAGAAAGTATCACCATTGCATGGATCTCACTGGCATACCATTAAATCCTCTTCTGGTCTTCTCTGCGGTGAGGTCTGGCAAAACATAGGACTCCAATGGATTCATGCAGATTTGGGCAAGGTGGGACTGCCCAGGTACCTTCCTGGGCTGGGGCAAGTTGGACTCTATCTCTTGCTACTTTCAAATAATATAAAATTTTTAGCACCAGTATGTCCTTTGAGTCTGCCATGAATTGGGTTGTGGATTTTCAGATCTGCTGTGTTTCTCTGCATGCCATGCAGTCATTTGGTGCAAGGCCTCAGGAATGGCTCTGGGGGCACTCTGGAGGTCTCTGCTGGGTTATGACACCCCCTCAGCTGCCCCTCATGGGAATGTCCCCTGGATGTGGCCTTCTGGGGCTGGGGGCTTTTAGAGCTGAGCCAGTTTGTCTGAGGGAGGATGGGTGTCCACTGCCCCTTACCAGAGGTTGTGCTACACACCCAGAATTTCCTCTTTCCCCCTCTGTTGATGGGAGTTTTGTGTGCCAACCTGGCCTCAGCAGACCAGTCTGTGGTATGACTTCCCCAGCCTGAAGGCAGACACAGCTGATTTTCAGGACAGCTGCTGGGTTTGGCTTTCTTGTGGATACATTTTTCTCCTGTAGCCTTGTTTACTTCTCCCCAGACATGAGACAATAGTGTCACCTTGATCTTGCCTCAAGTTCCCTTAGGTGGCTTAACTCACAGTCCCAAGTTCAGCCAGGAGGCATTTTCAGGGAAGGGTTGGCTTCATTGGTCACAGCTTCTTTATTCAGTTTTGTCAGAATGGGCAAAAAGTCCTTCCTAACAATATTTAAGCCATTAGCCATAACATTCCAGTCTCTCACAAGTCCTGTGAGGAACAGCTGAGAGAGCAAGGGTGCTTTAGCCTACAGAAGAGGAGGCCCACTCTAGCTATTTTTAAAAAATATTTAAGCTATAGCTTTCTCTGTTCAAACTATTATTAATGTTCAGCTTTTTAGCTCCAGGTTTCAGTATGATCTAACTTTGAATTGCACAAGGTAGCCATATAGTTCAAATAAAGCCCAACTAGAGGCCTAACAATACTAGCTACTTATGCCAAACAAGCACTCAACTACTTTCAAATGATATAGCATTTTTAGCACCAGAATATGCCTTGAATCTGCCATGAATTGGGTTCTGGATTTTCAGAGTTCCATTGTTGCTCCTTCCAGTTTTGATGAGGCATTGTCTCATCTGTGACATCATCCATTCAAAATGGCGGCTGAATTGCCGAAGAAGACATCAACACCTCGTCTTTTGTCCAGGGAAATGCTGAAATCTTTTAGTGTAAGTATCCACTGGAAACTCTCCTCGTGTCCCTGCTCTCCCTGCCCGTGTTGTCCAGCAGTGCTGTGAAGCTGCAGAGCCCCTCCCCAGCCCTTTGTGCCGTGCTCCTGTTGCTGGGGCTGTCCTGGTGCAGTAGGGAACACTGTGGGATGTGTCAGGGACAGCCCAGCGCCTTGCCTGGCTGTGCCAGCAGAGCCAAGTGAAACCAATGTACAGCTGAAGCCCTGAGCATGGGCTTCTTTCCTTCCCCTTTGCCACAGCCATTCCTTCTGCCAGGCTGGGCACTCACCTGTGCTGCTCTGACCATCCTGCCCTTGGGCACCTGGGAGTGTGGTGGGGGGGAAGCTCAAACTCTGCCCAAAGCCTTGAGAGCCACGGCTGGTCCCAGCTGGAAGAGCTCCCAAAGCAGCTGTTCTCTCCCAGCTCCTGTGTGGGCACAGATGCAGCCCTGCAGGCAGCGCTGGATGGAGCCAGGGCCACAAAGGTCCCTTGCTGTCTGCAGCTCACTTGGCTGAAGATGCCCCACTGCTGGGGCTCTGCCAAGGAGATGCCTCTGTTTTCTTCTGTGGAGGGCTCTGTCAGCCCACACAGAGAAAACAACAGGGACAACTAAAACCTGGACACATTCCTGTGCACCTCACTCTTGGTACAGCTTTGTTTTCTTGCATCTCTTGGACTCATCCAGCAGCGATATCTCCTTGCTGTGAGTTCTAAGCGTTGTGAAGGGATGGAGTTCAGGCAGTTCTGAGAGCTCCTCCCCATTCTCTGGAAAGGTCACTGCCTCAATCCAATGAAACGTAAGAGGAAACAAATGCCCAAAGAGAAGAAACCCCCAACCATGTCCCATCCAGTCACGGAGAAGCTGATGGAACAGAGCCACATGGCTGGAGTATGTGTATTGCATGTCTTATTGACTGATGCTAAGTATTTCAGCAGGAGACTTCCAGGGCTTCCAGGACTGTCCTAGTGGCTGTGATCACAAGTTATTCACCAGTGCCACTTGTTCAAGAAAAACCTTTCTGAACAAGCACATCTCTGAGGCTCTAGCTGGTGTATTTTTGCCTTTCAGCTGCTTCCCTCTAAGTTCCTGAGGGAGAAGTTTCTCAGCACAAAGAAGGAGGCCAGTCCTGGGAAGAGTATTCTGCCCAGAATTGGCCCATTTCTAGACAGGAGCGAGACTCGTCGAAAGGTAGCCTTTTCCTGTTCTTTTCCTTTCTGTTTCACATGAAGTTTGAAGAGGGTGTGTGTTTGTGACAGGCTTGCCTCCAGCAAAATACCTCAGTGTCCAGGTCCTGCTGTCATTGCAAAGTGCTGGGAGTGGTGGACTGGGAGTGCTGATCTGCACTAAGGCAACACAGATACCCTCTGCTGAAGCTGCTGGGGTGTGCTGGAGTGCAGCTGCCATTGCTAAAACAATGGGAGGAAGGCTGGGGACACAGAGGCCCAAAATTGCCCTTTGCCATTCTCCTGCTGAAGGAGCCACCTCTTGCTTTGGTGTGGTCACCATCAAATGCTCGGGATCACAGGATTCCCTCCAGAGTGGCAGCATTGGCCTTTGAAGGCCAAGGATCTGCAGGAATTACTTCAGATTGAACAAAACAAATTCCATTACTGCTTTGGGCTGGAACAATGTGTTGGACCCTGACAGGGTGTTAGATTTTGCAGGCTGCCAGATGTCCAGGGGACTGGCCCTGGGCAGAGGGGAATGGATGTGCTTTGTCTGGATCAGTGCCTACTCAGAGGTGTGTTTAAAGCTGCTTTTCTGGCAGGACTAGCTCGGTAAAAAGCACAGTCCAAAGGGGTAGGTGACTGAGGTGGGCGGTTGAGCAGGAAATTGGCAGCAAGAGACACAGAACACAATCCAGGTAAAGGATTGTCCTGGAGAGGAGCCTTGGGAACACCTCAGGGAAGGGCACAGCTAAGGGACAGTGTGCTGCAGCCACTCCCTTCAGCAGAATGTGTCTGCTGTGAAGTCACACAGGAGACCTGCTTGTGTCTCTGCAGTGACAGCAGTGTGGCTGGAGAAGGCAGACAAAGCAGGGCAGAGTTTTCTCCAAGCAATGTCTCTGCTCCAGAAGCATTTGCTGTTGTTGCCTCATCATTCCAGATGTGCCTCTACAATGGTATTAAATAAGATAGCAATAAATACAAGAAAGCACCCATTTAAAACACATGGAAAAAGGAGATAACAACTCTACTTTTACCCAAGTCACTGAGAAAACAACTGAACCTTATCCTCATACAGCATTCACCTCATTTGTCTTTTTATTTTTGCCTTTCCCTCTGTTTGAAACACACTAATTTTTAAGTACAATCAAAGGGGACAAAATCATTGACACAAAAGAAAATGGTTTATTAGTAATGATTCAGCTGAGCCAGGCATGTCATCCTCCCCGAGAGCCAAGCACACACACACACCCCCTCTGAGAAAATGGCAATCTTTGTATCCCCTTTGTACCCGGCTGGGGCGGTCCCTGTGCCCTTTGCCACTGGATGGGCACTCAGGAGCTTCCATTCTCTACTGAGCACCAACTTTTCTGTCCCCTCCCCTCTCATCCTCCTTCCTTTCGGTCGGGTCTTAATCCCCGTCCCTCTCGCTGCAACACCCAACAAACCAACCTGAACAAATCCAAACCACAAATAACACACAGAACCAGCAAATTCCATTCTTTTGCTTAATAACCTTTTGGCTTCAGCCAAATGTCCTCATCTCTCACACGTACTGGTACTGTTCTCTTCTCACTGATGTCTAAGTTCTAGAGCAAAAAAGGTATTTGCAGTTGTGTGGGCCTGGGTTTCCCTCTCTCAGAGTAAAGGACATCCCAAAATTGTTTCCCATAGAGTCTCCTGTATATTCATGGGTTTTACTTACTCCATGAGTGCTCAGTCAGTGCCCCAGAGCTCTGTGACCACATGGGCACAGGGCTGTGTTTTAGGAAAGTGCTGCCTGGCATTCTGGAGACAGAAACCTGGAGAAATCCATGCCAAAAGAGCAGCTTGGCTTGAGCCTGCTCTGTGTGGCCCAGCAGCTGTGGATCAGCTCAGAGCAGCGGTGGGTGAGCCACTGTTTGCCCAGTGTGGGCTGGGCAGACGTGCTCCCCCAGAGTCTGTACTTCACTGGGGATCAGTGGAAGGGATCCTTGATGAACCTTCCTCCCAGCAGCTGAAGCTCTCCCTCCTCTCTCTCGCCTCTCCAGTCGTCAACAGGTGCCCTGAAACCGAGCTTGTTTGAGGTTTCCCCACCAGAGATGGTATTTGAGAACATTGTCGCTCATGAGGTTTATGAGATGGCGCTGTCTCTCATGAATAAGGACAAGGTAAGTGCTGGGACGTGAGGCTTTAATACTGTGCTGGAAGAGGAGAGTGCTGTCATTCCCCCAGTGTACAGCAAAGCAAGTTATCTGCTGCAGCACATGCAGAAGAAAATGTCTCAGCACCTTTGTTCTGCAAGATGGTGGAAGTCTTCCTGTGCTGGGAATTGTCCCCAGATTTTGGCCATGTGTTGATGGTATCTATGCCAAAGGAGTTTCCTTCTCTGGAAAGCTCTGCATTGATAGGAATGTTGAGGCCTGTACAGTTCTTACCTGCTCTCATGCTTTGCCTCGAGTCTGTACCACATCCTGTATCTTCTTGGTTAATCTTGGCTCCTGGTAGGAATCTCTGCCTCTCTCAGCCACTTTGGCTCCCTCTGTGCAGCTCACAGGCAAAGCTCAGGGGCTGAGCCTTCTGCACTTTAGGCTGGAATCCCTTCTCATTAATGGCATTGGCACTGCAGGAACCATGTTCTGCAAGAGCCCTGCAATCAGACTGAGGGAATAGAAGCAGTGGGAGGCCTTTAGGTGCCACTTGAGGCTCCTGCTCAGCTTCATCCAGCTCTGCTCAGCTTTTCCAAAAGCAACACGGTGCTCTGCTTTCCCTTTGCAGAAGCACAGCACATCCAAAGCCATGTGCTCCTGGAGGTTTGCACCTTCATGTGAAGTAATTGTGATTGTTTTGTGGTTTCTCAAGAGAGCTGAGAGGGAAAAAGTTGTAAAAGGTCAGCAGTTGTGTTCCACTGTAAAGAGGACAACTCCTTACATTCTGAATTTCAGTCAGAGAAACATTTTCTCAAGTGAGGCTTGTGCCAAGGGTGGAGTGGTGAGAGGAGACAAGAGGGAGTCCAAATCATCTGGTTTAGACTTTTGGAGAGCATTTTGGTGCTCAGGGGTTGATGATATCAGTGTGCTAGAAAATGCATGTGTGCTGTGTCTATGAACCCCACAGGGCAGAACCTGGCCTGCTGGCTGCAGGCAGGAATGCCCAGCAGCCCAGCTTGCCTGCACAGGCAGCAGGAAGCCCTGGAGAGCCAAGATTGGCTTTTCATACTGGAACCACACTGTCAGTCAGTGCTGGTCCTGTTTCTCCAGGCAGAAAATGCCTTTGAAGCCCAGAGTCAATAGGCACAGCCTGTCTGTGTTTCTGTCACTTTTGGCAAGCTGATTGCTTTCATGATTTTATGATTCCTCCTTCCTGCTTTACTGCCCATTTAAATTCTCTTTGTCATCTCCTTGTTTTAGGGATTGTCTTGCTGTGTTCATTCCTTCTTTTGCTTTTCAGGTTTGCTTTTATTCCCAGTAAGGCCACAGTGTTTGGTCTCCTGTCTTGCTGCTCTGCCTGCCTGACTCTGTCCCCAGAAGGTCCCTACCCAACCCTGATCTGCTAGAAGGGAATTTCTCCCTTCCCCCACAACAATGGGCTGGTTTGCTTTTAGGTAGCACATTCCCCCTCTGGAACATGACAACTTCATGGCTGTGTGCAGGCAGAAGCCAGCAGGTTTTTTGGCCTTGTTGAATATGCAGGTGACTTGGTTCAGGTGCTGTGTCTCCATCCTGCTGGTGCTGACCTGCTTGGCCCTTCCTTCCCAGCAGGCACTGCCCTACTGCCCCTGGCCAAAATGCTGGAGCCAGAGAGAAGGGGTTCAAGTTCAGCCTTGTGAATGATGTGCCTGTGCCTGCTCAGCTGAAAGTGCTTTGGGAAAGGCGCCAAGGAGGGATGTCACCAGGGCACGGACAGGGCTCCTCTCGTCCTGTTTCCACAAGTGGCCAAGTCATCATTTCCTGTCTTTGCTGCAGTTTCCTCAGGTGGTGAAGGTCTCCATGGAGAGCTCACCTTACTTCCAGCTCATGAGCTCCAACAACGCGTACCGTGTCGTGCTGCCGGGCGCCTCTGTCCCTGTGCGTGTCCGCTTCACCCCTGACGAGAGCAAGGTGAGGCTGGAGGAGCCAAAGCACACAATAATCTCCACAGCCATTGTTTTCCCTGCACTCTGGCTCCAGCCCATTGCATGCTGCGAGCTGGGCTCCAGGTGTGGGCAGGCAGCCTGCAGCAGCCAGTCACACCTTGGCACTGCTGGCAGGCACTGCAGCCAGGCCTGACAGGCTCTGCTTCCCCTCCCTGCACATCCCTGAGCATTGCCAAGGGAAGATGCACAGGAAACAGGATGAAAAGGACAGAGTAGTGTTGACAGATGTTCAGCCATCTCTAGGTCCAGTGGAAGGGGTTTCATTCTGGTGGAAAACACCAGAGGAACAAAGAGGTCAGAGAGCTTTCCTCCTTCCTGACTGACAACAGCTTCCCTGCCTGCCCCTGGGCTGGAGCAAAGCCGGTGCTTTTTCACTCCCTCTGTTGTGCAGCCTTGCAGCTGTGCTGTCCCAGAGCACAAGTGAGCATGGCACAGCTGCAGGGCCAGGGCAGAGGATGTGCTGTGCCCGTGAGCCCGGCCTGGCACAGGCACACTGGGCTCTGGGTGCCCTTGGTCAGCAGCAGGTTGCTGAGCTGCAGGGGACTTGGACACCTGCCTGCAGGAGCTCGTGTAGGGCAGGTACAAGCTGCAGGCAGAGCTGTGAGCCCAGAGCCCGTGGCAGTGACACTGCTGGGGCTCTGTCTTCATGTCTGTCCCTGTGCTTGCTCTGTCAGCTGGCACCCATTCCGTGCCAAAGGTGCTTTTGTGGGGAGGTTTGCACAGCAGTGCTGAGGCCCTGGCAAGTCTGATCTCAGTGCTGGCATCATCTAGAGGCTTGTTTATTCAGAAGGGTTTAGGACATGGCATGGAAGGGAGGAAGCCTTGCAGGGAAACAAAGAGAGGCCCTTTCCAACAGCATCCTGCAATCTCTTAGCACTGTTCTTCTCCTGACTTGGTTGGAACAGGCAAAGTTAGAGGGGAGTTGTGAGCCAACTGATGTTTCTGCACCAGGCCAGAGGTGCAGGATGTCTTTGGGTGCAGCTGTTTTCTCATCTTCCCTTTGCTGCTTAGAGTCAGTTGAACACTTTGTCCTATTCTCAAACAGTGGGAATATAGAAGCCTAAAGAGCAATGTCCTCTGTTCCCCAGCTCCATGTTGCTTAGAGGGGGCTTAGGAATTCTTTAACATCATTAAAGTTTAGAGTAGAAATGATGGTGGCCTAGGGCTGTTATCTGTATGACCCAAGTGACACAGGAGCTTAATGCCACAGAGACAGGCTTTGCAAAGTGCACTGATGTCTTTAACATGTGACGTAGTAGTAGAACTTCGTGTTCATTTGAGGGTGCAATAGGTAAATTGATGCCCTTGAAGAGTTATAGAAATGGTTTTTCTTCTGCCATGGGGATGGCACTAAATGCCCTGTGCTGAGCCAGTTTCTTTTCCTGCAGGATTATTCCCACGAGTTCGTCTGCGTCACTGCAAGGGAAAGGATCGTTGTGCCAATTGTGGCCATTGGTGCCCGAGCTGTGCTGGACGTCCCTGCCCAGCTGGACTTCTCCAAGTGTCCAGTCAAGCACAGCACCCAGCAGACTCTGCTGGTGCGCAATGTCGGTAACCTGAAAGCTCGGTACCAGCTGAGCACGCAGAGGTGAGGCAGCTCATCTGTCCCTGTGCAAACACCTTTGGGTGAGAGCAGAGTTGGGAAAGAGCATTGCAGCTGCTGCCCTGCAGCCTGGCTGGAAGGGAGCAGCGTGGATGGCATCTGCTCTCACTTTCAGTGGCCTTTGGGCTTTCTCTGTCCCAAATTTCCTGGAGGGTGCTGGAACATGTTAGTAGCTGCCTTGCACCCTCCTGAGCACAAGCAGCTTCTGAAATGCCTACTCACTACTGTCAGCCAAATAGACCCATTCTCTGGGAGGACACAAGCACGTGGCTTTCCAGTGGTCCTCTCATGAGATGCCCAACATGAGCTGTGCTGCAGGCAGCCAGTGCAGTTCCTGTTACTTAAAGCTGATCTGATTACCCTTGTCAGCTGAGGGCATCAGTCACCTCTTCTGTTCCATGATGAACCTTTGAAAGGCAATTTAAAATTTCAAACAGATGATTTAAATCTCTGAATAAGGTTGTGCCCCTTCCATTGAGATTTCTTTTTAAATACTCTGAAGTTCCTGTGTTTCTGCTGTTTTTTCTTTTTGTTTTGTGTTAAATGTTTGCCAAAAGATCATGTACTCTTCATTGGGAACTTTGATGAAGGTTGAGCTCTTGTGATGCCTCTCCATATACCACATGCCCATAGGGACATGCACAGATCTATAGGAAATAGGAGACATTTAGTGAATACGTGAAAAGCAATTGGGCTGATTTAGAAGGTAAAAGTATAGAATAACTTTTGCTGGAGGGGACCTCTGGAAATCATCTGAGCAGACACACTGCTCAAAGCAAGAGCAGTGTCTGGGGATTGCAAGGTGCCATTGGGAGACATGGACCTGTCTTTAGATGCCACACAAGTAAACAAACATACCAATGGACCTAGTTAAAAAGCAGGTGAAAACAACCTATTAAAACCCCCTCCATATCTTATCTTTTCTGCCTGTCAGGTGCAGTAGTGATTCATTGAGAGGATGGATCTAAGAGGATGAGAAGTATCTTAAGGAACAGCTCACAATTAACAAATAAAAGGCCAAAATTTAGCTTGCCAGCCCCATCTCTCAGCAGTGGTTTTCATTTGGTTATTACAGTGTCAGGGATGTCTCCTTCACAGCTCTTCTAGCTGTGGGCTCAGGGAACAGTTTAGTGATGCTGGCTGAAATTCAGAGGAGTAGAGCTTGTGTCCTTGGGTCTAGGGGAGCCAGGTGTGTGTGAGAGATGAGTGCTCCAGCAGGAAGAGAGGAGTCTGGTGGGTACAGCCCAGGGACGGAGGAGATGCAGGGACTGAATTGGAGTCAGTTTTTCAATCCTGACGACTGAGTCCTGGACTTGGCTGGATCCTCTTCTCCTGATAATTTGAAAAGAAGAAGACACCTTCTTTCTCAGGCAAGCCCTGAAGTCACCCCCAGGAATGTTATTCCCATCCAGCCACCTGAGGGCGGGAGCATGGGAGCATGTAAACATGGGGCAGGAGTGGGAAGGGAATGGAATGGAAGGTAGTGCTGAAGCCTGGCCAGGGATTCCCTAACTGGCAGCTTCTCTGTTCTGATGAAATTTCTGACCAAAGACTAAGAACAGAATGCTGTGCCTTGCCCCCAGCAGGCCCTGATCCCCCCAGCCCCAGCAGAGCTGCAGCAGTGCTGGCATCAGTCCCGGGGCAGATGCAGGAGCACGAGCACTGATCTGGCTCTTGGGCTGCTGGGGCCTTGTCTTTCCTCCCCTCCCTCCAAAGTCTCACGTCCAGCACATGAACATTGCTGGCCCAAGGCTTCTCCATCAGCCAGCAGTGATGTTCTCACCAGTGGCAATGGGAACAGGTCAGCCCATAATTACAGCAAGAGGTCCTTAATGAGCAGAATCTGAAGCAAGTTCATCAGCTGTCACTACTGACATGAATAAAATTCAGCTTGCCAGATGTTCTCTTTGGTTTTGGGTGTGATGCATTCATCACCAAAGTCCCCAGAACACACTTTTAAGTGACAGATTGACCAGCAGCAAAGCACCAAGGCCATGGCTGTAGAAGTGCACAAAGCCCAGCAGCTGCTGGGCAGAAACACATTTCCCCTGAGCTGTCCCTGAGCATCAAAGCACAGAGTCTTGTGCTTGTCAGGCAAGAGCTGTTTACCTGGTGACCAATCCTGATTGCTCCTGTTAAATCCAAAGTGCACCAACACATCTGCATCATTATTTCCAACACATTGTACAGAGTTTGCCTGCTGGGCCAAGCAAACAGTTACCAGCCTGCATGACAACCCAGAGTCCCAGACTGCATAGCTGGTAAATACAAAGAAACCTCCTGTTCTGCTTCCTTGATGTGCTCCTGCTCATGGTGCTTCATTTAGCTGGGATTGGACCCTTCAGACTGTAAATGGCATCCTCCTTTTGGGTCTTGTTTCCATGCCACTGTATTGCTCTAATCTGCTGGTGGTGTTGGTGCTTGGCACCAGTGGACGGTGGATGGGAGCTGACTCTCACTGTCAGTTGATCATCCCACTGCAAAACTTTCCTACCTTCTCTCTGTGAGTTCTGACAGGCAGCTCCTCGCAACAATGACTCCTTTCCTCTTTCCTCCTCCTTCCTGTCCCTCACAGCACATACTAACCCTTGCTGTCCCTAGCACGACCACCTGACCCTTACTCTTCATAGCACAGCTGAAAAACTCCAACTCTCCTCTGCACCAGCTAATCCGCTCTTTTATAACACCCATCCTTATTGCACCATCCTTACGGGACACAGCGGTGACCTATTGAGGGCAAGGCTGTTCCTACTCTTTGGTAATTAGTACAGCTGCAAATCCTCAGGGGTGAGATTGCCTCCTGCACTATCTCTATTCTCTTACAATCCATCCTCCCACAATCTGCACTCTATTTGTACTCTTTTAGAGTTTTGACTGCTCCTTTTCTTAGAGCAGCTTTCATTGAAATGCTGATAAAATGTGCCCGTTTTAGGCTAAATCAGCATGTTTTCAAGGCAAAATAAACCAAAGAACTACACTACAAATTCAACAGTAATTATTCCTCGATCTTCAAGGAAAAGTTCCTTCTCCCTGTCTGATTCCTAGGCTGTAATCTCACAGAATAGGTAGTGCCCTAACATTTGCATCTCTTGAGATGCGATTTATAGGCAGCAGGAAAAGAGGAATTCCTTAGGCAGTAAGTGTCAAGTTGTGCATGCAGATAGCTCTGAACCCTCTGTGTGCTCTTCACAAACCATTCTCTGATGGGATTGCTGGCAGTGGAACCCTTGAGGCTCATTGCAGAGAGCTGGATGCAGAGTATGGGGGAGCTGAGGTCATTTTACCCCCAGGATCTTGTGAGGGCTGGATCTTCTCAGCAGTGGCTCAGTGGCTGTTTGTGATCCTGTCCTGTCTTCTGCTGCCTGTGCTTGGTTTGCTCCCTGCTTGCCCAAGGGAGCTGCAGTGCAGCAGGAATCTCATGGCCAGGTGTCCCCAGGCCTGACCCCTCTCTCTGTGTTGCAGTCCTTTCTCCGTGGTGCCAGCCACAGGAACTCTGGGCGCTGGTGAAACCCTGCAGGTGACAGTGACATTTCACCCGCTGACCAAGGGTGACCATTGCAGCCTCCTGAGCTGCAGCACAGGTGAGTGCTGGGCCCTGCAGGGCACAGGACAGTTGTCCACCATGGCTCCCTGCTGTCCATCCCCTTCATTCCCTCTAGAGGTTCCTCCCTGTTCCAGATTTACCCCAAAAAAACCTGAGAACTCCTTGGTGTTTGGGGACTTGATAAAACCCCCTCTAACAGGGGATTTTTGGACTCCTGTTTTGCTGGGAGTTGCTGAGTGGAGGGAGGAGGAACCCTAATTCTCCACTACCATGGGGCTGTGCCTGGGTGAAGTTTTATTTTATTCCTGGGCAGTGCTGTATGAGAGGTGTGAGGTTTCCATCAGACTCTCCAATGCAATGGAATTTTGCACACCTCTGTCCCATATGCTGCTTCTCCATTGGCTTGTCACAGACCCTTTTTCTATGTTGCCCTCTACACATAAATGTAGTTTCTGCCTAATAACATTTTCAGGCCCTCGAGTTCCTGGCTGGTGACAAGTCAAGACAAAGTCTTCCTCATCCCCATTTCCCAGGTCGTTCATGCAGTTGCAGACCTCTCACATCTATCTCCCATTTGATTTCTAGACTGAGGAATCCCATTCAGTCTTCATAAAGAAGCTGCTCTGTACTTATTAATCATTCCTTTGTCCCTTTTTTATTTAATTTGAAATACTCCAGCTTGGTTTTTGAAATCACAGCAATATAAAATATTTCAAGACTGATGTGGCTGTGGGTTTGGACAGGAAATGATGATAATTTTCATGGTGTTCAGTTTGTAGTGGTATGTCACATTGCAGAGCCAGGCTGGCTGTGTTTCCTCACCTGTGTCCCCTCCTGCTGTGGGCTGTCACTTCACTTGTTCCTCTGGGGCTCCTTTTGCTGCCCACCTGCCCCCAGGCATATTTGCTGGTCAGCAAGAAGGGATCCAAGGGATCAGGAGAGACAGGAGTCTCCTGGGATGCCTGGGGAGAGCCTGAGGCAGGACTGAGCAGGGCTTCTCAGCCCTGTCACCTGAAGGACTTGGATGCAGAAATCAGAAATCCTGGTGATCTGAGTGGGTCACCAGAGCACATGGACCAATCTCCCTGTCCATCCTGTCACCTTGGGGCCAAATCTCCACAAACACTCTCAGAAATAAGGTGTTTAAGGAGCTGCCCAGGGCATCCCCACGCTCTACACACACAGAGCTGTCAGGATGTGATAAACGGACTGATGCACAGAGCTGCTAATGCAACTAAAAGCTGGGACACCTTCTTCTGTGCCCTGTGGTTTGCTCTGTTCCTTGTGCTTCCATCAGCCAGTGAGCTGAGCAAAGACTCTCCTTTGCTTTGTTCCAGGTGAAGAAAGAATCCACACAAAGCTCTATGGAGAAGCTGTAGATGTCAACGTTGGGCTGAGCACAAATATCGTGCACGTTGACACCACCTACATCACCACATCTACCCACAGAACCGTGTTCATTGAAAACAGGAGTAACATCACAGCCCACTTCCAGTGGAAGGCTTTTCCTACTGAGGAACGTGAGAATGAAGTGAAGAGGAGGTTGGTTTGAAAGATACATTTCAGTAAGATATATGGTCCAGGACTGAAACTGATGTGTGGCCTCAGGGGGTGTTGGTGCTTTTGAATGGTTTAGGCCAAGTAAACCATGCCTGGCAGTGGGGTGTGTCACCCTGGGCTTCAGGAGCTCAGCACTCAGCATTCCAGTTCCATTTATACTCCAACCAAGGATGGCATTTTGGGAAGGAAAGGTTGGCTGCAATGACTGGATTTCCTCAAGTTCTAATTGGGCTTTTGCCTCTCTAATCTTTTTCCTACATGACCAACATCCTTAAACAGTTCCTGAGTTGCTAGCCCCTCTTTCCAAAGGTGACACACCCTCTTTTTTTCCCCTTAGTTCCTTCAAGAGCTCCTTGCCCATCCAGGCTGGTTGTCTTCTCCATCAGCTTGTCTTTCAGCACACAGAGACAGTTTGTTCCTGTGTCTTGAAGACTTCTTTCTTGAAATATCTCCATTCTTCCTGGACCCCTTTGTATTTAAGGGCTGTTTGCCAAGGCACTCTCCAAATCAGTGTCTTGAACAGGCCAAAGTCTGCCCTCCAGGAGTCCAGAGTGGAAGTTTTGTTGATGCCCCTCCTTGTTTCACCAAATATTGAGAACTCGATTATTTCACGGTCACTGTACCCCAGACAGTGGTGAACAGATCAAGTTCATTTAGGGAACTAAATTCCCTAATTTATCATTAGGGGATCTCCTGGTGATATCCAGTACCTGGACCCCAGGGAGGTAGCTTCCCTGTGGAATGGATCTGGTCAATGTACAGGGCCCTCAGTTCCCCTTAGAAGGGAGTCACCTACTACCACCACCCTTCTTGTTAATACTTGAGGCTGTGATCTGTCTGACAGACCAAGTGCAACTGGGAGACTCTCCAGACAGAATTTGTTCCTTCATCTGCCTGACCCTCTGGAGGCAGGGCCTCATACCTGTTCTGTCAGGGCACCTGGGTAGGTGATGGGGGTCAGGACAGAATTTTATTACCTCTCCTGTAGAGACCCATTTCCATTCCCCACTGTCTCTTAGGTCTCCTCCTTCTGCCTGCTCACAAGATGGGCAGGGCTCCTCTGGTTCCTGCTGAGCTTCTCTCAGGGTTGGACGGGTGTAACTCCACCAGTTTGTTTATTTTTCACTCTCCCTAATGCTCCTCAGCCTTTCCACTTCTTCCTTAAGCTCTGCTATGGGACAGAGCAGATCATTCACCTGCTGACTCCACACACAGGTGTCTTTTGCACTAACCCCTGATCTTAGCACCAGGCCAGACCCTCCCTGCAGCCAGGGGCCTGGGCAGCTTCGTCCTTTCTAAGGGTTCTGTTTGAGTTAGTGCACTCCTGCTGGCAGCAGCAGCAGCAAGGGCTTTTCATCATTTGTAAACCATTGCTAGGGAAAGAAAAAAGCAGAAACAAGAAAGAAAGAAAAAAAAAGGCTTGCACCTCACAACCAGCAAATAGACGCAACCCACTACACAAGGAGAGTGAGTCACTGCACCCTTTCTGCTCAGCCAAGCGAAAACTGAAAAACTGCTGGGCCAAAACTGCTGGGCCAAAACTGCTGGGCCAAAAGTGCCGTGGCAAGCCCCTGTGTGCTGCGGGCCAGGTCACTTGCACTCCCCAGAGCCATTTTAAATTGCCTGCAAAGGACCAGGAGATCGACCCTTGCCCGCTTGAATGGGTGAGAGGGTCCTTTAGTGCTCTGGGCTTCTTGGTTTGCCACTGTTCTCTATCTCCTTACACTGTGTTTGACTTCCATACAAGCTCTGTGTGGTAAAAGAAAATCCCATGACCTTCTCTGGCTACTTCCCTGGGCTGTTTATTTCCATTTTTTCCCACTTGCCTGCCTCAGCCTGGACCCCAGGTGATCCACTTTCCCCTCAGAAGCAACTACGTTTCCCCAAAGTAAACTTCAACTTGGTTTTGCTTTTGTGGGGTTTCTTCCAATTGCATCTGGTTTTATGCCACTTTGTGTCCTAGACTGTCACCAGGACATGTTGTTCTTCCTTACTTCCAGTCGCAGGAATAGTTTTAGCTCCAAGGCCACTGTCCTTCTGCCAGAGAAGCTTTTGAGATCTCAGAGCAAAGAGAACTTTTTATGAGAGGAGATAGTGCAGGATCCTTTCCCTTTCAGGACATTCTACTACCATGCACTGGGATGGGACCCAGAAAGCTGTGGATCATGAAACTCCAGGAGTTTGCTGTCTTCCTCCTGCACAACAAAGTCCCTTCCCCTCTCAGAGCCTCTGTTTTCATGCATATAAAGCCTTGAATGTCACTGAAGGGATGTGGTGCCTGAATTCATCAATTTCCTGTGGAAGTGCTCTGGGATGCTCTTGGGAAAGGCAGAGTAGGGAACGGGGCAGGTCCAAAATGAAAGAAACAAAGAGTGATGCTGGTAACACGTAGCTGCAACCCAGCTTCATCTCCCCTTCCCAGGGAAGTCCTGCTCCATGATCTTTTATCTGCTTTCCCCAAGTAGCTCAGTGGTGGGAAAAGCCAGCTGAGGTGGTCGGTGGATTCTCCCTCAGTTTTGGCAGAGGCTTTGAGCCAGGAGGTTCTCTTGAGAGCTTCTGGCTTTGGAAAGCTCCCCTGAGCTTGCAAGTGTGGAGCAAAACTCCCTTGTGCCAGTGAACAAGTTGTCCTCTGATCCATCTGGGACTCCCATGGCTTGGGGTCAGCCCTTGCTGGGGAGCTGCTGCTGCTCCTCCCCAAGTGCTTTCTCTCCTGCACTCACACTTCTCTCTCCAAATCTGTGGCTCATGAAACCATCTGCTGGCCTTGTCTCTCCCTGGGGCTGCAGGCGGCGCAGTTTGCTGCACTCACCGAGCCAGGTGAGGCTGGAAAAATTCACAGAGGAGAAAAAATCAGAGGAGGAGAAAGGTGAAGATGGCGCTGCCCTCCTGACCAGCATGGCCCAGGAGAAGATGGCAGAGGTGCAAGAAGACTCCATGATGTTCTCCGATGACATTTTTTTCATTGAGCCAATGGTAAGTGATAGGTGAGAACCCCATTTTCCTCCTCCTCCCTGCTCCTCCTCCTCCTTTCTGGAGCGGCTGCAGAGCTCCCTGCTCAAAGCATTTGTGCCCTGCAGGCTCCAGGCAGGGCTGGGAGCCTGACAAAGCCCAGCTCTGCTTCCAGGCTGGAGCTCAAGGCACTGCCTGCGTGTCCTGTCAGTGTCCCAGGGAGCAGTTCCTGTAGGCAGGGGCTCCCCCCCACACGTGGGGCTCAGCAGAGGCTGTTGGAGCGCTGCCAGCTCACACTGACCTGGAGCTTGCAATGGTTCCCTGGCAAAAGGAGGCCAAATTCAGCCCCAGTTAATGACAGAAATGCCAATCCCCTCCTGTAACCATGCCTTGCACTGTTTCTGAGTGTCCCTTCCAGTGTCATCTGTGAGCCTGGACACAAGGGTGGAAGGCTGAAATGGGCCTTTGGACTTCTCCTGCACACAGGGACAGAAAACCTTTTCCTTTTCTGGTGATGCAAGCAAACTGCCACGTGCTCCCATCAACCAGAGCCCTGATTCTGAGTACTGGCATTGTGAGAGATGATGAATGCCTGCTGTCTGCACAGTGCAAAATCTCTTCTTATCTTGGAGTAAACCCTAGAATAATGCCAGCCTCTGCTTTCTTTCAAAACAGATTAAACTAATATTTTTATTTCCAAGGAAGGGGATCATCATCTCTTCTTGGTTACTCCTATGGCCCATCTGAGGCCAAGTGCACAGTGGCAGTTGCATCCCACTGTAGCTGACAGCAGCATGATGGGACCAAGAGCTTGTGTCAGAGCAGCAGGAATATTGTGGAGAGTGGGAGCTGATCAGCTGAGCATTGGGAGCTTCCAGCACTATGTTAAGCTGGGTTTGGAGCGTTTCCTTGGGCTCCTTGTGTTGTTCATTCGTCATTGATGCTCTAAATCAAGGCTTACAGGACTGTGGTTGAGAACAAGAAACACGAAGTTTGAAGAGAAATGTTTTGCTGTCTTTCTGTTGTAGGAGGGAGAAATCGGGCCAAATTGTTCGGCCGGAATCAGAGTGACCTTTAAACCCCTGGACGTACTGGGGTACCAAAGTACGGCTTACCTCAGCATCTCAGGTACAGCTCCTTCCCTCTGCTTCTCTCACCCACAGTGAAGACATGGTGCCAGCCTGGGCTCCCATGGAACTGCTGGGAAGAGTCCCTGGTCAGCAGGGCAGTGCTGGCACATCCCCCCTGGCCCTGCAGCTTCCAGAGAGTCTCCCGTGCTGGGCCAGGGCTCAGAACAGCCGTGTCTGGGTTACCAATCCCAGAGCAACCCAGGCAGTGCAGGGAGAAGTTTTCATGCCATGGCTTTGCCAGCATTTCCTCAAAGGCCAAAGAGCTACAGAGCAGAGCAGCTTTAGTGAACAAGCACTAAGCCCTTCTAGACACCTCCAGGTTGGCTCCATTTGACGTGGATTCATCATCAGGCAGCAGGAGCTGAATTATAAATGTGCTCCCTGAGCCTGGATCACCTCCCAGTGCCCAGACATGGCTGAGCCCCACTGAGCCCAGGGTGGTTGTAGAAGGAGCACCCTTGGCCAGCACCTGCTTCTGTCCCTGTGTGGGAATTGTCACCTGGCAGCTCACAGTCTGTGGAAATAGAACACAGTGCTGAGTGTCAGAAATTGAGGACTTTGGCAATGAAGTTGTGTGCTACTGGGCCAGGTAGTTTGGCAATTGCTGCCTGGCAATTTGCTCTTAATGAGCTTTGTGCCTTCCCTGAATGGATTTCAGAGCTCCTCTAAGTGCATGGGAAAGAAACCACAGAATTCTAGCATGTTCAGGATGGAATGGACCTTAAAGATCATCTAGTCCCTTCCCACTAGATCAGGTAGCTCATCCAGCCCCATCCAGCGTGGCTTTGAACACTTTCAGGGTTGGAGCCTCACCCTTGGGGAATCTGCCCCAGTGTCTCACCACCCCCATAGTAAAAAATTTCTTCCCTAATATCTAACCTAAATTTCTTTCAATTTCTACCCATTACTCCTTGGCCTGTCACTACAGGACAGGAGATGTTTTAAACTCAGCAGACTGCTGGTTTAAATTGGAAAGCAGCCCGAGGAATGGGTTAGAAATTAGAAGTCAGCCCCAAGGGATGTCTCCTGAGGGAAGAGAAGGGTGCATATCTTCTCCTGCAGCATCAGGAGCTGGTTGCATCCAGCCTGGAAAATGCAGCGGAGCAGAGGGAATGATTGTACTGCAATGGACATCTCTCCCCAGGCCGTGAGAGCAGGCTGCCCCTGCGCCTCAGAGGGGAAGGCCAAGGACCCTTGGTCGAATTCAGCTCTCATACACTGAACATTGGGAGTGTTTTTGTCAACTCTTCCCACATCCATGAGGTGAGCAGCAGGGCTTGGGATGGATCCTGATGGCTCCTGAGGCAGCAGCAAGCCTGATGGAGCTGTGGAATTCCTGGCAACCTGGGCACTTGTGAGCAGGGAATATTTGTTGTACTGCTCAAATCTGAGGGGTCACAAAGGTGTGTCTGTTGTTCCTGAAGCCCCAGTCCCTGCTTTTGGGCAGCCTTCCTTAGGGATCAGCTGGCAGGCTTCCTGCAAAACAACCCCTTGGCACATGAAACCAGCACTGGCTCCAAAAGCTGCATGTTCAGAGGCTTTTGTGGCAGTGCCAGACACAAGGCCCCTTTGCACTGGGCTCTGCAGAAGCAGCTGCAACAAACTGGCTGCCTTGGGCTTCAGCCCACTGCAAACAGCTTCCAGTCAAGTGTCCCTGCCTATTCCTGGAAGTCACAGGAAAGCCATCCAGCCTCCTGGCTCAGTGCTGGCCCTTGCTAAAGGCTTGGGAGTTCTTTTCCTTGCTGACCAGTCCCTCACCACACTTTGGCCTCGGTGCATCTCTGACCCGAGAAAGAGAAAAGTGCTCCTGGGAATAAAGCAAAGGAGTTTTCTACCTATTTACCTCTCCCTCCAGAAAACAAAAATAAATCAAGGAGAGCAACTGAAAGATGTAGAAAATGAGGCTCTACATCATGCCAGACACTTTCAAAAGTGTGGCTGTGGAAGGGAAAGACACCCTGAGTTTTCTCAGCAAAAGATGGTGCTGTCTCTATGTTTTGATGCTGATGCCTCATTCTCAATGTATTGTTTTCATGGTCTGGGAAAAGGTGAAGGAGTAGATGGTGCTGTTGGAGCAGTGCTCACTGGGGCAGCAGCAGCTCTGGGGTGATTCCCTACGCAGCTGCAATCAGCCCACGTTGCTCTCAGGGCCAGTTCTCAATGCACTTGGTGCTGCTGAGCAGAGGGGCACTGCTCTGTGTCCATGGGATAAGCCCAGGGTGACTGCAGTTCTGTGGAGTTGCCACTGCTCTGCATGAAAACCCAAAGGCAGAACTTGTCCTGTTGTATCTTTGGACTTCTGCCATTCAGCAGCACAAAGCATCTTCTGCCTTTTCTGGGTGTTCATTGCATCATTAGACAATAACTCACAAGAAAGGAAGGTTCCACATGGATTTCCATTTTGCTTTCTTGCTTCTGCAGGTGGAACTGATTAATGAAGGAGCTCTTGATGCTCCCTTCATCTATATCCCTTCAACCACCAACGTGGGCTCCTGCTTCAAGTTTGAGCCCGAGGAGGGGATCATTGCAGCAGGTGGGAACCAGACTATTCAGATCGCCTTCAGTGCCACCGTGCTGGGGAGCTTTGCGGAGGAGGTCCAGTTCAGTGTGGCTGGATCTCCTATGCCTGCCATCCTGACCATCAAGTAAGAACCCTGGGAGCTGGGTGGGCACATCTGTGGCTGTCTCTGGGACATCCCCCACCTCCCTCCTTTTGGGGTGGAGCAGAGAACAAAGGTGTATCCTGAGGTCTGAATCTCTGCTTTGATGCTGGCATTGCCTTAGTGTGAGGCTGCCTGCTGCCCTGTGTGGTACCCAGGAGCTGCAATGACTCCTCCCTGCAGGGATCTCCCTGTGCCTTGGGCCATGGCAGGCAGTGGGATGGATCAGCTTTGGGCAGCAGCTGCTCTGGGATGTCCCACCTGAACACCCAGCAAGGCGCCCAGGGCTTTGCAGATGGGCCAGCCTGGCTGATTCTGCAGCAGCAGCAGTGTTTGTAAAACCTTGTGTGAATACTCCGTGCCAGATGGGCAGCAGCAGCCTCAGCTCCCCTCTCCCAGCCATGCTGTGGGGACAAGCTGTGCCCCCAGCTCCTGTGCACAGAGGGCTCTGGTGCCTCCTTTGCACAGCCAGCAAAGGGCTGATGTGGGAGTCAGGAACTGGGCAGCAGGAACTGTGCCAGGGACATGGGCACCATCCCATGGGCTGGTGCCATGGCAAGAGACAATCCTGGCCCAGCCAAAGGGAGAAGGGCTGATCATAGGGGAGGCAGAGCTCAGTGCTCAGCACCACAGCAGCGTGAGGCCTTGTCCCTGCCAGCCTGAGCCATGTGCTGCTGGGATAATGGAGTGGAAGCAGGAGAGCTGATGCTGGCTGCTCTGCAGTTTGGAGCTGGGCTGCTGCTCTTGGGAGGCACTGGCTCAAGGCAGTGAAGAAATGAAAACTGGATTATACCAATGAGATAAGGGAAATGGATTAAAAAGAACAAGAAAGTTATTACTTAGCAAGAGAAAAGTGGTGAGTAGGTCTGCCCATAGTGGAGAAACAATGATGCTGGCTTTGCTTTTGGAGGAAAGGTGCTGCTTTTTTCGTTTGGAAATCAAGAGGGAACCTTTCACCATCAAATAATTGATTCTTCTCTGTCCCTCCCGCAAAGTGGTCATGGGATGTTTCTGCATAAGCAGCTTTCTCCTTGAGCAAGGGCAGGTGTCTCTTGTTGAGGTGTGCAGAGCAGAGCCAGGGGCAGTCCTGTGAGTACCACACAAAGCACAGTTCACTGCTCCTTGATTTTGAACCAAAAGGCAGAGTGGGCACTGATTGGCATCAATCATGAAATAAACTCATGAGTGTTGTGCAGTTTCAAGTGCTGATTTCAGTGGATGTTGGTGGCTTTTGGAGTGTGTCTGCTGAGTTGAAGGACAGGTGAGGTGCTGTGCTAGATTCAGGACAGCCTTGTTTGGTTGTTGAAGCTCTTGCTCTTGGCTGTGCCAGCTGGTGCACTGCTGACAAGCTGGTCCTTGCCTCTAGGATTGATCTGTCCATTGTGTAGAACTGTTGCTGCTCTTTTCAGAGGATGTTTGGGGCTCCCCTGGCTTCATGTCTCAAAACTGTCTGTAATGATTGTGTGGGTCAAACTCTCCTGAGAAAGCTCCTCCATGGGAACAGCAGTTGCAGCTCAGAAGGAGCAAAGCAGGGAAGCTGTGGCTGGAAGGGCTGCTTACAGAAGTTTGTGGGGACACCTTGATGTCCATGCCATTGCAGCTGGGGAAACTGAGGCACGGAGCCATGTCTGGGTGTGTGTTCAGGGTCCTCCATGGGACCCCCAGCAACCCGGGGGCTTCTCCTGCCTGCCCTGTGCCCAGAGCCCATCAGGGGCTGTTGGCTGCTGCCCCTTGGCTTGAGCTGCCTCCTGTGCCCAGGGCCCTGTGCTGAGCACACGGGGCTGTGTTGGTTGGAAACCCAGGGTGCCCTGAGCCCGGGTTTTGTGCCCCCGAGCCGTGACAGCCAGGCCCTTGCAATGCCTTTAACCGAGCCATTGCCTGCTCTGTCCTCCAGGGGCAGCGTCACCGTGCCCAGCTTAGAGTTCGATGTCGATGAGATCAACTTCGGTGAGATCTCCTTTGGTGAGTGTTCCTGGGCTGGACACAGCGTCAGGGATCTGTGCCTTCCAAAATGGAGCCCTTGGACATAAAAGCATCTGTCACTCATGTTCTGCCACAGCAGCCTCTTCAGGCTGTGACCTCCAGGGCTGCTGGTGCCTCAGGTAGCCTTTTGCCATTGGGAGATCCAGTAGAAGCAAGGAATGGAAAGTCAGTATTTTCTGGTGTCTCTGTCCTGCTTTAAAAGACAGATGTCTGCCAAGGAAGGGGAATCTTCCTAGAATGGAAAGAGAAAAACTTCCCTTTCAAATTATTATACTTTTGAAACTACAGAGCTTCCAGGCAAAAAAATATGGGAAAAGGAATAACAGTTCTTTACTAGAATATATCAAGACAGCACAAACAAGAACACAATAACAGAAGTTTCCAACCCACCAAGTAGTGTTTTTCCCCTTTGGCGTAGTTGTGTTCAAAGGCAGGAGGAGCTGTGGGGATCTCAGAAAAGCCCACCCCAAAACTCCTGTCCCTCTTCCCAGACCAAGGGGAATATTCACTATGAAGCCTAAACCCATATTAATGAAGTTCATGAACTTTTAAAGAAAACTCATTGCCTTTCCTGAGCTGCTTCTTCCCCACCCTGCATCACCACTGAGGCACTTGTTAGGTTGCCTTTTGAATAAATGGAAGAAGAAAGGCAACAGATGGAAATATGGTTCTGAAACAGGAGATTCACCCTACTTAATCTGATTTCATTCCTGAAGTCTGTTCAGCTGAAGGCAGCTGTTTTGTCTTTGCTCCTTTTCAGCTCTTGATTGTTGTCTGCATGTGCTGGCCTCAGTCTCATTGGAGGTTTTGACATCTGTGTTTGTCCTTTTTGTGCCTCCCTTGCCTCCCTGCCGGAGTCCCTGCTGGAGCTGGCAGTGGTCACTTGGATGGGCACAGAGAAGCTCTGGGCTGCACCTGCAGTTGTTTTTTCTCCCCATCTGTGTCCCAGATGCTCTTGGTGAGCAGGCCTGGGGAGAAGTCTCCTCCCCACAGAGCTGGCCAGCCCGGCCAGATGTGCACTGCAGAGCAGGCTGTGGCTGCTCTGCGCACCCTGCGGGACATCCCCACCATGAGTGGCTCTATCTCTGCAAATCTCAGAGCCAAAGTGGGGTAAACCCTTGCAGGCAGCACTCACAGTGAGCAGCACGGCTGTGATGTCCCTGTTTGTGGGCTGAGGTGGGACCTGGTTCCTAATTGCTAATCTCAAAGCAAGGCTTGGCTGTGCCCCCAGTTGAGTGGGCTCTGAGCTGTCATGTGCTCAGTCTGTTTGGCCCAAAGCAAGAGATGCCTTAAGGGTCCTGCAGAGACAAGCTGCATTAAATGCATCATGTTCTAGTTCCTGATTCCATCCTCACTTTTTTTTGCTGTAGCTTCTTCTCAAGGACAACTCACTGTTTATATATCTTGAAAACTGAGAGTGTTGGCAGACTTGACAGGGAATTTTACAGCTTGAATTCTCAGAGTAAATGCTGGGTCTGGGTGCACACTCATCACTGAGAGAGAACTGGTGCTGGTTTGGGGCAGGTGAGGGAGCTCGTCCCCATCCCCAAGAGAGAAGCTTGCAGTGTTCAGCAGGGCTAGGAGTGGGCATTTTCAAGGCTGCAGTCTGGAATCTGTGTCAAAGGGAGCTAAGTGACGATTAATTCCTCACGCAGCTTCTGGGTGAGCTGTAGTTCAGATCATAAAGAGCTCAACTCCAATGCCACTTTGATCCTGCCAGGATATTCCCCCAGGATCATGCCCTGCTGGGTGCCTGAATGGATATTTGTGTCCTTGCCCAGGCTTTCCCCACACGCAGTGCTGCCGCCTCACCAACAGCTCCCCGGTGCCCGTGACGTTCCAGCTCCGCATGTCGGACGATGGCACGCAGCCGGCTGTGGACAGCCTGGATCAGATCCGCAGAGAAGGTGACCCATCCTGGAGGAACGGAATTCATTTCTATCTGGAGCCCAAGGAGTTCACCATCAATCCCAGCCAAGGCACCATCCTCCCCCAGGGACACCAGGACATCGAGGTACGGCAAGAGCCCGGCCACAGCCGCTGCAGCACCAGGGCTGGAGCTGCACTGCAGGGTGGGAGGGCTTTAGCTCTGGTGCCAGCTTGGAGCATCCTGGCACTGAGAGATCTGCACTGCTGGGAGGCCTCTGCTAGCTGGCTCACTTGGGATGTTCCTCAGGGAGCGCTGCTTGCTTTCCAAAATCATATGCTGAGCTCACAGACCTTATGGTCAAGGCCTGAAGCCATCCTTGTGTTTTTGAGAGCAATTTATTTGATTACAAGTGGGCAGAGCAAGGATGAGGGCAAAAGGTGGCTGTTAGAGAGATGTCACTGTATAAAGCAGTTAGCTTTTTTTCTTGGTCTCATTTCCCCCCTCCTGGGGAGCAGAATGATTAGTGTTGGAATCTCCAGTGGAGACAAAAAAACTGCAGCCATGAACTGCCCAGCACCTGCTGGGCCACACTTTACCCTCAGCTTCCTACTGTAAAGCTGAACTCATTCCGTTCAAGTCAGCAGATTTCCTCTGTGTTTGTGTCATCCTAGTCAGATGAAAAATTGGCCCCTTAATTTGAATACAGCAGTGCATAAAGCTTTAGTCTAACGTTTTAATGTAGCTTAATGTAGACTTATGCCCTGATAGCAAGGTGTGTTTACCAGATCTGGTCTTGCCAGAAGGCTTTTGTTACTCTGAGACTGTGCTCTAACATGGACCAGCAGAAGAATTAAGGCAAAATCTGCCCTTTCTTTACCATGAAACAAGAACTGGAGGATATTACAGGTGGGTAATGAGCTTTTGTAAGGAAGAATTGACTACTTTTCTCTTGCACCAGGTGACCCTGTGTTCCAACAGCGTGATGGATTTCTACCGGAGAATGCTGGTGGACCTGGAGGGTTTTGGCAAGGGAGTGACAGCACTGGTCATCACAGCCAGGTACCAGCCCTTGCCTGGCCTCCCCCAGGCCCTGCCTTGCCCAGGCTGTGCTGGCTGCAGCTGCCAAGGAGAAGTGCTGCTGAATGCCCTCATGTTGTGCCAGCTGGACACGAGAACAGCAGTGCTTGGGCAGCAGCCTGTGGTGAAAAGCACCCCTGCTCATAGCCCAGCACAGTCCTGAGCCTTTTTCTAAAGGGATCAGGAATGATATTTTTATTGGCCTGGGGTTTGTTCCTTGGGGTAGAACAAATTTCCCAAGGGCCTCCTCTCCTTCCTGCAAGAGGTGGAGTTGTGCTGGTTGTGAGCACCGTGCACTGGTTTGGGCCACACCAGGCAGCCTGCTGAGAGTCAGGGTCTGGTTCTGTTAATGACAGCAGGTGACAGGGGAAAGTGGCTCACAGAAACAGTGGTGAGTGCAAGATCTTATGAGGGGAAAGCAGCCCTTGATGGGGCAGGTCAGTTCCAGTTTTTCTCCTTCCCTGTGCTTCCTATTTTGAGCTTCAATGTTCTCAGACTTAAACCAAAAGTCATTCTTGCTGCAGAATTCCATGCTGCTGTGCTGCTGTGGGTGTCAGTGTGATGCCCAGAGGGATGCAGCTCCCTGGTGCTGTTCCCTGTGCCAGGCAGAGCCATCCAGGCAGTGCCTGGGCTGCCATTGTGTACAGCAGGTGGAGCTGGGGCCAGGCAGTGCCTGGAGCTGTGCAGGGAAGGAGCCAGGGAGCTGCAGGGCCTGGCAGGGGCTGATCAGCCCCTCTGTGGGGCAGCTGCTGTCTCGTGCCCTCCAGGGCTGGGGCAAAGAGCTGAGTTCTCAGGCAGGGCAACAGCACCATGGCAGAGAAGGGAGTCATTTTTACTGAGACCCTGGAGCTGTGTGTTCCTTGAGCCTTAGGGAGCACTGATCCTTGTCGAGTCATTTTTACTGAGACCCTGGAGCTGTGTGTTCCTTGAGCCTTAGGGAGCACTGATCCTTGTCGAGTCATTTTTACTGAGACACTGGAGCTGTGTGTTCCTTGAGCCTTAGGGAGCACTGATCCTTGTTGGGAAGGCTCCCCCAGAGCTCGTGGGTCGCTGGCACTGTTCCAGGAGTCCTTGCAAGCCTTCTTGGGTAAAGGAGGGGCTGAGGCAGCTGTGGGGCAAAGTGCTCTGCCTGGGGCCCTTGGCAGCCTCTGGGTGCTGCCTCTCAGGGTTTGCCCCTCCTTGACAAGACATGTTGGAGTGGGAAGAGGTAGAAGGCAATTTATCACTGTAGGGCTGTTAAATATCTATTTGATAGTGACAAGTGTTATGCTCCATTTCACAATCTTTGGGGGTAAACGTTCTCCCTTCTCTCAGTATCTCTGATTCCCCTGGGGTCATCTCTTTGCCCAGGTGTCTCGTTCCTGAGCTGCGAGTGTACCCTGAAATCCTGCTGTATGATGAGTGCTACCTGAATGTGCCGTACGAGAGGAAGTTCCTCATTGCAAATGACACCGACTTTCCTGGCTGCTACGGGCTTATTCCCCAGGTTTGGCATCACATCCACTTCCTCCTCTCAAATATTATTGAGGAGATTATGAGGGGAAAAAAGGGTTTGGATAAAGCCTTGCTGGTTTCTATTCAGTCTTAAAGATCTGCTGAGAACAGGATCCTGAATGTAAACTTTAGGATGCAGTTCAACCTCCTGAGGAAACAGTTGATGTTCTGGTCTAGTCTTCAGGGTGTTTTCTTGTGAGAGATCTTAGAGAGTTGTGAAAAGCTGCTGCATCCACAGACACCAACGCCTGTGCTGGCAGCCTCCTTGCAGGACCCCCTGAGAATGCTAAGCCTGCAATTCTTGCATCTTGTTTCTGTCTTTGACCTTTGTTCTGGGGATTTTTAAACATGTGTGTAAGTTGCCGTTGCAGCGGATGTTCAGGAGTTTAAGGTTTCTTCAGAGGTCCCTCTGAAGCTGCATTTCATGGTGTCCCTTCCAGGAACGCAAGGAGGACTCTCCTGTGCTCTACAGCAGCCCCAAGCCCTGTGGGATCGTCCAGCCTCACAGCTTTGCCGAGGTCCCGGTTATAATCAAAGTCCAAACACTGGACAAGCATCGCACCGACATTCTCATCGGCGTGTTCGGGGATGAGAGAAACCCCCTGGTGAGGGCAAGGGGAGATGTGAGCCTGTGTGCAGCTGCTCCTGGCAGGGTGCACAGGGACAGGGACTCTGCTGGGGAAAACAGGCACAGGCTGCTGGGGAGAAGGACAGGAGGGACCGGTGGCACAAACAGCCCGTGCCTCATAGGTGGTGACCTCAGTGTCTGACACAGAAGGTCATTCATCTAAGCTGGAATCAAAGATTATTTTAGTTAATTAATCTTTAATGATGTTAATTTTGGAAACATCTGTTTTAAAATGTCTTGTCATCTCTCTGAGCACAAAAGAGGATGTCAGAAGACTTCTGGGAACCTTGAGCCTTCTCTTAAAGAAAGGAAAGCTGGCATTTGAAGAGTGGTTGGAGAGGGATGTAAATTTATACTAAAACAGATGGAAATGATGATGCCAAATTCCCTGGGTGGCACCAAACATCTGAACCTGGGCCATTGTGGCACTGCATGTAACTCAGTGAACAGGAGGGACAGGCAGTGCAAGCTGTGCCAGGACAGGCAGCGCAAGCTGAAGTCTGACAAAACAGCTGCTTTCTACTATCAGGCTGCTTCCCTTAAAGAGGAGGGTTTCTCCCCACCAGAATAACTAATTGTTTAACTCTCAGCCTGGTCTTAACTAGAAATTCCTTGCAAAGCTTTTGCCTTTGGGCCAATAATTTGTGGTTGGAAAGTTTCTCATACCTTAATCCTTTTTAATTTGGAGGTGAATATTTTTTTTTTTTTCTAAAAGCCCAGCATTTCAGCTGGAAAGTGGAAGCATTCCCTAAAGAAACAACTCGAGTGCAGTTGAGCTGTTTAAGCTTTTTTAGGTTTCCCTGTTATGGTTTGTTTTGGTTTTTTTTTTTAAATCTTTCTTGCCTGCTTCCTGGAACAGAGACCAGAATTACGGAGCACTGGACAGCTGGCACAAATCTACCCAAGTCCCAGGCTGATAGAGTTTGGCAAGATCCCAGCACTACAGCCTACTTCACGAAGTCTTACCCTCTTCAACAAAGGTCATGTCCCTACAGACTTCAGGATGGAGGTTGTAAGTATCTGTGGGGCTGTTTTCCAGGGAAATGGACTGGTCAGTAGCAGCCATGACTTGGTTTTTATGTGCAAGATTTCCATATTGCCCTGTGTGAGAGGAGGCAAGATACTCCAATATTCCATCTGAGCGAGGCAAGAGGAACCTGGCTCTGGAGTGGTTTTAGCTGGGGCAGCCCTCAGTGAAATCAGGCGCAGAGATGTTGGAGCAGAAATTAATCTGGATTGTGTTGACAAGTTCTCCCTTAATTTTATGGAAGGTCTTTAGCTTTGCGTGATCACATTTTTGGAGCCCTGCGCTCAAGAGAAACCTGTGGGCCTTTGCTCCCCAGAGCATGGATTTCCCAATGGTTTCCTTGTCCACCTACAGTTGCTTTGTGCCAAACTGCTCATGTGGAGGCTCCTGTGGGTCAAGCCATCTGGGCTGTCCACACAAAGACAAGTGTGGGGGTTGTGAACCCCCCCAGCCTGTGACCTCTGTGCTATTGAAGAGCATCTTTGGGGAGCAGCTGCAGAGAAGGGCTGCCTAATACATGGGGGGCTGCAGAGGGCAGAAGGAGCTGGGGCTGCTCCCCTGGCAGGGGGAGCAGGGCTGGTGCAGCCAGGAAGGGCTTGTAGGCTGGGCCTGGGGCTGGCTGGGATGTCTGCTGGAGGGGGAGATCTGTGAGGGGCTTGAGGTTTGTTCTTCTTCATGCTGGGTGTGTTGAACTTGTGGAGCTGGATAAAACCTGATGCTATGGACTTGTTTATGTCTGTGGGTAAAGCATCAGGCCGTGTGGGAGAGTCCAGCCACAGCCTCCTGGGCCAAGGAGGAGGGGTGTGAATTTTCCTCTTGCTGCTTTTCCAGCTGTTTCCACAATGGAGTTCTGCTTTCAGCCTCTGCAGGGAGCAGTGCACCTTGGCTGGGTGCTCATGGTGTGTAAAGGTTGGGTTTCACGTGCTCATACCAGGGCCAGACCTGCAGAGCTGTGTCTGTAGAGCTGTGCTGGTGCAAGGCCTTTCCCCCTCCTGTGGGCACCTTCCAGCTCTCTTGCCCAGTCCGTGAAGTCCATGAGAAACAAGATGACAAGAGTTCTTGGGAAGAGTGGGCCATGCCCACAGAGCACATGCATCCAGTTTTCTTTCTGCTTCCTACTTTCCTGCTCTGCTAGAAGCATTTAGAGGTGACTGACGGAGGAAGGGGACCCAGACACCAATTGGTTCATCCAAGTCTGATTTATTGATCGAATACGGCGGGTTAAATATAGTTCTTAATAAGCTTCATACATATTGCAAAAGTTGAGCTCAGGATTGGTTAGTTACATATCAGCAACTACACCTACTTCTACATTCTTGGGCTTATTCTTCTGTTACATTCTGCAGATATTCAGGACTAATCTCACCTCCCTTTCCTCATGTTGCAGCAAGGCCATCCGGCATTCTTGCCTGTCAGCAGTCACTGAATCAGAGACTGCTGACCTCCCTTTCAAGCTTAACCAGCGGCATTAAATCAGTATGGCCTTTCTCAATTAACCAACTCTTAATAAAATCCTCCACATTTCCCCCGCTTTCTTCTTGAGCAAGGAGATTAGTTTGCCAGGTTTTCGCTATCATACGGCTAACCATGTTTTGAATACAAGTAAAAATACAAGGCAAAATAAGCAAAAACATTAAGATCACACCCAGTAAGCCGATAGCATAGATCACAATGTTCCTTAGCCATGGTCCAAGCCCTAAGCCTTTAAGCCATTCGTCAATTCCTAAACCTTCTTCTTCTTTGAGATTGTGAAGTCCTTGTTGTAGTTCTTTTATCTTAGTATGAATGGACACCGAATGATCAGACAAATTCATACAACACATTCCCTCAAATTCTTCACATCCATGCCCTTGTGCTAAGAGCAAAAAATCTACAGCAGCTCTATTTTGTAAAACAGCATGGTTAACACTTTGCACATCTGCAGTCATCATGTCCAGAATTTGGGATGTCTGGTTCAGCTCATTTCTTGTCCAGCACCCTAATTGTTTTGCTAAATTCATAGCCTTATTGGCAGATCCTCCTGGTAAGATAGTTGAAACTACTACTTGTCTGAATGTACCCCAAAACTTTGGATCTCTTATCTGGCTGCAGTCCAAGTCATGTATACTATGCCTTTTCCTGTTTGATGTTTGACTGAGCTGCATTAGCAAGGACACATTAGGGTGAAACAAGGACAATTTTCCCAAATAACAGGGTCCACCCTGTGGCTTAGCTGGTACACCATTCCACGCCCTGTCTCCACAAATTAGAAATATTCCTGTAGGTAATTTCATTGGTGCCGTGATGTTTGTGCCGTTACATTGACTGTAATGCTGTGGAGAGAATTCACTCAAATTCAGGGATGAATCCAAGGTGGCCCATGTTTCTTTAGGTTGATTTAAATTTTGAACATCCAAGGGTTTGAAACTAAACTATCCTCCAGCTGTAATGTTAGGCATACTGGCATTTGCACTTCCAAAAAGATCCAATTCCTCAGGAGGAGAATGCAAAGAGGTGTTAAGTGATTGGATTAGTAAGCATTGGCGATAGCCATCACTCTGACCTGCAGTATATCCTTGCTGTGCTGGCAATGTGATGTTAGACATGTTACGCATGCATAAAGTTCGATTACTTATTAAACTGCAAAATTCTCCAGGAGACCACACTGGAAGTCCTACCAAGCATGTTCGAAATGGGTTAGTAACCCCTCCAAGACTAAGACAAAGCGATGATTGGTTAATTTGTTTAGCAAGTGTTACCCATAGATTTTCTTTTGGCTGACTGAAACGTGTTATCCCTATCGCTTCACTTACTACAGCATTGAGCAGTATAAAAACAAACTTCATTCTTCTTTCTGCTTTCTCTGTTTTTCCTTTCTTCGTTGTCTTTTCCCTGGTTTGTTAGAATGTCTATTGTGAGGCTGAGTCAATTTCTGAATACACTGATCTAATTCCAAATCAGCATCCTTGCTTACAGGTATAGCATCAGGTAGGTTTAAAAGCAAATCAGCTTTACAGCGAGCTGCTATGATGCGTGAGGATGTAGTAATTTCAAGCTCTCTAAGTACTTGCTGTAATTTCCATCTAATATATGCTATAACCACTTGTTCTGCACTCTCAAAAAGCTCCAATCCTGCCCTTCCTGGCAGGCCAGTACTTTGTTCAAGAGATCTAAACCAGAAAGAATATCGAATCCACTTCCCAAAACAAGGGTGACACCATAAAATTCCTACTGTCCTCTGTGAATACCAGTAAACCTTATTGCAATCAGCACAATGCAAAGCTACCCAAGCATAGCACTTATTATTATCCTTTTTGCAAACATAACAAGGAAGTGTATATAGGAAAGGATCAGTATTAAAATTTATCTGTGTGATCCAATCCAACCAGTTCAATGGTGGTGATTGCAAAGCCTCTTCAGCTTTCTTACTATATACAGCTACCAATTCAAGCTCCTTCTTTAATACAAAATGTATCTTATCTCGTAATCGCTGTTCTTGTTCTTCAACACCTATAGCATGCCACGAAGCAGGGTCCCATGGAGCTACAGCATCCCACAAGGCAGAGTCCCATAGATGTGAAATTGCCCTAATCATAGAAAGCTAATTAGCAATCACTAATAGCCTTATTTAGATGAGGTTGTTCCCCATCTTACCTTCTTTTTCTTATCTGCTTTCAGTTTTGCTGCTCCTAACTTTACTGGTACTGTTACTTGCAAACTTAATTTTTGCAACTTTTCAATGCAGCAGTCTAGTGCTCTTTCAGGATTCCCTCTGAAGGACCCTACAATCGAACGTTGTGTTAAAGGTACTAATTTTCTACACCTTACAGAGACTATACGTGACTTTACTTTGAACCTCAATTCTATTCACAACACATTGTACTTCCCATTGATAATAAGCAAGAATTTTTGTTCAGGAGACTCATAAAGATTTAAAGCTACATATGCATTTTGCCCTGTTTGTCTCCTTAATTCATCTTGCCAGCTTTTACCCCACATGTGCTCGTGCTCACAAATGTGACACCACAAATCCCATAATAATGATTGTTCTATCCAAAAAGTATTATCACAGCCCCCACAATGTAGAGCTATCCAGGCAGCACAATGTGGATCATAACAGTCAAGGCAATGTTCCTTTGCTGGATTTGTTAAACGAAAAGTTGATAATGAGTCAATAAAACCAATCGGCTCCTGGGCCGTCCGATAGTGACGTGTCAGTGCTTTGTCCAACACTTTCAAGTGTCCCTTCAACTGTAACAGTAGTGGTCGTAGGACTAGAAACAGTTTCTTCCCCAGTAGCTCCTTGTCCTCCTCCGTGAGATGGTCCACCAGAGGCTGCATCAAAAACAGGTTTAGTCCACTTAGCAGGCACCCACAAAGGTCCTGTAGGTGAGGAAACACAAAGATATCCCCGACCCCAGTATAATACTTTTGCAGGTTTTTCCCATAATCCTGTAGTCGAGTTTTAATTTCCTGACCTGACCTCGGATGATGTTTAATTGCAGGAGGGATATCGTCTTCCCCAAAAATACATAAATGATTGATCACATACAGAACCTTAGCTAAGCATGATTGTGGGTCTGTTAAATCTTGATGCTTCTCAATATACTGCTTAAGGGTACCATTTGCTCTTTCCACTATTGCCTATCCAGTAGGAGAGTGTGGAATACCTGTCACATGCTTAACAGACCACTGATTCAACAATTTCTGGACCCTAGCACTCACATAAGCTCAACCATTATCCGTTTTGATACTCTTTGGGACTCCCATGACAGCAAAGCAACTTAACAGGTGCCTGATAACATGTGTAGCTTTTTCTCCTGCCTGAGCCGTAGCCCATATGTAATGACTATATGTATCTATAGTGACATGCACACACTTAACTTTACCAAATCTAGGTACTTGTGTAACATCCATTTGCCATTTTTCATTTATTTCCAAACCTCGAGGATTAACTCCCATGCCTAAACCTATTCCCTCATTATGATAACTACATATTGGACATGCTCTAACAATGGCTTTAGCTTCTGATAAACTCAGCTCAAAATGTTTTGCAAGCCCTCTTGCATTTTGATGATATCTGCTATGTGCTTCTCTGGCCAATGTATGCTTGTCAATAGGACAAGAGTTATCAATGGGTAAAGTAACCAATTTGTCTGCACGTTCATTCCCTTCTCCTAAACCTTCAGACCATTTATGACTCCCAATATGAATCACAGAATACACTGCATTTCTCTCTCGTAAAGCTTTCCTTAATTGTATCAATAGTTCATACAATCGTTTATTATTCACTCCCTTAATTGCTGCTTCCTCTATTCGTCTGGCTACTCCGGCAACATACATAGAGTCTGTGACCACATTTAAGGCTCCTGTAAGTTAGACATTGCCCATACTACTGCTAACAATTCCAAAGTTTATAAACTATCTGCAGGATCTGCTGTAAGAAGTTGATGCTTCCATTGTCCTTTTTCTTGCCAGGTGACAGCAGCACGCCTTGATTTCTTTCCTGCATCTGTAAAAGCTGTAATAGCTCCTGTATCCAATAATCCATAAAGGGTTATGCTTTGATGCCCATGGGTAATTTCCACTTTTTGTTTTGGTCTATTTTGTAAATCCACAGTTAAAAGTGTAACATCAGTAGAGCCAAAACCCTTCTCATTCCGTATTTGCCCAGTAAATGATGGTATACCAGATGTCATTTGTGATAGTGGTATTAATTGTGCAATGCGTTGTCCTTTTGTTATTTTAATAGGAGGATAAAGGGTGTAAACCATGATTTGTATTTCCCCTGTATAATCCACATCGATAACACCAGGCAATACAAATAATCCCAGCATAGTTATTGAAGAACGTCCTAATAACAATGCTCCACATCTTTATCCATTTAATATAAGAGGACCCTTTACTCCAGTTTGTATCCTCTCAGGCCGGTTCGTCATTAGTGTGACGTCTACTGCTGCTGATAAATCCAAACCAAGGCTCCCTGCTGTTGCGGTTGCAGACAGGAGGTGACAGTGATGTTACGGCAGCAGCTGATGTCTCCGATGTCACGGCGGCAACTTGTGTCTGGGCGCGTATGTCCCTCATTGCCGCATCAGTAACACTTGATGAATGGTCTCGAGCTCTGCGTGTCCGCCAGTGAGCCGCTTCGGAGAGGAGCAAGAGCAGCTAACACCTGATTCTGAGCAGCTAACACCTGATTTTGAGTAGACTCTGCTTGCTTTTGTAACCCTAATCCTAATTCCTTTAAAGTTTCTACTATAAATGCCTGTGAAGCTGTTGGCATTAATGCCATTCGCTCTAAAGCTTCCTCAATAGTCCAATTTGCCCCTAAAGTAGTTAACACTCTTGCATTTGCTTAACAGGTTCACTTTTTACTCCAAACTAACCATAGAACGTAATTGAGCTAACATCTTCCAATCTAAGGGAGTATATTCCGCTATATTATGTGTAAGGTTCCCCTGTGCATCATACTGTGGTGTGTATGTGACCGGACATGCAAGATTAGAAGCTACTTCCACCGCCTCGCCATCCCCCATCTGCATTACTTCTTTTGCCACAGCAGCCCAAGCTTCCCTCCTCTGTTTAGCCATCTCCCCCCATAGGTCACTGTGTGCCCCCGGGATGGGATCTGACTCTTTAAGGGTGCTATGCTGCTGGCACTCCGGTACCGAGACCGAGTTCTCGTACGGGGAAGGCGGTGGAGCAGGAGCTGGCTCGCGCGGGGGAAGCGGCCCCCCCGCTGCTGGAGCTGACAGTGAAACCGGAGACGACTCGCGCGGGGGAAGTGGCCCCCCGGGAGCCGGCCCGCTCGGGGGAAGCGGCGGAGGCAAAGGTGGCGGCGGAGGCGAAGCTGGCTTGCTCCCACCCCCACCATCCGACCCGCCTGAAGCTGGCGGCGGAGGCAAAGCTGGCTTGCTCTTACCTCCACCATCCAACTCGCCTGAAGCTGGCGGCGGAGGCGAAGCTGGCTTGCTCTTACCTCCACCATCCAACTCGCCCTCCCCCTCTGACAGGAAGGGTGCAGATGGTTCCACTGTATCTAAGGGAAAATTTTCCACACCATTTTGCTGGGGACCCTTAGGCATAAGTATCTGAGTTACAGAAGGTGCTAAGGGATCATCCTCACGACCATACCCTATATTCCTCTTATGAGCTTCTGTCGCCCTTTCTGCTGCCTTTCTCTCAGAGACCTGCTGAAGTAACGTATTATACACCACCCGCCATAACTTGCCAAATGTCTTTGCTGACTTATCATCATCTAACACTGTATCCCACAGGATATCCCCAAACTTTTTCCACTCTACTATCTCATGAACTGTATATGAATTAGCAAAAATTGCTTTAGAATAACCATAAGCTAATAACCCTGGTAATTCCTTTTTTAAATCTATCCCTTTTACTCCTCGTCTTTCTAAATATGAGGAGAAGGGACCGTATGTCGCTTGCCTATCCATACCTATATATCAGCGCGCGCTGTTGCAGCTCTTCCAGGCTCCCGGCGACATGTAGAGACTTGAGATACCGTTGTAATCCTCAAGGGTGCTATTAAAATCCGGCACCGTCCCGGCTGCAAGGACTCTCACCCAACTTCCTCGACCGTGGCGAATTTATAATCCAAGAGAGCGAACGTTCAGAATGCTGCCTTTGCCCGCATTCTCCACCATTTGACGGAGGAAGGGGACCCAGACACCAATTGGTTCATCCAAGTCCGATTTATTGATCGAATACGGCGGGTTAAATATAGTTCTTAATAAGCTTCATACATATTGCAAAAGTTGAGCTCAGGATTGGTTAGTTACATATCAGCAACTACACCTACTTCTACATTCTTGTGCTTATTCTTCTGTTACATTCTGCAGATATTCAGGACTAATCTCACCTCCCTTTCCTCATGTTGCAGCAAGGCCATCCGGCATTCTTGCTTGTCAGCAGTCACTGAATCAGAGACTGCTGACCTCCCTTTCAAGCTTAACCAGCGGCATTAAATCAGTATGGCCTTTCTCAATTAACCAACTCTTAATAAAATCCTCCACAGTGACTATTCCAAAGCAGAGGGCACTGGGGCACCTCTCTACAGCTGATGATCAGTGGGAAGTGAGGGCTTCAGTCCTTTAGGGGATGTTGAGAAGCACTGATGGCTCCTTGGGGAAGAATAGTTTGGTGTTGGGGTTTGCTTCCCTGGTTTTGCAGAGAGACTCTTCAGGCTCTCAGCAGTATCCTCCAGCCGTGTGGTTTCTGCAGTGGGATTTGAGCAGTCCTGGCTTCCTGTGGCCTTGAGCCTTTGTGAGAGAGAGAAAGGAGCTTTCCTTGGCCCACACTGCGTAGAAAGATTGGGGAAGGAACACTCTCCTGAGGATAAGCGTCCCTTGGGTTGGGCAAAACTGGGTTAATTAGGTGAGTCCATTGAAGGAGGGGAAAATACAGGTTGTATGAACTCTGCTGTTGCCCAATACTGTATTTTAGGGATTTTAAACCTTTATGATTTTTATCATCCTCTCTTTAGTCTTTCTTCTCTTGTGGCCCACAAGAGACCAGGGTGGTTTCCTAAATGCATGTTGTGCTTGTCTTACAGGTTCGCAAACGCCACTGCTGTACCGTTGAACCCAGCGAAGGAGTGATCCCTGCTGGGGGTGAGGTGCCTGTGACTGTCACAGCAACCCTGGATGACAGGGGGCTTTTTTCTGTCCCTGTCCGGGTGTTCATTGGGAGCAGCCTTAGCACCGCCTTCGGGCTGGTGGCTTTGGGCACTGGCACCACAATTGTCATAGACAAGCCATTCAGCCCAGAGCTCAACCTGGGATACCAATTCAGGTAGGAGATCTCTCCACTCCCACCTCTCCTCCTCCTGTCTCAACAAGGAGCAGTTTTGCTGTAGTCCTTCAGGCAAGGTCTTCTTCAGTGTTGAAAGCCCTGACTCCTTCCCTGAAGGCAGAGATTCTTTTAGAAGCATGTGATGGCCAGTTGAGAGTTGTTAGACACCCTCAAAAGCCACTGACAGGGAAACCAGTTGCTAAATTGCCATTGAATTGTCTTTAGCTCTGATACATTGATGTCCTCACTTGACCAAGTAATGATCTCACAGGCTCCCCCAGAACAAAAGGTTCCTGAAATGGTGTCCAGATGAGGCAGTCCCTCCATGTGGCTGAGGGACCAAGGGAAGATGGCATCACACCCTTCCCTTCCAAAATGGCAAGCAGGGGCCCCGGGAACAAAGAGACAGGAGGGTGACAACCCCCACGGGCAAGGCAGGAGCGCACAGAGCAGTTCCAGAGGCAGATGGAAACTCTCTGGTTTGTGCGGGGTCCGCACGGCCGCTGCCGCCGCTTCCTCGTGCTCTTCGTGGGCTCTGCTGCTGCCCTGCTCTGCCCAGGACCTCGCTCGATTTTTCACTGCCAGCAGAGTTTGCAAAGTTCACTTCCAAACAGTTTCTAATGCAAAATGAAGTTTCTACAAATGGCTAGCAGTGCAAAACCAAAGCTACTACGAACGACGGAGGCTCTGCACCCCTGGTGTCCTCTCCTGGAGCAGGCAGACACTTTTTACCAGCTTGCTGGGATCATCCAGAAACTGCCTCCGAGCTGGCTTTTAGAAATGTCTGCAATCATACCCCCCCACACAATGTCCCCCAGTGCAGGATCTCAAAGATTCAGTAACAGTTTCAGGCACAGATTAATACAAAAGACAGTAACAGTATGAATCAACCCAGAACAAACATCTTGGAGGAAAACACCACCTTCTGTTAGCCTCACCTGGCAAATGTTGCATTACCATTATAAACATATTTCCCTTTGAAATAACGATGTCAAAAGGGCACCTTATCAGACACTATTTCTGGTCCGCATTAGGAACTGGAAATGTAGACAGTCTCCAAGCAATTAACACCTCAAGTTGCTCACTGGGAGCAATCTGATGACCAGGGAAAAAGCAACTCCCATACTATTTTCCATCCTGCCTTCTATTCTAGCCTGGTGCCCTGTATTCGTCAGTTCAAAGTAACAAACAGGGGCCACCATTTCCATCGGCTCTTCTGGAGTGTGGAATGCTACAGCCCATCTGAGCAGGAGGGCCAGAGTGTCTCAGCCCTCAGCAGCCCCAAGGATGATTCCCAGAGCCCCAAACGTGCCGAGCCTTTGTTTGGGCTGGAGCCGCTGTCGATGGACCTGCAGCCAGGCCGCTCTGAGGACATGGTGCTGCGAGGCTTCTCCAGCATCGCACAGGTGAGGTCCCCACCGTGGGCTGAGCCTGGGCCACCATCAGATCCCCTCCCCGGGCTTGTTCCCTTGACATTTCCCTGGGGAACTGAGCAGAGGCCTTCAAGAAGCTGATGTAAGACCACATGTTTCTGTGGCAGCACCAGTTGCTTTCCTTGCTGGCCACCATCAGACCAGCTAAGGCTTTATTGTGATTCCACAGCTACCAAAACCCAGTGCTGATCCCAAAGCAGCAGTGGAAGGAAATATTGCTCTTTTTGGGCAAACAGTGCTGCATGCTGAGTCAGCAAAGAAGGGCACAGAAATAAGTTACACTTAGTCTAAAAGCCCAAAAAGAAAGTGAATTAAACAAGTGCCAAGTGATTTATCTGGGGTAAGCATGGAGTAAAACAAAAGCCTTGTGAAGGGAGGGAGTTATCTCACAAGTGCCTTTTGTGGGTATTGGGGTGCAGTGTTACCGACAATTGAGCACAAAATAAATAAGCTGCATCACTGGAAGAAAAGGGGGCAGTGACCATAACTCTGTGGCAATTATAGAGCCTGTGGTGGGTGGCGGGTGCTGAGCCAGTGGAGGGCATTTGCCGGATGCTCTGCCACCACCCACTGGTGACAAGTGACTCTCGCACGCAGGAGGTGCAGGATTATGTGATGTGTGAAGCTGTCAGTATGGCAACCGGCAGGACTGAGAAGATAATGGAGACAGTCATTACCTGCAAGTTTATTCACCCTTCTATAGAACTGTCAGCCAGACACTTCTCTTTCCAGGTGACCAAGGTAAGTCTGGATTGCATGCTGGCATTTAACGGCATGGCTGAGGGGGGGGTGTGCTTGTGTTAAAGCCCCTCTTTACCCTTCCTGAGGCACTCTGTAAAGTGAGTGAAGATGCTTTTAGGGATGAGACTGGTATTTAATTTCCCCAAAGTAAAACTGCAGTTACAGCTGCACTGCCAAGGGGGATCTTGGCCACTTCCAGAGAAATGCCAATTTCTCTGCTCACTGTAAAGAGAGGTTTTGGAGGATGCTCCAAGGCATGGTGATGTCTGTACACCGATACTGTAGGGAAGTTGGGAAAAATGGAGATTCCTGTGAATTCCTCAGGCTGACAAGGAAAAACCCATCACCTTCTATGTCTCTTTGCCTTCTCTGCTATTGGCATGAATGCTTTATGGTAGAGTTATATAGTACAGCTCTGTGCATTTCCCTAAGTCTTCAAAGGAGCCCCAGGCATCCTGCAACTGCAGTGATGACACTGAGGCAGAGCAGGTGCCCTTTAGTCTCTGGATCCCCACTCCAGCATCACCTTTCCCTCTCCTGCAAGTTGTCTAAAAAAGAGAAGATCTTTCATCCTTTGGTTTCTGTAGTTTCAGGCCTCTCCTCTGGTTTCCCAGGCTTCCACTGAAGTACAGAATCCCCCCTGGAACAGGCAGTTCAGATGTAATTTAGAGGCTTTTCAGCCCTCCCTGATTCTGCCTGGCTTCTGCTCAATGCCACACACACAAACTGATTTATGGCATACTATGGCACAGCACCTGTTGGATACCAGTACCTCCAGAACCAGCTTCCCAAAGGCTCTGGTTTCTCTGAACCATGCAGGAAGCCCAGCACAATGCACAGACAGGAAGGAAGAGCCCGGGCTTTTGTGAGGCTGCTAGAGCCAATAAGGTTGTGAGAAATGACTGTCTGTGAGTGAAGATCCTCTAGTGCTGTTTTGCCCAACAGAAAGACAAAACTGGAGACAAATGGTCTGGATTCACTTTCTGCTTTAGATCTTGTTCAAGCAGCCACCTCCTCTCAGGAGCCTATTCCCTCATCTGTACATGGGTGTGTTTCCCTGTCCCCCAGAGGATGCTGTGGTTTCTAAACATGAAAAGCATCTGCTGTCAGGAAAAACCTCCTGGAAGGGTAGAAACAAATAGAAAGGGTAAATAGAGATGTATGCACTTCTGGGCTGAAGAATGTGAGATGCAGCAGAAGGAGAAGGATGTCTATGGCTAGTTGAGGCTGGTTTTCCTTCTCTCCTGTTTCCAAAGAAACCCAGTGATGTCCTGAGGCTGCACTACCAGCCTTTGGCCATAAAAAACACCTGCCTGCTGCCACTGGACCTTATGCTGGGCTTGGAGCAGCCATTCCTGGTCTGTGATAAGGAGAAGCAGCCCCTCCCAGTTGGCCAGGTGAGCAGCCCTTGACTCCTCCAGTGGGGTCTGAAGAGGAGGGATGTGGTGGTGCCTTTCTCTTGGGAGCTCCTTGAGTTTATTCTGTAGCATCAGCAGTGGGCTGGCCTGAGCTGCATCAGCAGAGCTGCTGAAAGAATCAAAATAGTATCTGAATTGAGAAGATCCATCCTGGCTTTAAGGCACAGGGAGAAGGGAGCAGGCAGCTGGGTCTGGGCAAGGCATGCAGTAAAGGTGTCTCCTGGAAAGCATGCCAGCTCTCCAGCAGCCACCCCCTTGGACTGGGGCTGAGCACAGCAACGGGAGCCTGAGCGATCCTGGACTGGACTGTGGTGCCTGCAGTCAGACCCCTGCTGTAGAGAGATGAACCATGAACTGAGGAGCCCATGCTGGGCTCACTTGGAGCATTTACTGTTTGCTGCTGTCAGGCCTTGGGACCTCATCCCACAGGTGATTAATTACTGCTCATCTCCTTGCAGCCTGTGAGAGTGGGTGTAGGGGAGACCTGCCATCTCTACATCGCATTCGACCCAGCTTATAAACTGGATTTTAAGAGCTGGAAAACAGAGAAGCTTCTGAAGATAGACATGGTCAGGGGCCATCCTCTTGTGGAGCGTATCATCCTTCGGGGAGAAGTGCACTTCCCAAATCTCCAAATGCAGTCCAGATCCCTGGAGTTTGGCTGCATTGTGGCTGGCACTGAAGAAGTGCGTTCTCTGAAGATAACCAACTGCAGCCCACTGCCTGTCCAGTACCACTGGTCATTCCATTCCAAGAGCCAGGTTTACAGGTTGAGGTATGTGCACCTTTGCCCTCTCCTTGAAGCTCTTCTTGCTGGTGTCCTGTTTGTGCTTGGCAAAGAACAAAGCTGTTTGCCTGGGATCTGACAGACTGCTTCTGACTTTTTCTGGTGCAAATAACACCGACCAGCTGTGCTCAGGCTGGGTGCTCAGGGAATAGGTTTTCCACCAGTTTGATGCTGCATAGCCCCCCGAGTGGTTTCCCCTGGGAAGGAAAGCTGGGGTGAGAGCTGCTTTCTCAGACCTCTGTGGCCTGAGGCCATGTCCACCTTGATGAAAGGCTCCCAGTCCCAGCTCCCACAGTGCTGCTGGAGGCCTTTCTGGCCCCTCTACTTTGGGATGGGGCCTCTCTGCAGGAGCTGCTCTCTGCTCCTTGCCTTCCTCCCTTGCACTGTGCCGGAGGATGCCCAGAAAGTCCCAACACCAGCCAAAGAGTTACTTAGTGCCTGGGCTGATGCTGAACAGCCAGCTGAACAGCCTTCCCTTTCCTTCTTTTCTGAGACAACTCCTTTACTGCCAGGATGATTTCTTTCCCAGGGGTCAGCTTTCAGTGGACATCTTGGATTCTTCACTCCCTTTTTTTGTGACACTTGTTACTCATTTTGATTTCTCCTCGCTGCAACATGTCCCTTATGAGTTCTGTAGTGCTTGGCAGCAGGACTCGTTCGTCACATCATCTCCTATCCCTGCCTTCCAGAGAGTTTATACTTTAGAGTGAAAAATGTCATTCTCTGGGCACCATGGTCCTGGGAAGTTGCCTCAACCCATTCATTAAAACTAAAGACAGTGGAATAGATGATTAGGGATCTCTTGAGGGTTATAATGAGAGAGCACCTCATCCAGAAATTAAACCTAGCCTTAGATAACAAGCTACAAAGCTGAAGGCAGTGATTCTTTGGGGAGCAGCTCATTACAGGCCTGTCTGGGAATGGAGCATCCAGGTCATGTTTGACTGTGGGGAGCACTTGCAGCTCAGCAGGGTGACAGGCAGGCACGGTTTGACTGTGTCCCTCACGTGGCATTAGAAACACAAGCAGAGTTACCCTGAGCACCTGCTTCAATTAAAAGTGGGGGATGTGACCTGAGTCACCTGGGAGGGTTGGAAAATGTCAACCAAGTCCCCCAACACTGTCAGGGAAACATTCCTGATAAATCCCTGGTAGAGCTGCAGTTTCTGGTGTTGGGCACTGGGGGTGGGGGCTGTGCTGGCTCATCAGTGGCCGGCTCTACCCCTTGGTGCCTCAGATCTCACCTTTTTGCTGCCTTCTCTGTCTTTTCCACTCCCACTGTGCTTTTTGCATCCCCACCAGGTGTTGATGCCTGTCCTCTGTAGTTGCTCAATGCAAGCAGTTGCAGCTGCTGCAGCACCTCAGTGCCATCCCTGGGCTGCCTTTAGAACAGACCTGCCCCAGCCTGGATTGGGAAGGGCTGGATCAAACCATTTCCAGTCCAACGTGCCAGCACCCACCCAGGGGCTGCATCCTGGCCAGGAGCTGCTCGTGCAGCTGTCCCTCCCTCCCACTGCAGCTCCCTCTTCATAGTTATGTTATATTCCAGATACGAGCTTAGCTCAGCTAGATTCAAACCCCGACCACCCAAGGAGAGGAGAACCAGTTTGCCTTCCGCTTCATCTCTCAGGAGACGCCTCAGGTTTAGAAGTGTGCAGGAGCCAGCCACAGCCCTGCAAGGATTGCAGGATTCTGCCCACTCTTCAGTAGCAGAGGTAGATTTTCTTGTACACCTAGTGCTTGTGTTGCCTCCCCAGCCTGCCAGCACCAGGGCATGCTTGTGCTGCTGACCTCTCTTCTTGCTGCCCTGCTGTGCTGTGCCCTGAGAGTTGGTTGGGCAGCAGGGCCAGTGGCTGGACATGGGCTGAGGGGGAGGGAGAAATAGGAGAGTTTTCCTTGGAGAAGCTGACTCAGATCCCACAGATCTGTGTTGAGTGTGGGATTTTTTGCCTTGTTTCCTTCCCAATGTAAGATGAGGCTTTTCTCTGCATCATCATGGTAACACCTCCAGCTTCCCTCCCAGAGCAAGTTGGGATGATCCTGATCTCCATGGAGCCTCTTCCCAAAGCAGCCAGACTCCCTGTTTGCAGGGCTCTGCTTTCACTAGAGAGCTGCTATTGCACTGCTGGCCCTGAAGCTGTCTTACAAAGTGGGACTTTGCAAAGTGGCTGTCTCTTCCTCCCAGCATAGAAAATGGCTTCTTTTTCAGGTGCCACGGTATTACAGCCCACTAGAGTTGGTGGGAACCATGCCCCCCAGGGATGTACTGCACACTCCCGTGGCCACGGAGGAGGTAAGAGGGAATCTGTCTCATTTGCCCATTGTCAGTGTGGCAAGCAGGGCTGCAGCTGCCAATGCCACTGGGGGCCCTCAGCATTGGCCACAGAGGGGCCTCCCATCCCTGCAGGCCCATCACAAAGTGCTGCTGGAGCAGCTGGTAGTTGGAGAGGCTGTGCAGGACACCTTGTAGGGCTGCCCAAGGATACTGTGCAGCGCCTATGGAGGGCACTGCTCCCCCTGGACCTCATCTCATAGGAAATTTTTGCAGGAGCTTTTGCTGAGGCACCTTGAGAACGCACCATGTATATCAGAGAGAAAGGGGAAAGGCCTCAGGAGTCAGATGAGCTGGGCTGGAGTTCTTCTCTGAGCTCCCTGAGCTCCAAGAGCTCTCACTCTGAGTGTCCACCTTTGCTAAAAGCAGTAAGAAATGCTTTTTAAAGGCAAGTTGTGCATCAGAGAGAATTTCTACTGCCAGGAGACATTTACTTTAATGTAGTGTATTAATTAATGCATTGATCCGTGAGTATGGGAGAAGATTTTCCCCATGGTCCCTGCACTGGTCAATGGCGTGGATGCAGGATGAGATGAGGGTGATTCTGGCAGTGTTTGTGGAATAGGCCCCTCCAGGTACAGCTGCACTTTGCTCCAAGATGCTCTTTGCATCCATTTCCATGCGCAACACCTCAATCTCTCCTGTCCTTCAGGTTTTCAGTATCCTGCCACTGTCAGGTGTGCTGCAGCCAGGAGAGAGCCAGCAGGTCTCCTTCACCTTCTGCAGCCATTTCAACACCATCTCCTATGTCACGGCGCTGTGCTACGTGGAGGGAGGCCCCACCTACGAGGTGATGCTGACTGGCGAGGCCTCATGCATCAGCTACTCCGTGAGCCCCCGGGAGACCTACTGTGGCTCTCAGGTACCACACACACCCCTGGCACAGCTCCTTGCCTTGCTGGCTTCCTGCCCTCCTCGCTCCAGGGCTCCCTGCCCTTCCCAGCCCCTTTGTTGGCTCTGGGGCTTGGAAGTCCAACCTTTGAGGGACACATCTGGCATCCAAGCTGCTTCAAAATGGCCATCTCCCACCCTCTCCACAATGCTGGGAATGCCTCTTTTTCAGGGTACCTAGCGCTGCCTCCTGGGGCAGGCAGGGGCCCAGTGGGGATGCTCTGAGGGGTGTGTCCCTGAGACATCCCTCTGCTGGTCCACTCCTAAAGCCTGACCTCCAAGGAGATGCTCTTGTCTAAAGCTCTTGCTTAATCCACACAATGATCAAGGAAAGAAGTTGGGCTTCCAGTCACTACAGTTGGAGAGACTGTCCCAGAATAATCCCCACTTCACTCTTTTTCAATTGAAAGCCCACAGATATTTCCAACTGCTGGCCCTGTCTGTGTTGCCCTGGGTGACTCCCTTGTTGCATGTATGTTTCTTGCCAGTACTTGCATGCAGGTGCCTTTTCTCCTGGAATGCCTCAGTGCTGTCTCTGTTTCTCCTGGCTGTTGGTGACCCCTCAGAGGGCAGAGGAGGGCCTGTGTCCCCTGGTTCATCTATTGCTGGCCCTCACGTGGTTGTTACCACAGCTCTGTGTGCTGCCAGAGCTCCCTGGTGCTGTGCAGGTGCCCTGTGCCTGGGCGTTCCCCAGGTTCCCAAGTGCCCCTATCTCCTCCCTGGTCCCTGCTCCCATGATGTGTCTGCTTTCAAACCCAGGAGAGAGGAAGGGGATTCCCAGCAGCAGGCCTGGGTCTGTAACTTCCCTCTCTTGTGCCTTCTCTCCAGCTGTTTAATGAAATTCATCACAGCAATGTCACCCTGGAGAACACCGGCAAGATGGAATTCAGCTGGGTGCTAAACCCTAGCCCTGCAGACCAGCGTCTGCCTGGTGTGTTTCTGGTCAACCCCACCACTGTAAGTAGCACAAGTGACTGAGCCCAGCCCTGTGTCAGGTGGCCCAGGAGAGTTTTGGAAGGAAAAAAGCTGGGGCGGGGGAAGTCGGAGGGGAAAACCCCAAACCCAGCCATGAGAGAGACAGAGCTGTAATCCATTTCTGCCGGGGGCAGAGAAGGTCAAACAAGTGCTCACCTGATAGACTTCCCAATTGCCTTGGCTGGTGGGTGGCTCTGCTGTCAGAGGCGACACCAGCGGGAGGCACAGGTGTGTTGGTCGCTGTCTGTCCTGCTGTAAGGGGAGTAGAGGAGAATTCTTTTTGATAGATTTCTCAGATGAAAATAAGGCACAAATGCAGCCTTATATCTGAAAACTGTTTCTTGATAAAGAAAGGGTATGGTCCCGACCAGAAGGGGACAGAAAAGAGTGAGAGAGAAAATAAGAACCGGACAGAGCAAAGAGAGGACGGGGACAAATCGTCGCTGCTAGAGCCCTGAGGCGCTGTGTCGGGTCCTGCTCAGCAGATGGAGCAAGTGCTGCCAACCGTCCCAGCGTGCGTGCCCGCCGCGGCGTGAGGGGCTGGATCGGCCGGCAGCGGAGCCGGGTCTGGATCGGCCGGCAGCGGGGCCGGGCTGGATCGGCCGCCAGCGGAGCCGGGCTGGATCTGCCGGCAGCGGGGCCGGGCTGGATCGGCCGGCAGCGGGGCCGGGCTGGATCGGCCGGCAGCGGAGCCCGGCTCCATGGGCTGGCAGCGGGGCCGGGCTGGATTCGCCGGCAGCGGAGCCCGGCTCCATGGGCCGGCAGCGGTGCCCGGCTCCATGGACCGGCAGCAGGGCTGGCTGTCCCGCGGGCTGCGGCCGGTCCCGGTCGGGACACGGCGGCTGCTCCCTCGGGGAAGCAGAGGAGCACTGGGTTGCCGTGGCGAGCGGGGAAGAGGCAACAGCAGCGTAGACAGACAGGGAAGAAGTGGCTCTGCAGGGAGCCGGACCCTCCGGGTGCTCTAAGCCCAACAAAAAGCAAAAATGGCAGAGAAAACCTGGCAGTGTTAACTGCTTGAATATGCTAAGATTCCTCCCGTAACTCAGCCCTTTTAGGAAGACTGTTGGTCAGACGGGCAAAATTTTCCCGGGCTTCGGGGTCTGCCTGCCTCCAAGGGGGAAATCTCTTGCAGCCCCCCAGACACAGAGCCTGTCTGCATTTTCTCCTAAAGGATCTCCTTTACACATGGGATGTTTAAGGCTCCCAGCACGTCTACAGCCTCTATAGTAATTTTTCACCCCATGTCAGAAAGTGGATTTATAACATATGTTGTGGCATAACTTAAAATTTAATTGGTTGCTCACAGTCACTCTGGGGACCCCGACGGCTAAGATCTCGGGCTGTGCTGGCACTGGAGCGTTTCTGAGGGTCACCTTACCCAGGCTGTGTGATCACACATCCCTTAGTAGGCTTGCTGCTCCCTGCCTCTTCCAGCTTTGTTGCTGTGCAGCGCCTTTGTGGGGCAGTGAGGGGGCCAGGGAGCAGCGGGGCTGGAAGAGCTGGAGAAAAATTAGCAGCATCCCACCACTGTGCAAGCTTCTCAGTCCTGTCTGGATGGATGTCTTTGAGCCGAAGCAGCGCTCCTGCCTTTGTCCCTCCTTGCAGTGGGAAGAGGAAGCCGATTGGCTTTCCATTTCTTCATGCCTGCCTCCTGCAAGGGATGAGAGGAGCTGCTGGCCCTGCTCAGTGCAGGGATTTCCCTTCCACAGCGGCAGCACAAGAGCCTTTTTTTGATGAGGCGGGCTCTTGCTGGCAGAGGGCAAACCCCATCAGCAGCAGAGCTGTGCTCACATCGGGCTGTGCTGGGGCTGCAGCCTTATGAGCCCTGGGGAGGACACACAGCACATTCAACAGGTTTCCATTCCTTCATTGGTTAAGTGTTAATACTACAACAACTCTTCACCAACATTGGTATCACAACACAACATTTGCATTAAAAGAACTCTAAACTTTAGCAAAACTTCTTTTACAAAAGTCAACATTATAAAACACATAGTATTTACTCTAACAGTTGTGAAAGCCAACACTGTAATATGTTTATCACTAAGGTGATGTGGTCTGATGGTTTCTTCTCGATGAGAACCTGTCTGCTCAGCCTGTCTGTCCCCTGAGCCATCCCCATCAAACACTCTGATGCATTCCCTCCCTCCTCTCCTGTCCATGCAGGGCTCCATTGCACCTGGTGAGAAGCAAGTGCTGGAATTCTCTTACATGCCAGGATTACCAGGAGCCTTCAGCAGGACTTACCATCTTAAAGTGGGTGACCTGGAACCAGAAAATATCTTCCTGAAAGGAGAAGCATCCTTTCCCATGATCACTTTGAACCTGCCCTGGACCATCAAAGGTGGGCACTGCCTGTCTGCCCCCAGGAAGGGCCCCTCTGGTTTTGTTCCCTACCATAGGCCCGTAGGGCAGCTCATGCCAACCTCCACCAAGCCCGGAGGGTTGCAGGACTCCCAGACCAACTCAAGCCCCCTGGTTGCTTCATGAGTCTTGAGCAGAGGATCCCATGTGGACTTTGTCCCAGGAACCAACCTGCAGAGCCTGCCAGCTCATCTGGCAGGGTCCTGAAGGACGATGGCTAGAGTGAAAGGCTTGGGAAAGCTGTAAGAGAGGCTGGCAGGGCTTGTGGCAGGGTTGGGTTTGTGTGACATTGCAGGGGATGAGCTGCTCCTCAGTGGCAAGGGAGGTGGGTGGGAGCGAACATGAGAATTCAGAGAGGAGCAGCAGCATCCACTTTCCATAGATGGCTTGAGGGATTTCTTTCTGGAAGAAACCAGTGTTGGGAGGTGGGGACTTCCCAGCTTCAGTGGGACTAGCACTTTGCTCACCCTTCTCTTTGTGGATGTTTTCTTCCTTCAGGAGATGAAACACATGAGAAGTCTCTGACACAGCCCGTAAAACCGCTGCAACAACACAGTCAGAGGAGTAAATCAGGTGCTCGGAAGAAGACTCAGAGCCTGAAGACTGAGACCTTGAAGTCTCAGACCGCAGAAGCTCAGACTCCAAAGAGTCTGATTCCGAAGACTCGGGACCTGCAGCCCAGCGTGCTTGCCTCTGGCACTGCAGTAAGAACAGCTGCAGCCCCGTTTGGCACAGGCCACCTCCCCATGTCACCTGAGCCCCTTGCAGCCCACAGCAGCTCCTGCTGCCCTGATGGCACCCGGGACCTCCCTGCCCACTTAGAACCATGTGTCACCTCAGCATTGGCCCTAGGGCTGCCACGCTGGCCATGGTCTCCTCTGGGGCTGCACCAGCTTCCTGCCTACCCCAGGGAGAGATGCTGAAGGCCACGCTCCAGGGATGGAGTTGATGGTGCTTTGAAGGAGATGCAGATCATTGCTGGGGAGTTTGTTGGTCCCAGCCCAAGCCCTGCCAGATTTACAGATCTTATCAGCAGCTGCCTGATTGTGCCCAGGGGCTGTGCTGGCAGGGCTCATCTCCAATAGGCACCAGCTTGGTCCCCCTTTCAAGACAGTTTTTGTCCAAGCTGCCTTGGTACAGGCTGGGGTCAGGCAAGTATCTGGAGCTCTGGAAGGTTCCTGGCTTGTCTGTCTGCCTGGCCAGATCAGCTTTGCTAACAGTGTCTGGGCAGGCAAAGATGCTGGAGTTACTTCCCTGGAGATGAGGTCCTGGCTAAGAGAGCAGGAGGTGTCACAGGCACTGAGCAGCCAGACAGGAGGACCCCACACCCCCTCCCAACAAGAGTGGGCTGGGGTCCTTTCTCAGGTGTAAACCATGGGAAGGACCTTTGCTAAACAGCCCCTGTCTTCCCTTTCCTCAGACAAACACTCAGTTGCAGTTAAACATGGTGAGGAACCTGGTAGTGAAGGCTGCTGTGGAGCTGCAGGAACAGTTCATGTCCCTACCCCCGACGAGCAGCTTCCCTGACAAGGAGCTGTGCCAGAGCCTTGTCAAGTGAGTAGGGACTCCCATCCCCATCTCCAGGTGCCCCATGGGGAACACCCAGCCATGTCCCCTTCTCCTGAGAGCTCCCTGTGTCTGCAGAGCTGGCAACAGCCTGGACTCCAGAAGGGCTCTGGTCCTGGTGGCTGTGACACGCTGCACGTGAGCAGCGGAGTGTCCTCCCTTCCCCAGCACCACGCTGAGCTTTGCACTGCTCAGCTCCCCACAGGTGTGGGGTTCTGTCCCTAGAGCTGGGGGACCCAAGTGCAGACCTTCTAGCCCTTGCAGACAGCATAGATTCTGTCTGTACTGCCTAGCTCTGAAAGAGACAACTCCCAGCTGAGGTCTTGCTTCCAACCAACAGAGCCACTAAACAAAAGGAGAAGGGAGCTGCACGTGTCAGCAAACCCTTTAAAACCCAACATCAGATGGCTTGAACCCTGGTGGGGTGGCAGGGCTTATCTAGGTGACTTGGTCCATCCCTTTGCACCATCATGATGCAGCACAAGCACGGCAGCTTCAATTCAGGAAGAAGATGCTCTGCAGAACAGGTCGTGTGGTCTGGTTGCAGAGCAATGAAGATTTCCTGTGCAGGCAAATCTTGTTACTAGGCCCCAAAGCAATTTCAGGCTCAGGCTGTACACCAGGCTAAGCAGTTTCATTGAGACCACTGGAGACCTAGTATACTCACTTACACTGGGTTTTCATGGCAGAGGAGCTGTGGCCAGTGTCCATTTTAAACTTATTTTCAGGTACCATTAGTAGCTGAAAAAACCTAGGAGCTGCAATCCTCCTGACTTGCCAAAGTCATTGCCAGGTGGTTAGGCCATGGGTTTCATGGGCTTGAGCTGAGTTTTTACAGCAGTGAATAAAGAAATAGCCACTGTATTTGTATCCTCCATCCACTTGGATGTGTAGCCAGGCTGTGGTTTAAGGACTGTCCTTAATCTTCCTTGCAGAGTTGAGGTGCCCGAGTATGTCCTGGACATGGGCACTGTCCGTAAGGGTTTCACTGAGAGAAGCACTCTGGAGATCACCAACCATGGGCAGATCCCAGTGTCCTTCCAGATCCATGTATCTGTCCTGGAGAACACAGGTAAGCAGTGCTGGAGACACTTCCTGTGGGCTTGAAGGAGGTGTCTCAGGCAGATTAGCTTAAGCCATTGAACCTGGGGAGGTTTCTGAGCTTTTTCTTCTCAGTGCCTCCGCTGAGAGCTTTAGAGGCAGAACTCTCCTGGCCAGCCATGCCCAGGGACCTGGCCTGCCTGTGACTGCCCTAACGCTTCAGTGCAGGGGCCAATGGTGACCATCACCCTGGTCACCTCTCAGCATCTTCCACCCTTGGCTCCCATGGGCATCGAGTTTCTTTGGGCACTCTATGGGCTTACTTTGCCAACCAGTGGGGTCTGCTGTGTTTTTGAAGTGCTTTGTTTGAAGTTCACACTATCGCAGGACTTGTATTCAGCCTTTATTGAGGAAGCAGCCTGTGAGATCCTCTGGTGGATCAAAAGAGGTTTCCAAAAGAGGCCTTGAGGCAAGGCTGCCCTTCCATCACACAGTGGCTCGCTGTGTCTGAAGGGTGTTCAGGTGCACTCTGAAGTTTTTGTCCAGGTCACAGCAGGGCACGGGGCTTTTGCCAGACCTCTAAGCCAGGACACCTGTAAGGCCTAAATGTGCTTATGACACATTTTGTATTTCGGGTGTATCTCAGCTGCTTTGTGTTCATCTCTTCAAGGTTTCAGCGTGGACCTGGACACGGTGGAGGGCCTGCCCCACAGCTACATCAAGACATTTGACGTGCGCTTTGAAAGTGCCCGGCGGCCACGGGGTGACGTGGATGTGGTGCTGCCCATAGAGGTACCACAGCTCTTGGGGCAGGCAGCAGGCTGGGCACAGCAGCAGATGTCACCTGCACCCTCCGCTGAGTTCTCTGTCCTTCTCCAGGTGACAAAAGGCCCCACATATAACATCCGTCTTCATGCCACTGTGTCTGAGCTGTCAATCGAACTTTCCAAGAACATTGTGCACTACTCTGCTGTCGTTGTTGGGCAGTACAAGGTTGAGACAGTCCACCTCTACAACTGGTTCCGAGTACCCTGCAAATGGTCCATCAAGCCTGTTCAGAAGGTAAAGCCCAGGCAACATTGAACACGAAACTTCTTGGTTGGGTTTTCTTTGTGACTCTTGCCCTTTCTGCTCCTGTGGCTGCCTGAGCACTTGGGTCTACAGCGTGTTTGAGGAAGCTTCTGAGGGTCTAGAACAAGGCTGGTTTGCCTGGACCTGTTCCATTAGCAGATGCTTTGCTTTTCTGCCATCTTCACCCATTCCTCCTCCTCCTCTGAGGACAGTAGTTCCCTATCTGCCTGCCCTGGGTGAGGTTTTCCCTCCTGCTGTAGGCTATGGGGTCCACACTTGGTTTGGCTGTGGGTGCTCTCAGCACCATGTCAGTGTCTCAGAGCATGAGGAGACCTCACATAATTGGTTTCTGTGCCCAGACCAATCACTGCAAATACATGACACCAGCTGTTCGTCAGAAGCAGCAGGCGCTGGAGTATGAGCCCTGTCCCTTTGAAGTGAAGCCCTCCAAAGGAACCCTTGATCCAGGAAGGTGCCAGAATCTGAAAATCAAATTTACACCCAAGGAGGAGGTGAGATTGGCGGGTGTCGGCCCAGGAGGCCTGTCAGGGCTATGTGGAAATGAGGGCCTGGTGCAGAGAGTGTGGTAGGAGCTCTGCCTTCACAGGGAGCTCAGTTCACCCCACAGAGCACTCCCGTGAGATGTGCTTTGAAATGCCCACAGGGAGCTTGCACAGAGAGCGCCAGGGCTCTGAGGCTGCCTCTTGGCGCATGGCGGGGATGTGCCCAACTCCCCTCAGCCTGCCCCTTGCCTGGCTGTATTTGCAGCTGTGACACTCAGTGCAGAGCAGCTGCCCACTCACAGAGGATAATCCTGGAATGGCTCATCCTGCTGCAGGACTGCCAGACCAAAGAGCCACCACCCACCTTCCTGGGCACGGCAGGACGGTCACCTGTAGTGGGGTGCTGCCAGCAGTCCCTGGGGCTCTGGCCTGCCTGCACATTCCTGTGCAGCTGGGGATTCAGCTCAAAGGACAAAGCATTCCCAAAAGTGGTTTGCCTGTGGCTGCTGGGTCTTGGAAAGTGGCAGTGTGTACCAGCATGGACACAAGTGCTTCCGTGCCCACACACACTCCCAGGGATCTTTTAATTGCTCAAGAAATGTAACCATCTTGTTTCTGGCTTGGACCAGAGCCAAACACTAAGCAGAGAAGATGACCCTTATTTCTGGCCAGCAAGAGCTCATTTGCCTCTCCTGGAGCTGGTGTTTGCCTGATGCAGCAGTGCCAGGACTGTGTCTGGACACTGTAACCCTGAGGGCCCTTCCCATAAGTATTGCACTCCTGCATGACCAGGTGAAAATGTCTGACAGTCCACTGTACATCCATATGATTCCCAAATACCCACTTACAGTGCACACCAGCATTCTTCCCAGTTACTCAGACTCAGACTACTACAGATGCTGTACTCCCTAGCATAAGTAAATATCTGGTTTCCATTTACCTTGGAGACACTGATAACACCCCAGCCTTGGGGCAAGCATTGTATTTGGGGTCCTGTCATCTGAGACTTCATGGATGAGTTTCCTGCACTTTTCTCTTTACAGAGGTCTTACAGTAATGAGCTGGAGCTTAACATTTTTGGGAGCAGCAATCACTTCAAGCTGTACCTCTCAGGACAAGGTCTGGAGCCACGGCTGGAGTTCAGCCCCCCAGAACTAGAGATGGGATGGATGCTGGTGGACAGTGATGGGATGGAGGCCACAGTGGTGGTGAAGAACCCATGCAACTTCCCCATTGAGTTTTACGCCCTGGATTTTGATGAGCAGTACCTTGAGAAGAAGGTGAGAAGGCAGGTCCATGTACACGCTGCCCGAGCTCCACAGCACTCCAGCGTTCCCAGGCTTGTGCCAGGGAGATGGAGACAATCCCCAGGGCAAAGCCAGCTGTGCTGACATGCTGTGGGAGGACCTAAACGAAATAGTTTGTGTTGTTGGGAGGAAGGGAGGAGACAGACAATAGGTTTGTTGAGTCTGCGTGATGAAAGGCAAGAAAAGGAATCTTGTGGATGGTTTCTCTTCCCTACGTGCACAGATCCTGCGGATGGCAGAGGAGTCTGAGGATCATGAAGCACAGAAGTGGCTGAAGGCAGAGCTCAAGGCCAGGGCTGAGGCTGAGGCCAAGGCCATGGGCAAGGCAGCGGCAGGTCAGAAAAACAGTGAGGGTTTGCCAGTGTCTGTTTGGACTGTGGTCACAGCAGAGAGTCCAGCCCATACACCCTGAACTCTCTGTCGCCTTGCTCTCCAGGGAAAGCCCATGCTTTTAGCAGCTGCCTGTTCCCCAGCTTGGTGGAGGAGCTCTTGGCTGAAGGGCTGTGGCATCCTCTTCCAATCCTGGGTTTAGCCAAAGCAAGCACCTGCCATAGACTGGGGAAATAATCCGGATATTCCCTTGTGTCCCTTAGCCACAAAGACTAGGATTGGATGAGTTCTTCAGACAGGTCTAATATCACTGGCTCTTTTATATTTGCACCTTCCTAGCAACAAAAGAACAAGCTCATGTTGCTTTCACCAAGTCTTCTTTCCTGGGATCTGAGGAGATGGGGAGGATGGTGAGGATCAAAGGTAGGCAGGAGGCTGACTTTTCCCCCTGGTTTTGCACTGCAGCACGTCACAGAGCTATCACCTTCCATCCTGAGTCCGTGGCGAAAGTGGCTGGGATTCCTTTCTCTCGGGCTGTCCTGCGCCACCCGGGCACTGCCCCGTCCTCATGGAGGCGCGAGGCGCAGCCCCACCGAGGGATTGTTGTCATCGTCCATGGGCCGCCGCGGGCAGGTACGTGAGCTGCAGCCCAGGGCTGCAGGGAGAGGGACAAGCAGGAGGAACACATCCTGGCGGGCCACGGTGCTTAAGGCAAGTCCTCAGCTGAACGGGAGGTGGAGATGATCCTCTTGGCTCTAGAATTCAGAGTTTGTATCCACGCTGCAGCTGCCTCCCTCATGGCCTCCCCTGGAGGGACACTTGCTTTCCCACTGTCCTTTTAACCTTTAAATCTTGTTGGAGATTTTTCCAGGGCCTGTCCCTGTAGTGCCTCCTGTGCCAGTGTCACCAAGCAGTCCTCCTCTCTCTCTCGCAGGAAAGACAGAGATAGCAGCAGGCCTGTGTCAGTATTATGGCGCTGCTCACATGTCCATTGACACCGTGGTGAAAGAGGCCATGGCCAACAACCAGAGCCCAGCGGGGCTCCGTGCCCGGCTGCTCTGCACCCAGGCTGCCCTGGAGCAAAAAGGTAAACACAAAGGTGATGCTGGTAAGGAAAAATGCTAGAGACAGTGCTTGAGAAACCCACCACGACTGTCCACTTCTGCTTACTCAGAGCAGCAGTTTTTCAGTCCTTGTGTCTCTTAGGGAATGTGGCTGAAGTGCGTCTCTGGCTTCTTTAAAAAAAAAAAATCAATTTTAAGGGCTCAGTCAGGGGTTCTTTTATAGCCCCTTTTTCTGCTATTCTTGGAACATGTTCATTTTTCTAGGGGTGTTGAAGCACGCCTGTCTCTTTCCAAAATATTTTATATTTCCTCAAAGCTGAATTGAGCTTGCTCCTCATGGGCAGCAAGCAGAACTGCTGCCCACCTGAACAAGGAAAAAGCCTTCTGAAGTGGCTCATTGAGCACAAGAGAACTGACTGTGCGTGTAACCTCGCAAACGAGAGGAAGGGAAGGACAGCCTCCCAGAGGAATTTCCAATGAGAGACATGCTCCAGATGAGCTCTTTTCTCCAGAGAGTTACCTGTGGCCACTGTCAGGTTACACAGCTCGTTGGGCTGTTCTGAGACTGGAGACATTTATGAAACTTCCTGGGCAGTTGGTGCCCTGAGCTGTGCAGGGTGAGGCCAGACCTGGCTCGGTGCAGGGGGAAGTTTTGCATTGTTCAGTTTTGAACCTGGCTGGATTGGGAGCTGGCGGAAGGAAGAAGAGTCTGGGTCCCAGCTGGGGTTTTCCCACAAGGAGGATTTAGCTTCAGTGGAGACAAATGATGCAAGTGGGGCAGGCTGCAGGTCTCCACATGAGAATGCAGGATGGGTGCAGTGTATGGAAACAATGCTCCTGGAGGACAAATCTCTGGCTTGATCCTCAGGGGAACTGCTGTGTGAGCAGCGTCACCTGCGTGCACAGTTGTTAGGAGGGACATAGTGCTGGCTTTAAAATCAAGTATGGCATGCTGGTAAGAGAAGCAGGCAAGGAGCTGCTTCTGGGAAACAGTGCTGCCAGTGCCCAGCAGACTGGGGAACAAGTGCCATGTTCCTTCCAGGGCCCAAGGTTGTGCCCATTGCAGTGAAAGGTGCCTACTTGCTTTACAAAGCCCCCTGAACCGTCTGTCCCCTGTGCAGGTAAAAAGCTCACTGCTCAGAGCAAGAATAAAGAAGCCGCTGAGGAAAACATCTACAAGAAGTATGCCAAAGGCAAGAACCTTCCAGCACAAAAGAAGGAGCCAGCCAAGGTAAAGGGCACCAAGGTAAACATGGTCTGCCCTGGTTGATGCCTGGGATCTTTACGTTGTCTTTGAGAAGAGCAGGGAGTGCTTACAGTGGAGGCTCTGTGCCAGCCAGGGCCTGGCACGTGGGTCCATTGTGCCGTACTTGGGCTGGGAATGTGCTCTGGCAGACAGCTCCACTGGCTCTCAGTGGTTTGCTGGCAAAGTGCAGTCCTGGCTAGTGTGGCTGCAGGCAGTGAGCAAAGTGCTGGGAGGCTGCACTGGGGCTTGCAAGCTCAGGTCTCTGCTGGCCAAGGGATGGGCCCTCCAGGAGCATCCCCTGGAGCCCCCAGCCTGCACTGCTAGTCTGTTCTAGTCTCCACTAGTGAGGAACCCCAGCTCCAAGCCCAGCAGTGGGAGTTGTTCAGGGCTGTTGGTTTCTGTTCCCATTGCAGTTCACAGTTTCCACTGCTCCTGCGCCCCAGCAGCTGAGCATCGTCAGCAGTCGTGGGGAAAAGCTGAACTGCTTGAGCTGTGTGCTGCCCGAGGAGCTGCTGGTGGACATCCTCAGTGAGAGGCTGCAGGTGTGTGGGGTGGGGGAAAAGGAGACATTCCTGCTCCGGAGAGAAGGCACTGAGGTACGACTCAGAGAGGAGGAGGAGGAGCAGCTCTGTACATGCTGCTCGAGGATCCTGGACTGTGTGAAGAGAACCCTGGGGGAAGCTGCAGCTGCCCTTAGTTGGCAGAGCCTAAGGACAGGTGCCAGCTGCTCTTAGCTACTGCCCTTGGAACAAGGATAGCTGGTGCCCTGGGACATCTGGGATTACTGTCCAGCTGTGAGGCCCCTGCGTGCAATCTGACTTACTCTTCCCTTTATTCACAGCGTAAAGACTGCTACAAGGGAGTGGTCTTTGATGGCTTGGAGAGCCTCTTTGCAAGCAGCCTGGAATCTTCTCTGCTCTGTGTACTCAGAGCTGTCAAGAACTGTCATCATATCTACGTGGTGAACCTGCAGCAGGATTATGCTTCTTGGAAAGCCAAGAACAAAGCTGAAAGAAAGAAGAAGGAAGCTCAAAGAGAGAAGGAAGGTGAGATATCTTCTCTCAAATTTTCTCTCTCAACCTTATCTCAAGCCTCAACCTTATCCCTGTGTATCTGGGTTTTCAGCAGAGCTTGTAAGAAATGTTTTTATTAATCTTTTTACCTTCTGCCCCAGTGCAACTAGTACTCATCTCAGAGTTGCAGGAGGTCTGAGGTTTAAAGACCTCAGATGTTAGAGATGTTAGATTTAATGTTAATCTCTAACATTAAATCTTGGGCACAAGAGCCAGCTGCTGTAGCTCAGTGACAAACGACTGTCCACAGCCTTGGTGCACTTAAGCCAGGCAAAGCCCAGGAACTCTCTGCTCAGCCATAGTTTGGGGGATTGTCTGAATTTTGGAGCAGGGATATGAGCTTCCCAATATCTCCTGGGATGATAGGCTGGGTGGGGAAAAGCTGTGAATCCTTGCAGCTGACATAGAGCACCCAGCTCTGCTTGCAGTCACTCATTGTTTCTCTTGCACATCTTGCAAGTGGATGAGGATGAGTATGATGCCCTCCCTGAGGAGAAGAAAGCAGAAGTGGATAAAATATTACAGGAAAGGAAGAGAACACAGACGAAGGGGTGAGTAAGCCTTCCATGGGTTCCTGCTCATGGTTTTGTCCCTGCAGGGTTTCCCTGCTCCAAGGACTTTGAGCTCAGAAGTATTTGATATCAAAGGCCAGAAGGATGGCCAGTCTCTTAGCTCCTGGTTCTCCTTATGGTGGGACAGCACCCAGAAAAGCTCATGTCCTTTAGGCTCCCCTTCAGCTGCAGGCAAGCACAGGAGAAGCTCTGCTCCAGCAAGGCAGCCCAGCTCAGGACTCACAGGAAAAGTGTGGAGTTGGGTGTGGAGGCTGCTTAAAGCAAGCTCAGGACTCCTTTCAGCCCAGGCTGAAGTTGGTTCCATGGAGAGGAGACAGATGAAGCTGCTTCAAATCGTTTCCATGGCAGATAGCACTTGGTCAGACAGTTTGCTTGGTCCCAGCTGGGTTCCAGCAGGAAACCTGGCTGACAAGAGCCTGTCTTGCAGGAGAGGAGTTCCTGCAGACTCTGCTTTCTGACTGATAGGATTATTCTCATTAAGGAGCAGGCTGTGCCCACAGAGAAGGGGCTGAATGAGCTGAGTGAGGATTGTAGGAGAGATAAGCAGATGTCAGCAATCTGTGCTCTGCTTTAAACTGGGAAGTCAAGAGACAAAGAGCTTTTTCAGGCATCAGCACAGAGAGCTGCTGGATCAGCCTTTGGCAGGGGCTGGAGGTGTCTGGCTGTGCCTTAAGAGGGAGGTGGCACAGTTGAGGCCTTCCAATGGCAAGGCTTAGGTTTGGCTGGTCCTGGAGGTGCCCTTCCACCAATGCCCTCACTTGGGATGTTCCCAGCCTCTGTGGGTTGAGGAAAATCCACAGAAATGAATTCTGCCATGGCCTCAGGGTCAAGGAATGAAGTGCAGGGCCAGCCAGGACTGGTGAGCCCAAGTTTCTGGTGGGGACTCTCAGTGCTGTTTTCTGTTTTGTTTGCTGAAGGGAGCTGAAGCAGCCAGCTCAAAAGCTTGAGGAGGAGGCAAAAGCCTTAGAGGAGGAAAAGAGGCAGAAGGAGGAAGAGAAGCCAAAGAAGGAAAAGAAAGTCTCCTTCGGGAATCAGCCTGCAAAACCAGAGAAGAAGGAAACCAAAGCCCCAGAGAAGGGGGCACCCAAAGCCCCACAGAAGAGGGGAACCAAAGCCCCACAGAAGAGGGGAACTAAAGCCTCTGGGAAGGGGAAAACCAAAGTCCCCAAGGACCCAGCTGAGATCTTGATCCTGAGGTTTCAGATCTATGAGTCATCACAGCAGGACATGGCAAAGGTTTTCTCCTACTGGGACAGGGCTCAGGGTACCGTGCAGTTGCCCGTGATCCAAAAGGGAAACAAGTCCCAGCCTGCAGCTGGAAACAAAGGTTGGAAGACCAGTAAGCCTCAGGAGAAGGTGAAGAAGCAGCCTAAACCAAAACATGAAGGCCAAAGGAGTCTTCAGTCATCTCAGCTGAGGACACAAAGCAAAGTTGCAGAAGGGGCAGTCAGAGACAAGCATGTCGGGGTGCCGTGCTTGGACATCCAGGTCACAGATCCGAAGGCCATGATTGGGGAGATCCTGGGGGATGGGAAGCTGCCAACAGAAGACCAGGTAAAACCCTGCAAGGCTCAGATCTTGAGCTTGCTGTGGTTGTGGGCCCTGGAGCATTGTGTCCTCCCCAGGTGGTAATGTCACAGAGCCTTGTCCAGACCCCTGATGATGTTCCACAGGACTCTGTAGCATCTATGTGAATGGGGAGGTTGTCACCATCCCTCAGATGGGCAGAAAGCGGGAGTGCTCTGTGTACAAGTATCCCATCTGTTCAGTCTCCCAGCCCAGAAATCATTATAAACGGCCCCAGGACAGGGCAGCTCATGGCCATTGTTTTCTTCAGCTGAGTCACTCAGCAGAGGTTTCTCTCCCGCTCCGGCTTGTAGCTCTTGCATCTGTTCTGGAGCCTGCTCACCCCACTGGGCATAGCAAAGCACTTGTACTTCCTATAAGTCAAAAACCCCATTGCCAAAAGCTCAGTGCCTTTAGAGAAGGAGTTGTGAGGATGAAGGTGACAGAGGTATCAACAGGATTTTCTCTTCTGTTTAGCTGCTGAAACATCTGGGACTGCATCCTGACGGCGCTCCCCTTGCCCCTGGTGCTGCGCTCTCCACAGTCGAGTACCCAGAGGTGAGGCTGGGCTCTGCAGAGCGTGTGGAGCCCTTCACCACTGTGGCACCAGGAGGTGCTGCCGTGGGAGACAATCTGGTGGGTGCTCCAGTGGTGCTGGCACTGAAGGTGCCAGGGCAGGGACCAGGCTGGATGGGGGCATGGGGGACAGGTTGGATGGAAAGGAATCATTGTGGAGAGGTTGTGAAGATGTGATGGGAGGCCCCATGTCTGCAGGTCTCCTTTCTGCCAGGGATGGGACTCTGCTGGAAACAGAGCAGTTCTGTAAGACAAGAAGGAAAAAAATAACTTAAAACCATCAACTTCCTTTGAGGAGAGGGTCTTGCATAAGAAGGGGTATCTTAGGCAAAACAAGCACCAATAAGGAAAACCAAGCCCATGGGCAGGTGGACTTATGTATTTATTCTCTCTTCCATTGGTGAACAAACCCTCATTTTACTCTCCAGGACGGGGATGTCTCAGGCCTCACCTCTCCCTCCCTTTTCTCTCTCCCCTTAGGCCAAGGCCCCAGATGCAAAGGGCAGTTCTGCTGAGAGGCAGCCAAAGAGGGGTAAAGTGGTCAGCAGTGTCAGGTCTGCAAAGGAGAAGCAGATCTCCACACAGAGAACAGAAAGCTCCCAGGATTCCTCTGTAACAAGATCCCAAAGTCCTTTGAAAGTGCTGGAAAGAGCCTCAACCCCTGCAGCATTCCTCAGGTGAGCCACAAAGGAGGAGGTGATGCCTCTGCTTCTTGGTCCTCTTGCCAAACAAAGTCCATTGTCCCCAGCTCCACAGCAACCCAGTGCTGGGGGATGGTGAGTGCACCCTCCTTGCTTCATTTGCTCCTCAGCAATGTGTGAAGCCTCCTCTTTAATTGCCAGGCTGAAACGGTACCGGTGGAAAGTGCCTGCCCACGGTGAGGTGGAACTGAAGGTCAACTTCTTCACCAAAAAGCCAGGGAAGTTTGAGCAGACAATGAAGTTTGAGATCGTGCTGTCAAAGCGCCAGTACGAGCTGCCCTGCAGTGTCACCGGCCTGTACCCCAGCATCATCCAGAACCCACGGTAAGGCTGGGCCCTGGCAGCCTCCCACAGCACAGCTGCCCTGAACTCACAGCCAGGGCTGGGCAGATTGTGCTGCCTGAGGCTGCCCAGCCCCTCTTCCTGTGCTGGGAGCTGGGAAGGCAGATGGTACCTCAGGCACCAGGAAGGGTTATGGCTTTCTGATGACATTTCCTACTTGGAGCATCTCATAGCTCCTCCTTCCCCACTCTCTCTGCCCAGGCTGGTGTTTCCACACTGGAGGGAGACCATGGAGGAGGATGAAGTCATCTTCAAAGAATATGTTGAGAGCACAAAGCAATTCCACTTTGGACCGCTGCTGTGTGGGAAGTCAAGAGAGTGGTATGTGCTCCCTGCTGGGCCTTGTACTTTTCTGGACATGCCTGGAGAGACATGCTCTCCTGGTTGCACAATCCAGGGCAGTCCCTGGCAGAGTCCTGGGAGAGACATGGGCTTGAAGGACCACAGATGGGAACTTGAACAGATAAGAGGCAAATGAGCCTTGGAGGAGCTGCTCTGCCTACCCAGTGGCCACCTTGGTGGCCAGGGCCGCGTGCTGCCGCCAGTCCAAAGGTGTCGGACGGCAACTTCTGTCCCCCCCCACATCTCAGCTTCACCCCTTAGGAAATGAACTTTATGGTGGTTTTTGAAGTGCTTTGAGCTCTGCAGGTAGCCTGATCAAGCAATTATTCTGTAGATGGTTTTGTAAAACTTTCATTCATCTGTAATTATAACAAGATTTTATTATTGACCTGCAAATGGATGTTGAGGGGAACATACAGCAGGAATTACATTTTCCTGTAATGACATTGCATGCTCACTGCTGGATAAAATCTGCCTAAGCACATGGTCATTGAAGCTATTGTGTATTCCTACTTTTACTGTCACTAGTTTTTTTAATAGCATTTAAGTTCTTGTCCCCATAGGAAATCTGGAGGGTTAGGTCTATTTTGACAATCCAAGGAAATGAAATTAAAATAGTTTAAAAAACCAGACGATCTTTAGCCAGGTTGATGGATGGTTTGGGATTTCTGTTTGCCTCTTTAACCCTTTCACTCCAAAGTCATTTCCACACACGAGAGAAGAGTCATTTGTTATCTCTTTGCATTTCTCTTGGGAATTGATGCTTCATATTTCTTTCTCAGACTTTGAGCTACCCATGAAATCCAAAGCAGTTGCATGACTTTTATGAAAAAGATTAGCTAAACTCTTTTTCCAAAAGCCTTTCTTTATACCCTGCAGGGAAGGCACCCCAAGAAAGAAGGGGAAGGAACCCATGTGCCTGGTGTACTGTTATTTTTCTAGGCACCCTTGAATTTATGTTGTATTAAAAACTCTCAAAGTGGCCTGAGCATCATCAGGCTTCTGTGGTGGAGGCACCAAGTCCAGGGGTTAGGCATAAACTACGGCAAGGATCCTTGCCATGCCTCTGACTGGGATCCATTTCCCTCACTTGTTTGTTAGAGCAGGGTCTCCCAGCAGTGCTTCCTCGGGTGCACACGGTGCTCTCCTCGGTGTGTGGCAAAGGCAACAGTCTCCTCTGCAGCCTTTTCCCCTTTTGTGGACAGGTACGAGGCCCAGAACTGTCCCGGCAACTCAGAGAAGCTAACCATCCTCAACAACTCCCCCATGGTCATAGAGGTCCACTTCTCTTTTGAGAAAGATTGGAAAACAAGGACCTTCGTTGCGGACCCTCGCCGCATGACCCTGAAACCAAAGGAGAGGAAGGTAGGAGAAGGGCAGGTAGAGCAGGCACCGCTGAAGTGCCCAGGGGCTGCTCCTCCTGCTCACACTCAGAGCTCCTTTGGTTTCTTCTGTGGGGCCATGTCCAGGAGCTGACCATTTGGGCATACCCCACCTCCCCTGGCTTCCTGGAAGACAAGCTCATCTGCAGCATTAGGAAGAACCCGGAGCCAGTGGTCTTCAGCCTGTGCTGCCATGGGGTGGACATGAAGCTGGAGGTCAGCCCCCTGCAGCTGTCTTTTGACAAGCTGCTTCTGCACAGGTCAGTCATCCCACAAGCACTCTAAGAGTGGTGACAAAGAGAAAACGTTTGACTCTGGTTTCCGGGGCATGGATGGAGCTGCTCCAAGTTGCGTTCAGTGGCGAGGCTGGTGTGACCATCCGGCAGCTGATGCCAAGTGCCTTCCTGTCTCTGCAGGGCTGACAGCAGGACCTTGGTCCTGAAAAACAACACCCTACTGCCCATGGCCTGGCAGCTCCGTGGGCTGGGTGGCCTTGTTGAGGACTTCTCCTTGTCACAAGATAATGGCATCCTTGATCCCCACTCAGAGTTTCAAGTGACACTGCATTTCAAGGCTGAGCGCATTGGCAGCATTGAGAAGATCCTGCGACTAGAGGTGAGAGGGACTGTGCTCTGCCTGGCAGAGCAGGGCACAGTGAGCAGCCATGTGCTCCTAGGGACAGAGTCACAAAGAGCTGCACCTGCTAGACACAAGGGTGCTGTGACCCCAACTTCTGCCTCTGCACAGCATTTGCCAGACCATGTAGTGCATCCACATCGCCCCAGATAAGCAGACACTGCATCCTGAGCCTGTACCACAACCACCCTGTCCCTGTGAATGGTTGAAGGTTGTTGTTTGGTGGTACGGACTGCAGCGTGATCTCTACGTTCCTCCTGGACTTTGTCTGAAGCCCTTGCATAGTGCAACAAACTCTCGCCCTGGGATTTTGTTCCCCATGGTTTAGGGGCTGCATTTCAGACAGGGTGCTAGGTGATTGGAGAGGGTTGTCAATGCCACCTGCTCTGAAACACCTCACACTTCTTGTGGTTGTTCTTACACCCCTGTGCCTCTCAAGGATGCTTTAGCAGCAGCATTCCCTGCTACAGGAGTGCAGAGTTGGGCTGATAGGGGTTTTTACTGCAGCTGAATCCCACTGGGGCAGCCCCTGAGAGGAACAGGTTAGCAAAGCTTGGGAGTCCACCAACGTTTGTGAAGCCAGGAAGGTCATAGGGGAAGCAGCCAGCAGAGACAAGGACTTTCAGGCTGTCTACCAAAAGAATAATCTGAACAGTGTTTGTTTCTTGCTGCCTCAGGTTTCAGATACAGAAAACATCCTGGGGAATTTTCAGGCTGAAAACATCAAAATCTCTGCAGAGGTCTATGAAGTTTCTCTGAGCATTGACATGCCTGAAGGTCAGTGGATGCCTCCCAAACAAAGCAGTCCAGGTGCACTGCATTACCTTGGGAGGTGGGCAGCCAAAGCACTTGATGGGATGGGATGGGATTGGATGGGATGGGATGGGATGGGATGCAAGGAAGGCGTGGATACCTAAAGCCCATACTCTGCAAGCTGCGTGGAATAAAGCATTGTCAGGACTCTGACAGCCTTAAGGCTCTCCCCTCTGAACTGAAGTGTGCAGTTTCATGTGCAGATTGGATTTGGGGGCTTTGAAACAACAGTGATGTAAACAGGCAGTTGGCAATGCCCACAGACTCAGCACAGCATTTAAAGGAATTGGATTTGTGCTTGGGAGCGAGGAAATGGAAGGCGAACTCTTTAGCTACTAAGCCTGCAGATATTTTGAGTAAGAAGAGAAAGGGCAGACAAGTAGCTGGAAAACACTTTCAAGAATGGGATCTTGCTGAAAAGGGTTTTGTGCCGAGACCTCCATGTTGCTTGTGACTTCGTGTATTCTGCAGCAGCTCACAAATACTGTGTTTGACCTCACTCTGTGGGTTTTCTGCAGGTGCAGATGGAAGCTTGGAATTTGGAACCATTAATGTCCTGGATAAAGTGAAGAAAGTCTTGAGTCTACAGAACAAAGGGGTATACAACATTGAGTACAGGTGAGTCCAGCTGCCTGGTAGTGAGCATTTCCCAGACCTTCATTCTCCCTCTGTCAATGGCTAGATCCTGTTTCCATGCTGGCTACCTGATGGTAAATACAAAACTTGGGCTCTCTGATCTCAATTGTATTACCAGAGAATTCAGCCACAAACCAGCAGTTCTTCACAGCTCAGCTGGAGCCCAAAGGAGAGCCCCAGAAATTTCAGCCACTGAAATGCTGAGATTCATTGCCTTGTTTTGGTGGTCCCCTCCTTTCTCTTTCTGAGACTCTGTAAAGGAGTGAATGAAAAATTTCAGTCTCAAGGTTTCTTGCAGTAATCTTGTGATTGTCTGCACTCTCTGTCAAGATCCAGGATTCCCAGAACTGGACTCTCCCTTTTTTTTCTAGTCCTATGCAAAGTCCTGGCTGTGCTGGTGGCACCTGTACTTTTAACTGCAGAGATCTCCATTCCTTCCCTTTCTCCCCAGTTTCACGCTGAAGGGTGCAGGTCCCAAGATGCAAGACTTGACATCCCACTTCACTGTTGAGCCTCAGTCAGGCGTGCTGATTGCATCCCGGCCTGGTGAGAAGGTTGAGATGCTCTTCCACCCCACCAGTGAAATGGTCCTCAAGAACAATCCCATCCTGTACTGCCAGGTGAGCCGCCTGGGCCAGGCTGTGTTATCACACGGTGTTTTGGGAGTGTAAACAAGCTAGATGTCTAATGGAAGGAGGCCTTTAACTGGAGAATCCTCTCTCCTACATACACAAACAAAGTCTTTCAACACCATTTGCGAGGCTTCTTAAGTGGAGCTGAGAATCTGGCTGGCCTCTTTATTGTTTACCAAGCCCTTCCTGTGGACACAGGTGGCAGATGCCAGCCCAGGTCGAGGACGCCCGGCTGTTGCCAACATCCCAGTGAGGGTGTCGGCCGAAGCGGAGTACAGCAAGTACAGCATTGTGCCTGCCTCACCCACGGACTTCGGAGCCATGATCGTGGGCACCAGGAAGACCCGGAGTGTTGTGCTGAAGAACATAGGCATGGCCAATTTCCAGTTCTGCATCCGCCAAACACCCATGCTTGCATGTGCGTTGGAAAGCAAAAGGTATGAGAAGCCCTGCACCACCCTTCCTGTCTGAAGAGGCAGCACTCCACAGCTGGTATGTGGCAGGCAGCCAGGAGACCTGGGCTATCGTCCATTTGCATCCCTGGCTTGGGGAGAGGGAGCAAACCACACCTCAGTATCCCCATGTGTAGTACAAAGCTGGTGATAGAGCTGCTCAGTCCAGCAATGGGAGCTGCTGGCTGCTCTCTGCGAGCCATAAGGAGCAGGAAGGCTTTCCTCTGTGAGGAGGAAGGCCAGCTTTGGCCTTTGAGGCACAGGAGCTCAGCATGACAGATACCTCTGCTTTCTCCCCTCAGTTCAAAGCAAAGGAAATCTGCTCCATCAGCTACAAAGCGCTCGACAGGAAAGGAATCAAGCTTCTCAACACCGGTGGGTAACTCCTGCTGCCCAGCAGTGCTGCTGCAGGGGATGTGAGAAGACGCTGCTGTGCCCAGGCTGGGGCTCATTGCCACAGGGTGGGACGTGGTCTGCAAGACCAGTATCTGCTCAGTCCCACTGACAGTCCTGTAGTCTGGCTCTGACCTGGAGTTGTGGGGTCAACAGAGGGGAGCAGGTCCTGTGTTTGGTAGCTGCTAGCCAGCATAGGTCTGTGAACACCTCAGAAGCAAAAACATCCCCCACTGAACTCCCAGTCCACAGAGCTCAGACAACATCACTTTTTCTTCTTCCCAGTCCCCTACCTCTCTCCTATCATTTCTCAGAGCTATTTCAGGCCTCTGGTGTTACCTCTGGAGGTTGAAGGATCAAAGCTACCACCTTCATTCTTTAGATTCAAACTCCTTTCTCTCTGCCACTTGGGACAGGCTTGCAGCTCCTCTTGGCTTGTTGCTCCCAGCCTGGGGCTGCCATTGGGCCATGAAGTCATCCTTCCCTGCCCTGTGACTGGGTGCTTGGGCCCAGCTGGAGGCCACGGCAGGACATACTCTTTGCTGGGGTGCTCAAGGCACAGCTGTTAGCCATCAGCCTCCTCTGGAACTTTTTCTGCAGAGTCACCTCAATCTTGGCGCGTTCACGGTATCCCCCTGCTGTGGCTCCATCCGTCCATGTGGCCTGCAGGTGATCAAAGTGGAGTGCCTCGCAGGGCAGGAGGGGACGTGTGAGCAGCAGCTCTACATCGACATCATGGGCAGAGACCCCAAGGACAACCCCCTCGGCATTCCCTTCACCCTGGTTGTCGAGTCCTGCCTCCCAGGTACCTACTGCCCACAGTGCCCTTGGTCACACCTGCTGCTGAGCAGCACCTAAACTTGCTGCTTGGATAGAGAGGCATGCTAGCCCTGGTGTCCCACCTTAAAATCCTCAGAGGTTCCAGCCCTCTTCAAGTCCACCACTTCACTCATCCCTCCCAGGCTGAGAGGGATGCATGGAAGGATAAAAGGAAAGCAATGCTCTCTAAGACTGAGGTTGACTGAGTTCCATCCTCACAGCCAGCTCCCCCACCCAAGGCTGGGTTTAGCAATCACCCAGGCAGAAAGGGCTTATCAAGGCTTCTGAGAGGCCAGCAGGGTCTAGACAAATTCATAAGGGAGGCCCCTCCGTGCTCATCCCTCTGCTCAGGGAGGCTTCTCTGTGCTCATCCCTCTGCTCTGTCCACAGCACTCGTTCAGGATGTCACGTCAGTCTTCAAGGACTACCCGATCTGCAGCAGCACCGACCTTGAGTACAAGCTGCAGTCGCTGGAAGGCATGGGCCTGTTCGTCAGAGATGAGAACAGATTCGTTTTCAACAAGGTTCTGGTTGGGCAGGAGGCAGAAGCTCATTTCAGAATTTGCAATGCAGGCCGTCTGCCATGTGACGTGGCCCTCTCCATCCTGCCTGGAGAGGTAAGAGCAGGAGGCCAAGGTGGTGGTTGCCCTCTAAGGGCCGGGTGAGAGCCTCTTTTGTTCTCCAGATGCATTGCTTCCTGTGGCCCACACTAGTGTAGCTCAGTGCAGGTCAAACTGCAGGGGAGAGCAGCAGAGCCAGGGAACAGTTGTGTGGAATTCTGCATGTCTTGGGCAAGGTTTTGGCTCACACCTCTGGGTCTTCAGTGGGAGAAGTGAATCCTTCTGAACCTCTCCTGGAAGCACACGCAGAGAGGGGCTGTCATGAGCTGACATGCCAGGGCTCAAAGCAGAGCATTTCCTCAGGCTCCCTGGCTTTTCCTTCTCTTTGAAGGCCAGTTCTGAGTTGTTTACAGGGGCTTTCACGCAGTGCCCACCTCCCATATAGGCTGGGGCAGCTGCCAGCACTCCAAACACACAATGCTTTAGCACAAGGTCAGCATTCCCTGGGAGGGAGGGAGCCTGCCCAGGGAAGGAGGAAGGAAGACACAATGTCTGGGGCTGTTCTCAGTGATGCATTGATGACTAAAACTGTGTCATGTTGAAAGGTGTTTTCTCCTAACGCTGCTCTCCGGGTTCCCCCAAGGAACAAATCCCTATCAACAATATTTTCAATCTGGATCCTATCAAGATGTCCATTCGTGGCTCATCCTCTGCCATTGCTACGGTGACCTTCACCCCGCCAGACAAGCAGAGCTACGACTGCACCTTCAAGGCTTCCCTTGTCATCCCCAAAGGGTAACTGACCCTGTGAAATACTGGGGCAGGCCTCACTGACAGCTGCCTCTCCACTGGGAAGGAACAGGCCTCTTGTTAGCTCTAATGCTTCCAGTAGCCTTAGGCAGAGTACTTGGCATGAGATGATCCGGGAGTAACTCTTAGAGTAGAAAAATGAGGCTGATAGTTTATTCTGTATGAAGAACTATCAAGACAAGGAAATATTAGGTAGTCAATTTGAAGTTACTGAGATGTGCTGCAGCTGACCTGGGCGTTTCCATGGACAAAGTTTTAGATGTGCCAGTAAGTCAGTAGTCACATTTTCCTCTTTGTTTCTGTAAAATTAAGTGATCCTCTGTGACTCACTGGCATTCATTAAGCTTTTTTATGTGATTGATTGGAGCTGGTATGAAAGAGGAACGCAGTTCCTCTGCCCTGGGACCTGTGAACTGGGGCTTTGACCTGTCCTTCCTCAGCAATTTAGTGGCTGAATCACAACAAGACAAGCCTAACTGCTAATAAGGAATTGCTTTTTTACTGTTCTTGGAAACGATCTTTGCTGATGGTGACGATGATTTATTTTTGCCTTGTTGCTTTTGTACTGCTTTTGTGCTGTGCTTTTGCTTGTTGCGTAAGTCTCATCTCACTGCAGCCAGGGGATTTGCCATATCTCATCTGGTGCCTCCTTATTTACCTGCTGCACTGCATGATTCAATTAAGTGAAATTATTTTTAACTGCTGTTGTGGAAGGCTCTGGCTCTTTGGAGCAGATTCCTCTAGTGAATGGCCCTGAGTGGGTTGGGAAGAGGCTGCTGGGGGGCTGTGTTGTGGGAGCCCCCCAGCAGCACCAGGACCACCAGGCAGGGAAAACACTGTGGGTGGCCCTTGGTGCTTCACTTGCCCAGTGTGAAATGGGTTAGTGCCAGCTGAAATTGTTTCTGCACCTCTCCTGCAGCTCTGTGGAAATTCAACCCCAAATCCTGACCTTCACCATCAGTGGGAAGGGGCAGGAGCTGCCGGTGACAGTTGTGCGCCCAAATGTTCGCAGCAAGAGGGGAACGGCCGTGCTGCGCTTCAAGAGGCTCCAGCTGGAGCATTCAGAGATGCTCCCCCTGGTCCTCCGTAACAGTGGCACCAAATCTGTCAAGGTGAGGAGGACCTGCTCAAGGAAGGTTTGGGAACAAGTGCTTGTGGCACAGGGGAAGGGTCCCAAAAAACATGGCAGACCTGGGAAGAGGTGTCAGAAATTCTTTTTAAGCAAGTGACTGACATCTGTTCTTCAAAAAGAGAGTTTTTGAAAATTTTCCATCCAGTCTTTTTTCTTTCAGTTGAACACAAGAAAGGTGGTGGAGTATTTTCCCCCATCTCTCAGGTCACCTTTTGTTCTCATGGACATGTGTGGTTTCCCAGTTCCATTAGATTGTATTTGATCCCATTTACTACATTTGAGGGAAACTTAGTTGGGGTTTAATTACATTCTGCCCCTTACTTTCTGTCCGGTTTGGTTCTGTGTGGGCTCTATCCAGATGCCTCTGAACGCCCTTTCTTCTCAGCTGGTTTGACTTCACTTTTGCGCTCAGTGCTGTTTGTAGTGGGAGAGGTGCCAGGCTGCCGTGTGGGACCAGCAGCACTGTGGTGTCAGTCCCTGTGCCATCCTGTACTCACACCAGCATCATTGTGCTCTGGCTTCTCTTTTCTCAGTTTATGTTACAGCTGGAGGATGAGCACGGAGCGTTCTCCTTGAAAGGCAGGGCCTTCACATTCAAGACAGTCCTCACTGGAGATATGGAAGAGGACTCCGTCAGAAACGGTAAATTCATTAACCATGAAGTGTGATCATGCACAGAGGGAAAATGAAAAAAGAGCCCTGCTCTTGGCTTCTCTGAGCAGCAGCCAGATGTTAGTTTCATTCTTTGGGCTCTCTGTCCCCCAGGCTTTTCCTGGGGACGTTTTGCAGGGTCTCCTCCTAGCAAGTTGTAGGAAGTTGTTCAGTTCTTCTAGACATGGTGGGTTGAGTTGTGGGAGACTGTCACTACCTCAGTGGGCCCTCTAAGGTGTTTGCTTCATGTAGGAAGGTACCAACCTGAACAGACACAGCCCTTGAGCACACAGCCAGCCAGCAGAAGCCAAAAGCACTCTTTGGCTGAGCTTTACATATGGCTGGAGCTGGCTGGAAGCAGGTGGAATGAGGCCTGGGCATCAGCCCGAGGTTAAGCTGCTTAAGTGGTGCTGTGTCTGGAGGTGGCAGGCTTGTGAACATAGCAAGAGGGTCTGGAACCACTGTGGGTAGAACCTGTGCTTAGAAGGCAGCTGGTTTCAACCTCTTATTCCTCATTTATCCTATGGAAATATTTCCTCTGTACAGCTGTATCACTTAACTCTGATTTCATCGCTGTGCAGAGACCAAGCCCCCAAAGCAGACTTTCATCCTTCTGCGTCATGGGCAATCGGCACAGTTTAAGGTCATTTTCAAACCCACCCTGGCTCAACGTGTGGAAGGGAAGATTGCTCTGGTAGTGGGGGACATCTGCATGACCCTGGTTGAGCTGGTGGGTGAAGGCCACAACGACGAATTCACCCTCGATGGATTAAAGGAAGACACCCAGGAGAGGAATGCTAAGAGCAGTCTGAGGAAAGACATCATTGATGGTAAGAGAGGAGAGGCTGCCAAGGTGGAGCAAGGAGGAGGACAATGTCTGATCACGTGTGTCCTCCCTCTAGCCAGGCCTGGGCTGTCACCCGCAGGACTTGGTGGCTTGTGGGCGTGGCAGCCATGCATGCAGAGCAGTGTGTGCTGTGCTGCATGTCGCTGGCTTAAGGATGTGTCAGGGTGTTTCCCTGGAAGTGGTGGGATGGGGAACTGCCTGGGGAACTCCCTCCAGAGGGAGGAAGGCTTGGAGCAAGGCAGCATTGAACGTGCAGGTGTCTGTGCACCTGAGGGGGGCAGGTGGAGCTCCCTGCATGCTGACATGCCTTGCTCTCCTCCTTTACAGCTGTCAGAGTGAACCACATCGAGTTTGGGCACTGTCCTGTCGGGAAGCGCTGCCGCAGGACCTTCACCATCACCAACCGCACCCTTACGCAGGCCATGCGCTTTGAGTGGGATGCAGACGCCCCATTCCAGTTCTCCCCCAAGGTGAGCGTGCACTGCTCTGCCTCTCCCCATTGCTCACGCCCTGCCCTGGTGCTCCCAAGAGCAGGCAGGGCAGGGAGTCCTCACATGCCACTGATACCCCGTTCCAGTGCCATGTAGGAGATGCAGTCCCTGGCTTGGCTGGGCCAAGGCTGCCAGCCTTGCAGACAAGGCTTCATATTTTGGGAGGTGCCACCTTTTGTTCTTACTTTTGTCTGTCAAATTTCACATAAATCCACTCTGAGGTGCAGATTTCTGGCACAGCTGTTCACCACATCAGTTGCTTTTGCTGTCAGTCCTGCCCTTGGCAGTGCTTCCAGTTTGGAAGTCTTGACTGTTTCCCTGATTCTCCCTAGGTGGGACACCTCCATCCTGGCTGTGCCAAGGGCATCACAGTGATCTTGAGATCAGATGTCCCAGTCACCTTCAGAAGGCACCTTGTGAAATGTAAGGTGACCAAGATCAACTTTGAGCTGCCACCAAGGAAGGTTCTAGACTGGGACGACCAAATGCGCACTGTGACGTTGAGGGATACCACGTGGAAAGACCCAGCAGCCAGGTGGCCTAAAAAAGAGAAGGTAAGAAGAAAAAGGGCAAAAAAAGGCAACCCAGCTTTTGCTAAAAGAACCACCATAACAGCATCACTGCTGGCTGTGCAGCTCCTGCTTCCTCTGGACACTGCACAGCCATGAGGCTCAGCAGCAGTGCATTCCAGGGGAGAGGTGGATGCACAGTGACTGGATACACTCACACAAGAGGGGGAAGCCTTTGGACAAGAGACCTTTAGCCACACACAAACTATCAGTCTGTGCCACAAGCACAAGTGTTGCAGCCCATGTTGAATGGGAGACAATGTTTTATGATTTTATCCCATTTTATGGTGTTAGAAATCTCTTTATCTCATTTGGTGCCTTTTCACAAACAAGGAGTTAAGTCTGTTGCACTCTGTCTCTTCTTTTAAAGTGGAGAGAAATATACTTCTCCTGCATATGCTGGTGAGCTCCAAGTTTTGTCTGCATGGATACCAGAGAATTTGGTTATAGTCTCTGTATTGTGTGGGGTATCTCATCACGAAGTAGCCCAGGCACTGCATGACTCTATGGAGGAGTCCAGAGAAGGATCATCTCCAGAGACCCTTGCTTTTATTGTCATTATTGCCAAACACACTCATCTTGGGTGAAGGTTCTTCCTGAGTTTCTGGACCATTTTAAGGCCTCTAAAAAACATCCTCTTTTCTATCAGAACATCTGCAGTTGGAGACTTTTCCAATGAGATCTTTCACATCCCAAAATGCCCATGCTCAGCTCCCAGCAGTGTGGCTGTTGCTCCGGACATGACAGCTGGAGAGCACTTTCTCCTAAGACAAGAAGGAAAAGGTGCTTTCTAGAACTCTTCAGTCTTGAGGTTCTCCATCCACAAAGCTCCAGCAGGAGAACTTAACCCTAATTTTGAGACCTGCTGGATTTACAGGGGACAGGAAAAAAGCCAGTCCCTCTACAAGGTTGAAGGACAGGGACTGGAACACAGCTATCCATGGGGATATTAACAGCTGTGGTAGTGACTGCTTGGATCAGTGGGTAGAAACAACTACCGTAGCAGAGCAGTCCTAATTTTGTCATCTTTCCAGGGAAGTAAAAGTCAGTGGTCCTTTCTAGTCCCGCTATGAGGCTAATCTTGGAGGCCAGAAGATTCCCTTCTCAGCCTGACCTTCTGGGCTCTGCTCAGTGATTTCTCCCTCCTCTGTTTGCAGGTGGTTGAGCCAGTCCTGGAACCAGCTCACACTGTGGTGGAGGAGAGCAGCCAGGAGGCTGAGGTGTACCTCAGTGCTGTTGTTGCCCACGCCCAGTTCAAACTGAGCACAACCGTGGTTGAGTTCAAGGATACCTTGCCCTTCCAGACAAGGACAGCCTTGTGAGTGCTGGAGGCCGGGCAGGGCCCTGGGAGCGGGAGCTGCCTTTGCCCAGGGCTGGCCCAGTGCCTGCTTGCCACAACTCTGCCCCAGCCCCAACCAGCACAGGCCCATTTTCATGCACACAAGGCCAAGCAGGAGATGGTGGTCAGGAGAGCCTCAGGGCTGCCAGACCTTTCTGCTGAGAGCAGCCATGGGTTTGCTCTCACTGCATGTCACCTGTCCTCATCTGCTCAACAATAAGTTTGCAGTCAAACCAAGACCTAAAGTCCAGAGTAAGCCCCTTGGCTTCAATGTCCTGGGCACCATGTTGGCCCTTTCCTCTTAAACATCCACACTTGGAAATACTGTTTAGGGCCACCCAGGACAGCAGTCTGAGCATGGCAGGGCTGCCTGGGGAAGAAGGTTCTCTTCAGCAGAAAGTGGTACCAGGAGGCCATCAGACAATGTTACTGTACTATTTGCTTTATATTTATTGGAAATTTTTTGTTACTCCTCCTTCTTGCTTTTCAGTTTCAGGCTATACAACACAGGGAAGATAGCCCTGGAATACTCCTGGGAGGAAGCTGGAGATAGTGAAGCAGCGATGAGGAGTGCTCTGGCACGTAAGGGCATTTCACTTGGTAGCTGAGAGCCTGGGGAGAAGACCCTGCCACTTCACTCCAAAACATGAATTGCTTTTTCATCCTTCTCCACACATCCACTTTCATCAGCATCTTCCCAGCTGCAGCTGGAGAGTTTTTGCCCCTATCTGCCATTCATCCCCTTCTGTTCTTGCTCTGCCACTTCTGGTCTGCAAAGGAGCTGAGCCAGCCTCTGGGGAGAGCCACGTGCTGGGTCAGGACTGGGAAGGGGGACATCAGGGACATCTCAGACTCTTTGAGAAGTCTGAGACTGGGAAACACAATGGTGTTACAAGTGAGCTGACCTGTAGCCACTGTCTGTGTGCAGTTCCTCACTCCAGGGCAAATGCAAAGTCACTGTCTAAAAGCAACTCTCCTGCTTTGGCACAGGAGTGTGTGCTGCAGGCAGAGACCCTGCTCCCAGACACCCTATTTCCTGCTAAAAGTACTTGGCCAGAGATGCTCCAAGTGCATCCCAGCTCTTTTCCACCTACCTGCAGCAGGAGGCAGAGCTGCTGGGAGCACAGGATTTTGTCTTTGAAAGGTGTCCTCCTCCTCTCTGCAGGTAATTTCCTCTCCTCTGAAACTTTAAGGCGTTGCAGAAACCTGCTGCATCGTTTTGGGTGGCAGCAGGACCATGAAACTCAGGCTTTTGAGCTGCAGCTGCTGCAGCGGCTGGCCAAGCACCTGCAGGATTCCAAGAGGCAGCAGTTTGAAGAGCAGGACCATCCCAAGAAGCTGCGCAACTCAAAGCGCGTTGGTTCCGCCCTGGAAATCTTCCCAGACGCCATCTATGACCTGCCACTGTTCTCCATCAAGCCCTACCACGGCATCATCACTCCTGGCCAGAAGCAGGCCTTTCAAGTGCAGTTCTCCCCAAAGTGCGCGGGGATGTTCCAGACCACCCTGCTGTGCAGGTGAGAAACATCCAGCCCTTGCCAACTCATGTTTCTGATGGCTATCACTGGGTGATCACAGGGTGGAAAGGACCCCAGTAGGTCATCTGGTCCCACATGGCACAGGGTTGTGTCCAGAGGGCTCTGCAATAATTCCAGTGAGGGACACTCCACACCCTCTCTGGGCAACCTGGCACCTGCACAGGAAAGAAGTTCTTCCTCAGGTTCAGGTGGGATTCCCTGTTCAGGTTCTGCCCATTGCCTCTTGTCCTAATGCTGGGCACCACCAAGCACAGCCTGGTTCATCCCCCAACACCCTGCTTTCAGTCCCTCTGACTGGGATGGGGAGGTGGGCATGGAGTCAGGCAGCCCCAGAGAGGCGGCACAAACACCCACAGGAGCACAGAAAGATCATCATCTGGCCTTGGGAGGGAGACACTGGGAAAAGACACTGTATGGAACATCACACTGCTGGAAGGTTGCAAAATCTGGGAGATCCAGGAACCAGCAAGTCCCTAGCTCTGCTTCCTTTGGGGACAAGCAAGGCCTGCTTCTCTGCCTGGAACCCTGTGTGCTGTAGTTGGTCCCCAGGCACTTAACAGGTCATGGTCCTGCCCTTGCACCTCTGCAGCCTCCATGCAGCTTGTTTAATTTGCTGCATGCTGCTTGCACAGACAGAGGATGCAACACTGTGCAACTTGCTGTGCGAGTTGCAGAGCAACTGGCTGGGAATGTTTGTCTGGCTAATACCAGTCCCCTTCCTGCTAGAATTTCTAACCTGAATCCAACTGAGAAGATGAGGCAGGTGACTGTGAAAGGCAGAGCCTTGGAGCAGAAGATTCTTGGTAGGGCAGACGGAGAAAGGCCAGGGAGCCAAGGATCAGGTGCCCTGGAAACCAGCACCTGAGGGCCAGCATTTGTGTCAGCTGGAGCTCCTGCAGGAGGCAGCAACATCGTGCCTTCTGCTGCTGCTGGTCTCCCACCCTCCACCAGAGACCTCTGCAGCTACCCTTCCGAGCTCCAGTGAAGACCTCTAGCCAACCTTTCATCACCTACATAACTGTTTATTAGATTGATAATAATTCATTTTCGACAATTAATTGTTAATAAACAATTGTTAATACATGATTAACCGTCAGCTTGTCTTGGTTGGAAAGACAGGTGTCTGCGGGACCTCTCTGGAATGGAAAATGTGACCTCCTCCTCTCCAAATTATTATAACTTTGAAATTAAGGGGCTTTCAGGCAAAGATATGGGAGAAGTTCTTTGCCAGTATGTACAACAAGGCAAACAAACAACAACGCTGGCAGCAACAACAAACAGAAGCAGATACCCAACCACAGCCTTCCTTCGGCTGCAGGCACTTTCCCTTTGCTGTAGTTCCAGTCACAGCTGGCAGGAAAGGGAGGCAAATAATGAATAAAGCAATTGCTACAGTAATTCTAATTAAGCTACACCAAGGAATGCACTGGAGAGCTCAAGCACTGTATGATCAATTCTGAAGAGCTTATTGCTGTGAGGGAGTCTCTGCAGTAGCCAAATAGTGACTGGACAATGAAGTTGTTCAAAGATAAATAAGTGATGAGAAAACACCCTAGTGAGGGAAGAGCCCTAGCCCTTAGACCCTTTCAAAATATGCAAATACATTAGACTGAGTTCCCCAAAATACAGAGATGGAAATATCTTCTTGGAACAGTTGATCACCGCACCCACTGGGAGCCTTTGCTATCTCAACTGCAACTACCTCCAAAGTGGCTAAGATGCTATTAGAACAAATCATTCCTAGATATGGAATAACTGAAAGAATGGATTCAAGTAAGGGAACACACTTGACTTCAAAAATTTTACGTTCTATGTGTGGTATTAGACATAAATTGGAAATTCCATACCCCGTGGCACCCTCAAAGCTCTGGATGTGTGGAGAGAATGAATGCTGTCCTTAAGAACCATATTACCAAATTAATGATTGAAACCAAATTAGCATTATTACGGATCAGAACTGCTCCAAGAAAGGACATAGGAATTTCTCCCAATGAAATATTACTTGGGTTACCTAATCTGGGAAGGTAGAGCTGAAACTAATGACTTCCATCTCAGAAATTATTGCAGGCAATTACAGCTGGTGCTTTGAAGAGTTGTTTTTTTCATAAGATGTTTACCAAAGGGTGTCTTCTTAATTAGCAGATGGTGTGACAAGCTGTTGATTAAAAGACCAATCAGGTCCACCTCTATCAGAATGGTGTATAAAAGAATGCATTTCTAATAAACTCAGATATTAGCTATGCACTAAGAACCAGAGGAAGTAGCCTCACATTGAGAGGAAATTCAGGTTAGATTTTAGAAAAAAAAATTTCACTGTTCAGGTGTTCAGGCCTGGGAACAGGTTGGCCAGAGAGGGGGTGGAGTTGCCATCCCTGGAGCTGTTAAAGAGGCCTCTGGATCTGACCCTGGGAAATGGTTTAGTGGTTTAGCGTTTGCAGTGTCAGTGCTGGGCTGACGTTGAACTGACGGTTTTAAAGATCTCTTTCACCCCTGCCGGTTCTACAACTCCAAGCGCTTCCCGCCCGCCTGAGGGGAAGGCTCAGGGCTGTCCCGAGTCCAGGGCCGGCCGCGCCTGAGGGGCTCGGGCGGCGCTGCGGCTGCGGCGGCTCCTGAGGGGCCGGGCCGCGCTCTGCCCTCAGCTCCGCGAGATCCCAGCCCTCGGGCCGGCGGGGCCTCCGCTGTCCTTCAGCCGGACAATCGCACCGCTCAGCTCCGCGGGATCCCAGCCCTCAGGCCGGCGGGGCCTCCGCTGTCCTTCAGCCGGACAATCGCACCGCTCAGCTCCGCGAGATCCCAGCCCTCGGGCCGGCGGGGCCTCCGCTGTCCTTCAGCCGGACAATCGCACCGCTCAGCTCCGCGGGATCCCAGCCCTCAGGCCGGCGGGGCCTCCGCTGTCCTTCAGCCCGACGATCCCACCCCATCCCATCCCTCAGTCCAGCGATCCCACCCCTCAGCCCGCAGATCCCATCCTCAGCCGGGCCGCGCTCGGCAGCGGGCGCCCGCCTCGCCTCGGGGCTTGTCCGGAGCCACCCGCGCCACTGGACCACAGGTACTCGAGCCGTGCCCCATTTCCCCCCTCGAGACTCCCTAACCTTCCCACAGAAGAATGCAGCTGCTGTTTCATCAGTAGACTGTTGCCTTTCATCCCCCTCCCCTCTTTCTTATGTTCTTTCCCTTTTATATTTGGGCTGATCTGGAGTGCTTGCTAAGGCTTCAGAGTGGAGCTCTGATAATGAGCTGTAAATCACGCAGGGCTCATTTGAGGGAGGAGGGAGCTGAAATAGGCCAGGACAGCCCCAAGTCCTGTTCCACAGCGCAGCGTCCTCACGGCCTCAGCTGCTGCTCTGGGCTTTGGTTTCCACAGGAGGCCAGCAAGGCGCACTTGTCCCCTCTGGGTTTGGTCCCTGGTTTCGAAGGATAAGTCCTGCCCAGGCTGGCTGCTCTGCTGGCCATGCCAGCCATGTGCTCTAGTGGTGCTGAGCACACGCACTGACAGATCTGCGCTTCTCCAGGAGTGGTTTCTGAGGTTTGAAGCAATGTTACTGGGTTGTTTGCCATAACTGATGGAGAAGTTTCATATGCAACACTTGCCAGCTGTTTGTTGAGATAAATCTAGTTGCTTGTCTTTGCACCTTGCTCTGTGATGCAACAACTGAGGTGAGCTGTTTGCATCTAATTAATGTAGGCTGGCTTATAAGCACTATTTTGTGTACCTTCTGTAGGTTGCAAAAGATCCAGGAAAAAGTCAAGATGTGTCCTTGTATACATACAGTTTTAAACCCCTTGTGCTTCCTACATTGTATAATTGTATAAACATGTATTAAATGAAACTCTTCTGAAAAGCAGTTAGCTCCAGAGTGAACTCATTTTTGCAGCCTTCCTTTTGTTTGGGTGGGTTTTGTTTTTTCTTAGGCTGGCGGGGTGGTGGCAGTAGGACAAAAAGAGGTGAGAAGGCTGGCAAGCTTTTCCTTGTTGTGGATGGGTTGGATTTGTAGGAAAATGAAATGCATGTCTGTTATCACTTCTGAAAGGCTGCAGGGAGATGAAGTCTCTCAATTCTCGCTCTCTAAGGGAAGCAGCAAAGGAATGGGGGCAATCAGTAACTCCCAAGAGAAAGCAGGGCTGGCTGTCTTCGTTAAGATGACAATGATTCTGCTTTGAGCCTTTGTCCACTCTCAAAAGATGAAAACCTGGTAGTTACAAATGCAGGGCTATTATAAAATACTGTATTTCCAAAGGAAAACTTTGCCATACAGGAATACATTAAACTGTGTGTGAGAGATGACAGAGTAAAAGCAGAAAATTGGGAAAAGTGCATTTTAGAAAAATGATGTAATTTATACTGCGTATATTATCAACACTGCTAATCTGAACAGAACTGAAAACACTTTTTCCTTGCTGTTGTAGAACAAGAACAGAGATAAAACAAAAATGAACACTCAAAAGGTGCAGATAAGTCAGTGTGGTAAGATATCTAATATAATTTATCATTATAATCTGCATCAGTTTTACAAAGTTTTAGCAGACTTTAGTGATAGGCCTGTTGGGGGGTGGTGAGCAGTTGGGAAAATGTGCTTTTTCCTAGTTGCCAAATTTTGGATACTGTATTGGATATGCAAAGGGTACATCCAATGCCAAACCTACACACAGAGTAAAACACACCACCACAAAGTCACTTTTTTTTTTAATTTTCTAATATTTATCCACATTTTTATTGTATTTTAACTTCTTTAAGAACCTTCAAACCTTGTTTTCAGTAAACAATACCTTCTGTCACTGTTAGAAATAATGATCAAGTCAGTCTTTTAATGATAGCCCAAAGACTAAGAAGCAGATTTTCCAAGTCTGTTTTACCCACCCAGGGTTGTATGTAGGAGGCAGAGAATATTTTGTGTTACATCTCCAAGCACCTGGCTGAGGGCTGTGCTGCAGTGCTGCATGGTTTCTGTCTCCTGTAACTCAGTACCACCCAGCAGCCTTGTGCTCTTGGGCTCTTTCCTTACTGCTCCAGAGATTTTCAACTGCACTCTGAGTTTTATTTGCCCTCTGAATACTTTAATGGCTCTGTATTATTTACACTTAACGCACCTTGCAGTTGTGAATTTAGTAGTTTACATCAGACTTACTAAGAATTACTAGTAATTAAAGGCCAGAAATATTACAAGGAGGCTGTTACTCTGCAAAGGAAATCACGCTCAGATAACAAACTATGGACAGAAATATTTCTAGGTTTGCTGTTTGTGGCTGAATAGAAGTGGTGTGGCTCCATTTTGGCTCACTTTTCCCCCCTTTTTTAAAATGCATGTACATACTACATTTTGGACAGGTTTATTCTAATACTGATTAGATTAATATCTAGAAAAGATAACAATTTTAATGAAGTTTTTTGTGTTTGCTCCTAGATATGAAAACAGATTTGAACTTACTGCTTGAATGCCTGAAATATCAGATGGACTGCCCTCTGTCTCAGAAGGAGGCTTTGATCACTATCTATTCCATTTGCCAGCAAAACAGTAAGAAAGGCTTTTCCTTAGAACCAGTCATTTATGATCACCAAATATGCCAAGAACTGGTGGGCACTGTAAAAATGTCTAGAGGACATAAGGCTTGAGGTGTTGGAGAATCTTAGAAGCCTTTCATTTTGCAGAGAAACAAAAGCAAAAGTGTCTGCTCTTTTTTCCTCTTGTAGGTGAAGCGAGCGAATACTTGCGAGAAATTGGTGGTTTGATGTTTATAAATGACCTTGCCAAGTCCAGTGCTCATTGCATCGTAAAGGAAGCAGCTTTATTTACACTGGGGATTATTATAGAGAGTAATGGTAATAAAAATAATCTTGTTTGTATTTCTGAGTGTGCTATGGCTCCCTGTCATTACTTGTGCTCCTGCTTTGTCTCCATTTTCTTTTGGTCTCACAAAATGAGACTAGAAGCTTGTCAGCTGGAGCAGGGGCAGTGAGGGTGCCCCAGTTGCCCTGTCCATGCCTGGATTTGATCAATGCCTTGCTCCCCTGTGCACACAGAGTGTCTTTGAGTTTCCAGACACCTGCACTCCCCTCTCCCTCAGCAGCATGTGTTCAGTGGCTCCTGGATTGTTCCAAAGCTTGGTGTAGAACTCACTGCCAGGGGGAAGCCCTCAGGCACTTCATAGTCCTGCCCTGTCTCTGCTCCCCAAGTACTGGCCACAACTGAGACTTAATAATTTAGGATGATGAGTGGCTTACTTTAGCACTTAATGGTTTTCACTTTCTGATTCCAGTGTATTGTCAACAGACTTTGTGTACTTCTGCACTGTTTGAAGACCTCATTTTATTTTTAATTAAAAAGGATTCTGGTGTGAACTTGAAAAGAATGTCTGTTTATGTCATCTTAGCTCTGGTGTCAAATAATAGTAAGTAAAAAAATGGGGTTTTTTCCTCTGTGTTACAACAACACTCCTTTTCTATTTGCCGATCTGCAGTCCAAAATTTGGCACAGTCAATAAGCAATGTTTTGGTGAAGTTAATTTATAAAGATGAATGTTTGCATGTAACTAAACCTGAATTGTCAAAGTATGTCATTGTTCACTGGGATTTTCTTAAACAGCAGAACGTGGTTTAGTTCTAAAAATACAGTTTGCAAATGGAAACCCATAGTTTCTGAGAGTGTCTAGAAAGAGAGACTAGAATGGAAGGAATAGAAAGGTTATTTACCAACATGTTGACATGATTTTGTATTTCCTTCTGGGGAGGATATGTGCTTGGGAAAGGGAATGTATGCATGTAAATTAAACTTGCTGTTAAGATTTTGTCTGCAATTGCATTTGTCTCTGGAGTCCTGTGTGTGTTCTCTTTTAGAAAATGGGCAAACCTGTGTCAGAGACACAGGCTGCATCAGCCTGCTGCTGCAGTTGTTCAGGTAAACAGGGTTGCAATTCAAACAGACAGATAATGGACTGGTTAGCAGCTGTGTTTCCTTGACTATTTGGGACTTGCTTGCATTGTCTTGAACAGAACAACTCTCTCCACGTCTGAGAAGAATGTGTCAGATGAAAACTCTGATCCCTGCTATCAGCTCTGGTGCTCAGTGTGCAGCACTCTCTGTGCCTGTGTCAACAACCCCCAGAACGGTACGTGTTGCTCTGAAAATTGTGGAGGAAGTTCAGAGATATTCTCCAAATCGGTAACACTGTGGTTTCATTTTTACTGTTCAGCTGAAGTTGATTTCAATGATTGTGTTTTGATTTGGGGTAATTTGTTTTTACTTTTGCAGAAGATAATCAAAACATTTGCTGTTCAGTTTTCCCCCATGCCAAAGAGTGGCTGGAGACTTGCACAGAGCCTGAGATAGTTCGTCCCATTTGTTCATTTCTTGGTCTCACAGTTGCAAATAACTGTAAGTGCAGCTCAAGCTTTACACAGTTTTGCATTTGATAAAAGGAAGTTTAATTAGAGAGCTAAATGGTTTTTTCTTTCTTTTCAATTTCTCTCTATCTCTAACAAAATCATTTGCTGTTCTTCCGACTTTGACCACTGTATTCCACATCTTTACTTACACTATGCTGTGCTCATGTCCACAGATAGCCACAGTCTGGTGACATTTCCTAGGCTCAGTAAAGCTGTTTGGAGCTGTTCTGATTAAAAGTGTGTCTAAATTAAAGTCCTTTTTACATGACTGATTGGTAGAACTCAGGCATGATGTCTGCCATTTGTGTGCACATACTAGGGTCATGTTTTCCTGTAACTGTTTTATATGCAGTCGCTGCATTTCTTGAGATTAATATATATCCAGCTTCTGTTGTACAAGAAATGTAATGACTAACATGTGCACAGAAAAACTCTAATGGACTTACTCAGTGAAATGCTAAAATAATTTGCAAACTCTGTCGCTTAAATCACATTTTTTGTTTTTTCCACCAAGCATATGTGCAGAAGTATTTTGCTTCTATTGGAGGATTGGATACATTAGCCAGAGTTCTCCTTGAGCTTATGCATGATTCTTGTTTGAGTCACTCCAGCATGAAACTTGCCGTGGTAGTAACAAAGACTCTGGATGCCTGTATTGCTAATAACTGTGAGTGGAAAGACATTTGTTATCTATAGTAATTTTAAAATGCAATTTTTAAAGTCTTGTGCTGGTGGTAAAGTTGCAGAAATGAATGCTTAAAGGCAGTTAAGTTATACACATCCCAGTGGATGTTGCTGTGTTTTTTAAAACTCAGAGGTGTAAGTGGGGAGTGATTCAGTTCATCTGAGGTGGATTACTGTCCCATTGTTGCTAAAATAAATACAGTGAAATTTAAACTCAACTGAAAATTAAAAATTAAAAATAAGATGCTACAGCCTGTGCTGGGTAAGTAAAGCTGAGCTCTGGGCCTGGGTTTGACCAGTCGTGGATCCTGGAGTTAGGCCTGTGCCTGAATAATAAATTGTGTAGCTTAAGGAAGCTTTAGTCATTCAGAGGTGGAGCTGAACCAATATGGTGTTTCTGCACAGCACACTCTGCTCTGGTTTGCTGGCTGGGTACTGCTCTGCTGATGAGGTTTTGTGTTTTCCACAGAAGGTTTGCAGAAACCTGTGATGCTGATCAACCTGTGCTGTGGCCATGGTTGGTGCATCTCCCACTTCTGCCATAAGAGCTTCAAATGGAAGTTCCCAAAAGTTTAAAAGCATCATCCTGCACTAGTTGTGAGGGTAGTTTCAGATCAGTTGGGTGTGACAGCACCAGGCCTCAGCGTGGATGGACCAGCAGGGGTGTTGCCAGTGCCAGGAAGGGCTTGCCCCCTGCTCTTTTATGGCAGATACTCTGTTGTTTTATTCAACTCTCTCTGGCTCCATGCTGGAGCTGATAAAGGAGAAACTCAGCAGGGATCTGCAAAAGCTGCACAGTGCAAAGCCCTCATCCATCAGATCTTCTGCCTCACCTCCATGGAGCACAGGCTGGGAGGACGGGCAGGGCTGCATTTGGGAGCAGCACAGGAGGCATGGGGCAATGTGAGCTGTTCCAGGTGGAGCAGGGCAGGGCTGAGCAGGCCCAAGGCTTTGAGGGGCTTGTAGAGTTCAATTCCTGTACACTCATGATCTCGTTTATTTTCCTTCCAATTATTTTAACAAACAGCTGCCATGGGTGTTGTCTTGGCAAAGTATCACACTGTGTCAGAGCTGCTGAAGCTGCTGTCCAATGAGACACTGAGCACAGGAGAAAAAATCAGTATTATTCTAACAATTGGACACTGCACTGAAGTTTGTGGTAAGATTTGCCTTTTTTTTCCCTGTCAGCTTCTCCTAAATTCTCATCCCCTGACTCCCCCAGTGGTGTCACTTCATCAAGGCTGGGGCACGAGAGAGAGTTCTATTAAATAATACAATGTCAGTATTTGGACAAAAAGTTTTCTATATTATTCCATTGTTAAATTTTAAAGCTTGTAAGCAGCAAGTGTCTTTAGTAGCTTTAAAAAAGTAGACTAAATATGCAAGAATTCAGAGCTGGGCTTAGGTGTCACAGGGAATAATTAATCCAGAGCTGGAAGCTACTACAATGCAGACACAGCAAATGAGTTCTCTTGAGCTCTCTTTTTCATGGTCCTTGGCACATACAGCTTCTGTCCACTGCTTACAAGGCCAGTGCTATTTGTAAAAGCCATGGAAGTGCATTGGTTTCAAGACACAGAAGCAGCAGGTAGCCCTGAAATGTTTTTGTCATGTTCCTCAGGGCTTGTCCAAGCATATCTAGTACAAATACAGCACTTCAGTTGGTGTTTTGTGGTAGTGCAAGCAAAGAGAAAGGGAAATTCATTTGTACTTCTTTTTTTTCTCATGTATGTTTAGATAAACAAGATGAAGGCCTTATGTTCAAAAATCCTAGTTGATTTTCATCCTCTGAGTGCCAATGACATGTTCAATAATTAGCTCAATCGGTCATAAATTTGTTTTAACAGACATTTTTTCATTAAGAATTAGTGAAACAAGACTTAATGGAAAATGTCTTTTGAATCGAAAAATTATTTAAAAATTATTGAACAATTGTTTCAACAGAAAAAAGGTTTTTCTTGAAATGTCAACACTGTCAAAAATGTTAAATTTTTTTATTTCTTTTTTAAATTGAGTTTAAAGAAGAAAGAACTATGTTTAGCAAGTTATCAATTACATGAATACATATGCGAATGAGATCACAATAAAAATTCAGCTAATTATATAATAAATGAGGAGGAACAGATTGGCTAGACCAGGATTAAACTACTAATTTGATTTTGCTCATTATAAACCTTGAGATTTTGATATTTCCTCATCTCAGGCCTCACAGAAATGTCACATATCTACTCCAAGAGCAGGTAATGGAAGAGAAGAAATACAGGAGTCATTATTCAAATGTTTTAGGCCACAATTAAATGAGCTTGGAACTCCATGGTATAATTTGTCTCAGTCATCCTTCAGTTTTCTTACAGCAATCTGAGTTCTGGTCAAATCATCCTGTGGGATGTTAACTCCTGCTGTCCCTGCAGCAGGCTCAGGTCTGGGATGCAAATCTCTCTGTCTACAGAAACTTGCAGAGAGCTGCCAGTATTGGCCCCTAAAATTATTGTAAGGTTAAGGTGTGTGGGGCTGAAACCAAAGCTTTCCTTTACCATGTCCTGTTGTAGAAGAGAACCAGTGTGAGCTGCTTCAGAACAATGGTCTGCCACTTATGATTCAGGTATTGACAGAATCTCAGGACGAGGAACTCATCAAAGCTGCTACTTTTGTGCTGCAGAACTGCAAACAAATGAGTAAGCTTGCTGTTACTGCTTTAAAAATGAGAGTGATTATTTCCATCTCTGTGTTCTGCTGATTCCCCAAGTGATTTTAACTGCAGCAGCTTTGTAATTCTGTGTACTCCAAAAGATGTTTGTTTTCTGCACAGAAAGTTGCTTTTTTGTCCTCAAGAACTGACTTAGGCAGAAAAAAGAGAAGTAAAAATTCCAACAGTGTTGCAAAAATGCATTTGTGAAACCTCTCCATGTAGGGCCAGTTCTTAAAGCTTTCCCATCTATAAATTGTGTGGAAAATACAAACATTGTCATTTAACACCTAGTGGATACTCTCTTCCTGGAGATGTACCACTAGAGGGAGAGAATAAACCATGAGATAATCAAGCCCAAAATCACTGTGTCTACATTAATTTCTAATATTAAGAAATCTTGATCTTTTTTTTTTCTAAAATAGGATGTATTTTTAGGTCCCCCCTCTCAGTTTTTTTATTACTTATGTGTACAATCCCTCCCATGAAACAGGGAGACCTTGTCCTGTAATCTCTAGAGTGCGGAGGGTGTGCAAATGCTAATTAGGAAAAAACAAACAGATATCTACATTTCTGTGCTGCAAGCACAACTGAGAGGTTTGTGTAAGATTGAGGAGGTGTGGAGATTTGTAGTGTCCATTAATATGGAGTTGTTTTTTAAAAAAGCAGAGACTCATACTGGTGAAGAAGCCAGAGTTAATTCAATGAAAAAGCTTTTTTTTTTTTTTTCACAGCATCATTGTGAAAACTGTTTATAGGAGCTACAATTGCAAGTTCATCTCTTGTAACTGCAGTGTATATTTCAAGTGTGTTAACATTTATGTATAAATTTAAGTTTTATAAAAACTGTTATTTTGCATTAAATTATTGGGGCTGTCCCTCAGCGTACTAAATATAATAAATACATTCAAAATGTTACTTGATAAAATTTTAAATATTAATCTTGTTTTATATTTTATAAAGCTGAACAGTTGTCTCTGAAATTATATGATAACTCATTGAATGTGAACAATGCAGAAGAATTGGATGTGCAAGTCAGAAATAGATGTCTGCAAGACTACCGGAAGAAAGCAAAAGAAATTTTACACAGAATAAACTCAATTGAAAAACAACACAATGAGGTTGGTCTATTTACCAAAATAGTATAAAACTAATCACACCTTTCCAGAGTTTAAGGAGAAAGCCAAAGTAAATCCTTAAGATAATTTCCATGTGAGCAAAAAACCCAGGAAAAAACATTGGATTTGTGTGAAACTACAACCTGCAGCTTTTATCAGTATTGTAGATCAGACTGAGTTACAGGTGTGCAGAGAATGGAGGCATCTGTATTGTATGAAGTGCTCTTGTTTATTGTAACCCCGGATTTTCTATGAGATAGAAAAAGAAGTTGAATTAATTTTTAATTGCTGGACATTCAAACCTATAATTTTAATATTTGCATGCATGAAATGCTCAGGGTTGTATGGCTGTAGGAACTGATTGACAGATCTGCCCCAAAGGGTGGATATTATACATTCACTGGAATAACAGCATGACAAAGCCAGGGGCAGGGCTCAAACTCCCTCCTCTTGCAAAAAGCAAGAGCAGCACACCTTTCAGCTAAATACAGGATAACCCTTTTGGCCATGCTTCACATGGCTTCCGTCTCTTCTTTCTCGTTCTGGAATGATTCTTCTGAAAAAGAAAAAAATCAGGTTTTTTTGGAGAGGACCTGTCTGCACTAAATGGGAAGGCATGAATTAGCATCTTCAGCTTTTAAAGGGAAACAGCTGTTCTTGTGTATTTTCCAGGAAATCCATCTTTATTAAGATTTTGATACTTCACCCACTTAACACTGATTTAAATTGCTGGGCTTTGAAACAGTGAATAATTCCCACTGATCTCAATGGAAACTTGAAGTGATCAGTGATGACTGCTCCCAAAGATCCTATTCCCCATTTTATCCCGAAATGAACCATATTAAACTGACTTATTCAGTGTGGCTCTAGAATACTAGTGCTATACATAGAGAAATATGTGGACCTGACATAGGTGCCTTTATCACCATATTTTAAGCATTCATAAATATTTACAGAAAGACTCTTCAGAAAGCACCAAAGTCAGTAGTTCAAGCAACAATCTCCTGTGTAAATCTGCAATTTCCTTTAACCGAGGGTTTTAGTGTGTTTTTCTTGCTTGTGTAATTTGCTGCAAATTGCCATTTAAGTATTTTCCTTTTCCTTTCCTTTCCTTCAGAATGCTTTAGTAGTAGAGGTAGGTAATGACTGAAGGAGGTGTGGAATGACACAGATTTTTTTTTCTCCCTTCTTTTCAAAATAATACATATTACATATAATAATTAAGGATGTTACTGTGCTGCCAGGTTGGTATGCTCTAATTTTATCCACTGGCAGTCTGGATTTCCTTTCAAACTTGAAGGATAATTTATTTTTTTATCTCTTTCAGGACATTATTGAGACTGGTAGAACAATGAAAGCTCTGCTTTCACAAATAAAAGACACGAAACCAAGGATGGTAAAAGGTATATTCTTGTAAGGTGTAAGGATAAAGCCCCTAACTAACATACTCAAAACATTTGGGTGAATAGTCAGTGTATGCTGACAGGTGCTTGTTTTGCTTGAAGTTTGGAGTGGGAGGAAGCAAATGCAGGAAGTAATCCTTATCCAGCTGCTGAAAAATTAAGTGTTAAACTGGGAAATTTACCTGTGCACTACCATCTTCACTGCTCGAATTATTAAAAAAAAAGATTTTATGGCTCTTTCCATGTAGTCCATAAAGTCTGATGCATTCCCTGTTTCTTACTTGATGTTTGAAGGAAATTCATCTCTTTCCATAGGTTTTCTAACACCACCTCAGTTGCCTCAATACTAGAATGACAACACTCTGAAGATTTCTTAATACCCTCAACCACAGAGGTTTCCAGAATCTAAGAGTCTGTCAGCACTGGGAAGATGACTTCAAGTAGCATTCTAGATCTGCTTTTAGTAGATCTCTAAAGAAATTTTGTGGAATATCCCTGTGTGTGTCAGGTAACCACAATGCTTTACAATTACAGTTGCTTTAAGCATCAGTTCTTCAGACAGTCCTTCTAGTGACTGTCCACGAGGTTCTCAGTTTCTTCTGAAGTGCTCAGGCAAAGCAAGAATAGATGTAATTTTGCAGAAGAGATTTTCCTTTTCTCCCTCCCTCCCCACTCAAATCATTACCAGCCACTTGGACATGCTTTCCCCTCTGTGCTGTTTTATGTCCATTGCTGCATGGAAGGGCAAAGAGCTGAGACACAGGACTGAAGGGAGCTGAATACAAAGTTGAGCCACTCAGACATAAAGCCAGTCAGACCAGAGCCACTCAGACATAAAGACCAGAGCCTTTGCCTCTCCCTGCACTACAAGGCTGAACACCACTTCTTTCTGTGCAATAATCTCACTGTTTTAATTTAAGTGCACCATTTGAGATGCTTATGAGAAGGTGTGGCAGAATGGGAGTCTAGAGCTTAGAGCAAGGCATTTTAAAAACCAACCTTCTCTGCTCTGCCTTACAGCCTGCTCCTTCAAAGGACATGTCAGAGTCCAGGTAACAGACCAGACTGTAAGTATCATGTTTTTCTCGGGGTTTCTTTTCCTATATTTTCCAAAATAGTCCTGCAATTTCACTTCAGGCAGCACATCTGACAACTGGCCCACAAGTTTCATGAAGGCCAAGAGAAATGGAGAGAAACTACATAAAAAGCTAATGACCAGGTATCCTGAGACCTCATGACCACCTTGTTCTTTTCCCCTGGTTGGCCTGAGTGCAGGTTTAGCTCTTCGATATACAAATTTAACTATTTAGATAGCAAAACCAGATCAAACCTTAACGGTGTTTTGCTTTGCTTTGACCCTAGAGGACATTTGTTTTGACTCCACATTATTAAACTTGTTTCCAAACTGAAAAGTCCTGCTGAATCACAGTTCATCTACTTTCACTCAAGTAAAATCTCACTCCGTGTCTCCTCTCCCAGGACTAACTCATCACTAGGTTTTAAACAATTATTATGTTAATAAAAATCATTCTCTTAACTCCTTAATTACATTACAGACATGGGAATGGTTTAGATTCTAACCTCTGTCATCAATTTACAGCTCAGATTCTTAAGAAAGCACCCTGAAGGAGATGATGCCTATTCCTCTCAGCTCAAGTATGTGTTGAATCCCAACTGTGCATTTAAAAGCTACTTACACCACTGAAGTATGAAAAGAACTGTATTTTCTTACTGAGCCAGGCTTTGAAACTCCAGGTAAATTTGTGGTTGGATATGCTCTTGACACTAATGACTACTTCAGAGATTTAAATTGAGTTGGTAATGCAATATAGGTGCATTAGAAATGTTTGTGCTTCACTGTTTCATAATTCATAATTCTACTCCACAAGTCTCATGGCTCAGCCTTGCTGCAGGACATTCTGAACCTCCAGCATTGGTGAGCAGCATACAATCTGCGGCCCCATCTGAAAATAAAATAACTTGTAATTTGACTTTAATTGGATATTTGTCTGTCTTAGCTCAATCCTATGTTGCTCTTCTGTCACCAAGTCCTTAAAGCAGCCGTGCAGGCACTCTGTGGGAAGGTTTTCCACACACTTCTGGATAACATGGCTGTAAGATCTCTCTTCCCTTATTCCATGACAGCTTCCTTAGGCTGCACAGAGTAGTTGACTTAGAAACATCATAAATTAATAGGGTTGGTCTTTTTTCCTGCCTTTGTTTTCAAAAGTACTTACTTAATTCTGGTTAACTCAGAAAGTTTTTCATTTCTAAGTCTTTATACTAAGACAAACCAGTTCTGCTGAAGACACAATCAGTCTGTGCTATTGCTCAGTAGCATGAAGGTGTATGCAGTAATTTACAAACCTAAGTTCTTTAGAATATATAAAGCTATATATTACAGATAAACTTGGAAAGAATATTAAAATCTCAAATTTACTGCAAGGAAACTTGCAACAGTTATGGTTCTAGTGGTTTTTTATTACAATGCTGGGGATATAACTGAAAATCAGTCTTGCATTTCATTTGAAGATAGAGGTTGATAAATATTGTAGGTTATTTTTTTTCCTTTTAGCACATCTGTGTTCTGAATGTTATGAATAAGAAGCTTGTCTAGGCCAATATTCAAGCAGCAATCAATTTATTATTTAATATGGTAAGGTATGAGCAGTACAGCGCTGGGTACAGTGGGGGAAGTTTTCCCTCCAACTGCACACTGATAATTGATGGTTACAGGTATTTATAGGGGTACTCATCAGCTTTTTTTTTTCAACAGTTTCAAATTTTTACTCATTAGCAATTTTTATTCCAAATTATTACATCACAATTCTATACACTATTGTGATTTTAATTTCTCAGGATGTATCTCGAAGGATTATCCCCAGATGGTGACGGTCCAGTTTCCGAAAGAAGAAAGACGAATCCCATCTGGTGGGGTCCAGCTCCCCAGATGTGTGTCCACCTTTTAATTGCAGAGACTCTAAATCTCATAACAGTGATGTCCAGCTTCCCTTTGGTCGAAACCATAAACCCTTGAGGTGATGTTCATCTTCCTTTCTCAAGCTGTTTTTCTCTGCTTCAATAAGGCATGAGATAAGCATATTTCCTTTATATATATTCCAAAGCTATAGTTTCAAGGATGCAAGTAATATTCTAAAATTATACTTCAAAAGGTTGTTATTGCAGAGCTTTTTATGGATTAAATGCAGGCAAAAAGCAACATCTTTAACACTTTAATTCCAATGCTCCTAAATCATCTAGGGTTAATTTGCAAACAAAAGATAGGTTCAAAGGCCTTTTTCCATGCTTTAGTCTCCTCAGTAATTATTAGAATTCACAGCTCTCCCATTGTCGGGGTCCACACATTTCGCATTCACAACTACACACATCGCCTGTTTGTACCTGACACGAAACACAGCTTTGTATTTCACATGAAAGAGAATGCCAAAGAGAAATACAGGATGTGATCATGTCAATCTTCCGGAGCACTAATTCCTGGCTGCTGATTAGGTGATCAACCATGACACCAGGAAATTAATGCTGCTCCTTGTGTGTCCCTAAGAACCAGAAGCTACATCTTACTGCCCAGGACCTGCAGCTCGCTGGTTCCCACTTGTACTATGCGCTGACCACCAGCTGTTGAGCCCCTGGCTTTTTCCCGTTGTGGAGGAGCAGCCTGGCGCTGGGGGCAAGGGTCTGGCAACATCGAGCGCTGCCACCGCGCACCGCCACATTCCAGGCCCCCACTGCTTGTGTCTCTGCAGTGACAGCAGTGTGGCTGGAGAAGGCAGACAAAGCAGGGCAGAGTTTTCTCCAAGCAATGTCTCTGCTGCAGAAGCATTTGCTGTTGTTGCCTCATCATTCCAGATGTGCCTCTACAATGGTATTAAATAAGATAGCAATAAATACAAGAAAGCACCCATTTAAAACACATGGAAAAAGGAGATAACAACTCTACTTTTACCCAAGTCACTGAGAAAACAACTGAACCTTATCCTCATACAGCATTCATGTCATTTGTCTTTTTATTTTTGCCTTTCCCTCTGTTTGAAACACACTAATTTTTAAGTACAATCAAAGGGGACAAAATCATTGATGCAAAAGAAAATGGTTTATTAGTAACGATTCAGCTGAGCCAGGCATGTCATCCTCCCCATTAGCCAAGCACACACACACACCCCCTCTGAGAAAATGGCAATCTTTGTATCCCCTTTGTACCCGGCTGGGGAGGTCCCTGTGCCCTTTGCCACTGGATGGGCACTCAGGAGCTTCCATTCTCTACTGAGCACCAACTTTTCTGTCCCCTCCCCTCTCATCCTCCTTCCTTTCGGTCGGGTCTTAATCCCCGTCCCTCTCGCTGCAACACCCAACAAACCAACCTGAACAAATCCAAACCACAAACAACACAGAACCAGCAAATTCCATTCTTTTGCTTAATAACCTTTTGTCTTCAGCAAAATATCACCTCATCTCTCACACCTGCTCTGGTACTGTTCTCTTCTTACTGATGTCTATGTTCTAGAGCAAAAAAGGTATTTGCAGTTGTGTGGGCCTGGGTTTCCCTGTCTCAGAGTAAAGGACATCCCAAAATTGTTTCCCATAGAGTCTCCTGTATATTCATGGGTTTTACTTACTCCATGAGTGCTCAGTCAGTGCCCCAGAGCTCTGTGACCACATGGGCACAGGGCTGTGTTTTAGGAAAGTGCTGCCTGGCATTCTGGAGAAAGAAACCTGGAGAAATCCATGCCAAAAGAGCAGCTTGGCTTGAGCCTGCTCTGTGTGGCCCAGCAGCTGTGGATCAGCTCAGAGCAGAGGTGGGTGAGCCACTGTTTGCCCAGTGTGGGCTGGGCAGACATGCTCCCCCAGAGTCTGTACTTCACTGGGGATCAGTGGAAGGGATCCTTGATGAACCTTCCTCCCAGCAGCTGAAGCTCTCCCTCCTCTCTCTCGCCTCTCCAGTCGTCAACAGGTGCCCTGAAACCGAGCTCGTTTGAGGTTTCCCCACCAGAGATGGTATTTGAGAACATTGTCGCTCATGAGGTTTATGAGATGGCGCTGTCTCTCATGAATAAGGACAAGGTAAGTGCTGGGACGTGAGGCTTTAATACTGTGCTGGAAGAGGAGAGTGCTGTCATTCCCCCAGTGTACAGCAAAGCAAGTTATCTGCTGCAGCACATGCAGAAGAAAATGTCTCAGCACCTTTGTTCTGCAAGATGGTGGAAGTCTTCCTGTGCTGGGAATTGTCCCCAGATTTTGGCCATGTGTTGATGGTATCTATGCCAAAGGAGTTTCCTTCTCTGGAAAGCTCTGCATTGATCGGAATGTTGAGGCCTGTACAGTTCTTACCTGCTCTCATGCTTTGCCTCGAGTCTGTACCACATCCTGTATCTTCTTGGTTAATCTTGGCTCCTGGTAGGAATCTCTGCCTCTCTCAGCCACTTTGGCTCCCTCTGTGCAGCTCACAGGCAAAGCTCAGGGGCTGAGCCTTCTGCACTTTAGGCTGGAATCCCTTCTCATTAATGGCATTGGCACTGCAGGAACCGTGTTCTGCAAGAGCCCTGCAATCAGACTGAGGGAATAGAAGCAGTGGGAGGCCTTTAGGTGCCACTTGAGGCTCCTGCTCAGCTTCATCCAGCTCTGCTCAGCTTTTCCAAAAGCAACACGGTGCTCTGCTTTCCCTTTGCAGAAGCACAGCACATCCAAAGCCATGTGCTCCTGGAGGTTTGCACCTTCATGTGAAGTAATTGTGATTGTTTTGTGGTTTCTCAAGAGAGCTGAGAGGGAAAAAGTTGTAAAAGGTCAGCAGTTGTGTTCCACTGTAAAGAGGACAACTCTTTACATTCTGAATTTCAGTCAGAGAAACATTTTCTCAAGTGAGGCTTGTGCCAAGAGTGGGGTGATGGGAGGAGACAAGAGGGAGTCCAAATCATCTGGTTTAGACTTTTGGAGAGCATTTTGGTGCTCAGGGGTTGACGATATCAGTGTGCTAGAAAATGCATGTGTGCTGTGTCTATGAACCCCACAGGGCAGAACCTGGCCTGCTGGCTGCAGGCAGGAATGCCCAGCAGCCCAGCTTGCCTGCACAGGCAGCAGGAAGCCCTGGAGAGCCAAGATTGGCTTTGCGTACTGGAACCACACTGTCAGTCAGTGCTGGTCCTGTTTCTCCAGGCAGAAAATGCCTTTGAAGCCCAGAGTCAATAGGCACAGCCTGTCTGTGTTTCTGTCACTTTTGGCAAGCTGATTGCTTTCATGGTTTTATGATTCCTCCTTGCTGCTTTACTGCCCATTTAAATTCTCTTTGTCATCTGCTTTTTTTTAGGGATTGTCTTGCTGTGTTCATTCCTTCTTTTGCTTTTCAGGTTTGCTTTTATTCCCAGTAAGGCCACAGTGTTTGGTCTCCTGTCTTGCTGCTCTGCCTGCCTGACTCTGTCCCCAGAAGGTCCCTACCCAACCCTGATCTGCTAGAAGGGAATTTCTCCCTTCCCCCACAACAATGGGCTGGTTTGCTTTTAGGTAGCACATTCCCCCTCTGGAACATGACAACTTCATGGCTGTGTGCAGGCAGAAGCCAGCAGGTTTTTTGGCCTTGTTGAATATGCAGGTGACTTGGTTCAGGTGCTGTGTCTCCATCCTGCTGGTGCTGACCTGCTTGGCCCTTCCTTCCCAGCAGGCACTGCCCTACTGCCCCTGGCCAAAATGCTGGAGCCAGAGAGAAGGGGTTCAAGTTCAGCCTTGTGAATGATGTGCCTGTGCCTGCTCAGCTGAAAGTGCTTTGGGAAAGGCGCCAAGGAGGGATGTCACCAGGGCACGGACAGGGCTCCTCTCGTCCTGTTTCCACAAGTGGCCAAGTCATCATTTCCTGTCTTTGCTGCAGTTTCCTCAGGTGGTGAAGGTCTCCATGGAGAGCTCACCTTACTTCCAGCTCATGAGCTCCAACAACGCGTACCGTGTCGTGCTGCCGGGCACCTCTGTCCCTGTGCGCGTCCGCTTCACCCCTGACGAGAGCAAGGTGAGGCTGGAGGAGCCAAAGCACACAATGATCTCCACAGCCATTGTTTTCCCTGCACTCTGGCTCCAGCCCATTGCATGCTGCGAGCTGGGCTCCAGGTGTGGGCAGGCAGCCTGCAGCAGCCAGTCACACCTTGGCACTGCTGGCAGGCACTGCAGCCAGGCCTGACAGGCTCTGCTTCCCCTCCCTGCACATCCCTGAGCATTGCCAAGGGAAGATGCACAGGAAACAGGATGAAAAGGACAGAGTAGTGTTGACAGATGTTCAGCCATCTCTAGGTCCAGTGGAAGGGGTTTCATTCTGGTGGAAAACACCAGAGGAACAAAGAGGTCAGAGAGCTTTCCTCCTTCCTGACTGACAACAGCTTCCCTGCCTGCCCCTGGGCTGGAGCAAAGCCGGTGCTTTTTCACCCCCTCTGTTGTGCAGCCTTGCAGCTGTGCTGTCCCAGAGCACAAGTGAGCATGGCACAGCTGCAGGGCCAGGGCAGAGGATGTGCTGTGCCCGTGAGCCCGGCCTGGCACAGGCACACTGGGCTCTGGGTGCCCTTGGTCAGCAGCAGGTTGCTGAGCTGCAGGGGACTTGGACACCTGCCTGCAGGAGCTCGTGTAGGGCAGGTACAAGCTACAGGCAGAGCTGTGAGCCCAGAGCCCGTGGCAGTGACACTGCTGGGGCTCTGTCTTCATGTCTGTCCCTGTGCTTGCTCTGTCAGCTGGCACCCGTTCCGTGCCCAAGGTGCTTCTGCATGGAGGTTTGAACAGCAGTGCTGAGGCCCTGGCAAGTCTGATCTCAGTGCTGGCATCTGGAGGGTTCATGTTCTGATCTGGAGGCTTGTTCATACAGAAGGGTTGAGGGCATGGCATGGAAGGGAGGAAGCCTTGCAGGGAAACAAAGAGAGGCCCTTTCCAACAGCATCCTGCTACCTCTTAGCACTGTTCTTCTCCTGACTTGGTTGGACAGGCAAAGTTAGAGGGGAGTTGTGAGCCAACTGATGTTTCTGCACCAGGCCAGAGGTGCAGCATGTCTTCTCATCCAGCTGTTTTCTCATCTTCCTTTTGCTGCTTGAACACTTTGACCTATTCTCAGACAGTGGGAATATAGAAACCTAAAGAGCAATGTCCTGTGTTCCCCAGCTCCATGTTCCTTAGAAGGGACTTAGGAACTGTTTAACATTATTAAAATTTAGAGTAAAAATTATGGTGACCTAGGGTAGTTCTCTGTATGACCCAAGTGACACAAGAGCTTAATGCCACAGAGACAGGCTTTGCAAAGTGCACTTGTGTCTTTAAAATGTGACATAGTAGTAGAACTTAGTGTTCATTTTAGAGTGGGATAGGTAAATTGATGCCCTTGAAGGGTTATAGAAATGGTTTTTCTTCTGCCATGGGGATGGCACTAAATGTCCTGTGCTGAGCCAGTTTCTTTTCCAGCAGGATTATTCCCACGAGTTCGTCTGCGTCACTGCAAGGGAAAGGATTGTTGTGCCAATTGTGGCCATTGGTGCCCGAGCTGTGCTGGACTTCCCTGCCCAGCTGGACTTCTCCAAGTGTCCAGTCAAGGTCAGCACCCAGCAGACTCTGCTGGTGCGCAATGTCGGTAACCTGAAAGCTCGGTACCAGCTGAGCATGCAGAGGTGAGGCAGCTCATCTGTCCCTGTGCAAACACCTTTGGGTGAGAGCAGAGTTGGGAAAGAGCATTGCAGCTGCTGCCCTGCAGCCTGGCTGGAAGGGAGCAGCATGGATGGCATCTGCTCTTACTTTCAGTGGCCTTTGGGCTTTCTCTGTCCCAAATTTCCTGGAGGGTGCTGGAACATGTTAGTAGCTGCCTTGCACCCTCCTGAGCACAAGCAGCTTCTGAAATGCCTACTCACTACTGTCAGCCAAATAGACCCATTCTCTGGGAGGACACAAGCACGTGGCTTTCCAGTGGTCCTCTCATGAGATGCCCAACATGAGCTGTGCTGCAGGCAGCCAGTGCAGTTCCTGTTACTTAAAGCTGATCTGATTACCCTTGTCAGCTGAGGGCATCAGTCACCTCTTCTGTTCCATGATGAACCTTTGAAAGACAGTTTAAAATTTCAAACAGATGATTTAAATCTCTGAATAAGGTTGTGCCCCTTCCATTGAGATTTCTTTTTAAATACTCTGAAGTTCCTGTGTTTCTGCTGTTTTTTCTGTTTGTTTTGTGTTAAATGTTTGCCAAAAGATCATGCATTCTTCATTGATGAAGGTTGAGCTCTTGTGATGCCTCTCCATATACCACATGCCCATAGGGACATGCACAGGTCTATAGGAAATAGGAGACATTTAGTGAATATGTGAAAAGCAATTGGGCTCATTTAGAAGGTGAAGGTATAGAATAACTTTTGCTGGAGGGGACCTCTGGAAATCATCTGAGCAGACACACTGCTTAAAGCAAGAGCAGTGTCTGGGGGTTGCAAGGTGCCGTTGGGAGATCTGGACCTGTCTTTAGATGCCACACAAGTAAACAAACATACCAATGGACCTAGTTAAAAAGCAGGTGAAAACAACCTATTAAAACCCCCTCCATATCTTATCTTTTCTGCCTGTCAGGTGCAGTAGTGATTCATTGAGAGGATGGATCTAAGAGGATGAGAAGTATCTTAAGGAACAGCTCACAATTAACAAATAAAAGGCCAAAATTTAGCTTGCCAGCCCCATCTCTCAGCAGTGGTTTTCATTTGGTTATTACAGTGTCAGGGATGTCTCCTTCACAGCTCTTCTAGCTGTGGGCTCAGGGAACAGTTTAGTGATGCTGGCTGAAATTCAGAGGAGTAGAGCTTGTGTCCTTGGGTCTAGGGGAGCCAGGTGTGTGTGAGAGATGAGTGCTCCAGCAGGAAGAGAGGAGTCTGGTGCGTACAGCCCAGGGACGGAGGAGATGCAGGGGCTGAATTGGAGTCAGTTTTTCAATCCTGACGACTGAGTCCTGGACTTGGCTGGATCCTCTTCTCCTGATAATTTGAAAAGAAGAAGACACCTTCTTTCTCAGGCAAGCCCTGAAGTCACCCCCAGGAATGTTATTCCCATCCAGCCACCTGAGGGCGGGAGCATGGGAGCATGTAAACATGGGGCAGGAGTGGGAAGGGAATGGAATGGAAGGTAGTGCTGAAGCCTGGCCAGGGATTCCCTAACTGGCAGCTTCTCTGTTCTGATGAAATTTCTGGCCAAAGACTAAGAACAGAATGCTGTGCCTTGCCCCCAGCAGGCCCTGATCCCCCCAGCCCCAGCAGAGCTGCAGCAGTGCTGGCATCAGTCCCGGGGCAGATGCAGGAGCACGAGTGTCGGATTTTCGGCTGTTTAGATGGTCTGGAAAGGCCCGAGGTGGCCTTGGGCTGCCCGCGCTCCAAAGGATGAGAAGGGACTTCAGATCTTTTCTCAGTCTCGGTGTTTATTAATTGCTTATCTAAAAGATTTTCTCTTGGCCTGACAGAGTTCTGCTCAGCAGTCAGCCATGGGCACACACTGTGAGCCCCTGGGGCGGCCACCTGTCTTTATACTCAGAGTTACGTATACAATATTTATCATTTTTCTCCAATACCCTCTACCCTTATTAACCAGTGCACTTTTGGTAAGGACCAATCCCAAAGTGCCAACATCACCACAGAAGATGGAGGCCAAGAAGAAGAAGAAGAAGGAGAAGGGCACGCCCCAATTCCTCCATCTTACTTCTCTAGACCCCCCTGTACAGAAATCTTAAACCCTGTATCTCACACTCCAATTAACTTATCCCTTCACCATTCACCCCGGTGAAATCCTCCTATCCTCATACTGATGTTGTCTCCCATGTGGGATCAAAGTCCAGCCACCAGACATTTCTGGCAACATTCCAGGACTCCCGAGCCCCCCAGGGGTGGTCTTGGTCACCCTGCACCCCAGTCCTGAGAGGCTGAGATCCCACATCTCCCCCTTCTGTTTGCACCAAGAAGATCTCTTTTGTTTTTATGTGAAAACCCCAAAATCCTTAGTTTCTTTTTATTTCTCTTCCGGGTCGTTTTTCGCAGTCTGAGTCTCGACTTCTGTCTGAGTACTCGTCTCTTTGTTTCTTGGATCAGCGTTCTCGTGTTCTCGCGTTCGGAATGGCTTCACGTGCCGCGCCGACACCCACTTCAGACCTCGATCTGTGGAAATACAAGCAAAACCCTTGCCCCAAGTGATTAGTTTGAAAGGACCCTCTATTTGTCCTGTCTCTGGGTTTCTGATCAAAACTAAAGGATTTTCCCTTAGCTTTGCCTGTGTGTTGTTTAGAAAATGTCTCACGATCGGTGGATTAGGTTCCGAGGATGAGCTATTTAGGAAATTCAGCACGTACAGTGCTGTGGAGGATTTTATTAAGAGTTGGTTAGCTGAGAAAGGCCATACTGACATAATGCCGCTGGTTAAGCTGAAAGAGGGAGGTCAGCAGTCTCTGATTCAGTGACTGCTGACAAGCAAGAATGCCGGATGGCCTTGCTGCAACATGAGGAAAGGGAGGTGAGATTAGTCCTGAATATCTGCAGAATGTAACAGAAGAATAAGCCCAAGAATGTAGAAGTAGGTGTAGTTGTTGATATGTAACTAACCAATCCTGAGCTCAACTTTTGCAATATGTATGAAGCTTATTAAGAACTATATTTAACCCGCCATATTCGATCAATAAATCGGACTTGGATGAACCAACTGGTGTCTGGGTCTCCTTCCTCTGACAAATGGTGGAGAATGCGGGCAAGCACTCTGAACGTTCGCTCTCTTGGATTATAAATTCGCCACGGTCGAGGAAGTTGGGTGAGAGTCCTTGCAGCCGGGACGGTGCCGGATTTTAAAAGCACCCTTGAGGATCACAAAGGTGACTCAAGTCTCTACGTGTCGCCGGAAGCCTGGAAGGCTGCAACAGCGCGCGCTGATATATAGGTATGGATAGGCAAGCGACATACGACCTCTTCTCCTCATATTTAGAAAGGCGAGGAGTAAAAGGGGTAGATTTAAAACAGGAGTTACCAGGGTTATTAGCTTATGGTCATTCTAAAGGGATTTTTGCTAACCCACATACAGTTCATGAGATAGCAGAGTGGAAAAAGTTTGGGGATATCCTGTGGGATGCAGTGTTAGATGATGATAAGTCAGCAAAGAAATTTCGCAAGTTATGGCGGGTGGTGTATAATACGTTGCTTCAGCAGGTTTCTGAGAGAAAGGCAGCAGAAAGGGCGACAGAAGCTCATAAGAGGAATATAGGGTATGGTCGTGAGGATGATCCCTTAGCACCTTCTGTAACTCAGATACTTATGCCTAAGGGTCCCCAGCAAAATGGTGTGGAAAATTTTCCCTTAGATACAGTGGAACCATCTGCACCCTTCCTGTCAGAGGGGGAGGGCGAGTTGGACGGTGGAGGTAAGAGCAAGCCAGCTTTGCCTCCGCCGCCAGCTTCAGGCGGGTCGGATGGTGGGGGTGGGAGCAAGCCAGCTTCGCCTCCACCGCCACCTTTGCCTCCGCCGCTTCCCTCGAGTGGGCCGGCTCCCGGGGGGCCACTTCCCCCGCGCGAGTCGACTCCGGTTTCGCTGTCAGCTCCAGCAGCGGGGGGGCCGCTTCCCCCGCGCGAGCCGGCCTCAGCGGGGGGGCCGCTTTCCCCGCGCGAGTCAGCTCCTTCTCCACCGCCTTCCCCGTACGAGAACTCGGTCTCGGTACCGGAGTGCCAGCAGCATAGCACCCTTAAAGAGCCAGATCCCATCCCAGGGGCACACCGTGATCTATGGGGGGAGATGGCTAAACAGAGGAGGGAAGCTTGGGCTGCTGTGGCAAAAGAAGTAATGCAAATGGGGGATGGCGAGACGGTGGAAGTAGCTTCTAATCTTGCATGTCTGGTCACATACACACCACAGTATGATGCACAGGGGAACCTTACGCATAATATAGCGGAATATAATCCCTTAGATTGGAAGATGTTAGCTCAATTATGTTCTACGGTTAGTTTGGAGTAAAAAGTGAACCTGTTAGGCAAATGCAAGAGTGTTAGCTACTTTAGGGGCAAATTGGACTATTGAGGAAGCTTTAGAGCGAATGGCATTAATGCCAACAGCTTCACAGGCATTTATAGCAGAAACTTTAAAGGAATTAGGATTAGGGTTACAAAAGCAAGCAGAGTCTACTTAAAATCAGGTGTTAGCTGCTCAGAATCAGGTGTTAGCTGCTCTTGCTCCTCTCCGAAGCGGCTCACTGGCGGACACGCAGAGCTCGAGACCATTCATCAAGTGTTACCGATGCAGCAATGAGGGACATACGCGCCCAGACACAAGTTGCCGCCGTGACATCGGAGACATCAGCTGCTGCCGTAACATCACTGTCACCTCCTGTCTGCAACCGCAACAGCAGGGAGCCTTGGTTTGGATTTATCAGCAGCAGTAGACGTCACACTAATGATGAACCGGCCTGAGAGGATACAAACTGGAGTAAAGGGTCCTCTTATATTAAATGGATAAAGATGTGGAGCATTGTTATTAGGACGTTCTTCAATAACTATGCTGGGATTATTTGTATTACCTGGTGTTATCGATGCGGATTATACAGGGGAAATACAAATTATGGTTTACACCCTTTATCCTCCTATTAAAATAATAAAAGG